AGGTGACACCGAACTTTATTTCTTCTTTTCTTCTAACACCAGTGAAACTGATGAGGCTTTAAATCCGTGCATCTAGTGCATTAGTGATGGCCAGGGTACTTGAATGGCTTTAAAAATTAATTAAGACAAATTCATGGAAGATAAGGCTATTAATTGCTACTAGTTATGATGGCTATGTTCTACCTTCACTGCTTTATGTATCTAAATATCAGTTGCTTGAGTGGTGTTGTGTGTGTAAATGAGCTTTGATAATTGAAAGTTTTTTGGTGCGTGGTTTTTCTGCTTGTCTGAAAGAGTACTTAACCATGTACATTGCAGTGAAAAACTACTCAGGGCACCTTCCTTCTCTCCCTCCCTTGTATGCTGCCCTGATTCTGGGACGGACAATCTTTTTCCATCCCGTCTCTGCAATTTTAAAGACCATTTTTTAAAAGGCAGCTAACAGCATGATCCCAGATTCCACTACACAGCAGTATAATGAGAGCACAAGATCCAGCATGTCAGTTCCATTGTTCAGCATTACAGAGCTGTCCCCATTCCCTGTGCAGGAACCGCGGCAATTAACAAGACTGTAATGCTGTACACAGCACTTAGGACAGGGGACCTTTGGCTCTGGCCCACCGGCAAGAGATAAAGGCCAGACTTGCACCATGCATTTAAAGTGGTACCATACCACTTTAAACAGATATGGCTTCCCCCAAAGAATCCTGGGAAGTGCAGTTTGTTATAGGTGCTGAGAGCTGTTGTTGTTGTTTAGTCGTTTAGTCATGTCCATCTCTTTGTGACCCCATGGACCAGAGTATGCCAGGCACTCCTGTCTTCCACTGCCTCCCGCAGTTTGGTCAAACTCATGCTGGTAGCTTCGAGAACACCGTCCATCCATCTCGTCCTCTGTCGTCCCCTTCTCCTTGTGCCCTCCATCTTTCCCAACATCAGGGTCTTTTCCAGGGAGTCTTCTCTTCTCATGAGGTGGCCAAAGTACTGGAGCCTCAGCTTCAGGATCTGTCCTTCCAGTGAGCACTCAGGGCTGATTTCCTTAAGAATGGAGAGGTTTGATCTTCTTGCAGTCCATGGGACTCTCAAGAGTCTCCTCCAGCACCATAATTCAAAAGCATCCATTCTTTGACGATCAGCCTTCTGCTGAGAGCTGTTAGGATACCCCTATTCTCCTCACAGAGCTGCAATTACCAGAGTGGTTTAAAAATCAATCTCTCCTCCCAGGAAACTCTGGGAATTGTAGCTCTGTCAGGAGAATAGGAATCTTCTAACAACTTTCAGCATCCTTAGCAAACTACAGTTCTCAAGATTCTTTGGGGGAGCCAGCAGCGTAGCTAGCTGCTCGGGCACCCGGGGCGGCGTGCACACCCTGCGCCCAGGATGAACTACAGCTGGGGGGGCAGCGGGCAGACACAAGCCCCACACTGCCCTTTTGGGCAGTGCGGAGCCTGCAGGCGCCTGAGCCACCGCATCACTCCCAGGAGAGATGTGTGGCTTGGGCGCGCTGCAGGCCCTAGGCTTCTAGGCTGCAGGTCTCTGCTCTATTGACTGACTGTATGCCAAAGTTTCTGTTGTACGCAGCTCACAAAATGCTCCTTTCCCTAAGCCCTTGCCAGTTTTGCTGCCTGCCTCTTTCTTCACACCTGCCTGGGCTGCCTACTTATTGCAGGAATGGGAAATGTCTGCTGCCATCCGAATGCTGATAGGACTTCAATTCCCATCATCCCCAGACAGGATAATGGGAGTTGTAGTTCACCAACATCTGGATGGTCACATGTTCCCCAGTCCTGATATACTGGGTACTGGCCTCAACTTGTCTCTCTGACCTATGCTTTTTGCTTTCCTCCTCAGTCAGATACTTTGGCTCAGCCAGCTTGTTGAAAAAGGGCCAGCGCTGAGGAGACGCAGATCTCTCCACTCTCGTCCAGGGAGGCCCTGACTGACCCTGCATGGGATGGAGTGCCAGATCCCTTCTTCTGTCAGACAGACACAGAGAGAGGTTCAAGCTTGCCATTAGTAAGGTTTAAGTTTCAAAGGGGGTTGAGTTATGGGACAATCGGTTAACATGAAGCACATTAACCTTGCCAGAGCACAGCTATACATTACAGGCCTCTTTCATGTTTAAATATCATGGAATGATGTTCAAAGGAAGTTAAGAAGGCTACATTTCATTGTAGTAATATATGGGAAAACAGATAGGCAAAAAAAAAAAAATCTACCCAAACATGGATTTTCCATGTTACAGAGTGACTTTAGAATACCAATGAATAAATATGAATGAATGAACACACATACACACAGTGGGGTGGGGGGAGGCAAGAGTGACAGAAATCTAGGCAAACCATGTCCAGAGCAATGAATTAACACTTTCCAAAATTCCTAGCGAAAGCCATGTACAAGTCTTTTCTTTCATTCATTCAAAAAAGCGTTGGGAAGATCCCAAGGGGATGGGTGGCTTACAGAAAAAATAATTGAAAAAAATAATGTGGGGGTGAATAGAAGTTCAAATAAGGCATTATATGTTGGGTTCTACACAAACCAGCTTCTCTCCTGGGGAAAATAGCAGCTGGAGGAGTTTTGTTTTTTGTTTGTTTTTGTCAGGACTGTGTGGTGAGGGTTAACCCCTCCACACTGTATGCCACGGTGCTGATCCTGAATAGGACAGCCTGTGGCTGTTATTTAAACAGGAGGAACTGGGTACTTTAAATGCAATCATGCATTTAGCATATAGCCTAGTTTGGCTCTGGAGGATTTCATTTACAAATCCTTAAAGCCTGAACATCCTCCCCTTCCCTGTATGACCTGTAGACACAATGCAAAGGAATAGGCAGGAAAAGCATTGAAGAACATAATGTAAACTCCATGTAATCCCAAAGGGGCTTTCACTAGAGTTCAAGCTTTCTTGATACAGTAAGAAAATACCAGGAGAAGAGACAGTCCTTGGTGTGTCCTTGGGGATTTGTGGGCAGGTAGGTCTCAGTGCACCAATAACATTTCAATTCAATGGAGATGTGTGCTTGAATGCATCCACAGCCTTCGCTAGAGATAGTCTTAGTACTGGAAACTTATGCTGCATTCAGTCTCTGGGATAGAAGCGAAAGACAATTTCCCAGAGAATTTCTTGCTATGTCAGCAGTGCAGAACACAAAATTGCACTTTTTTTTTTGTCCTGCTAGTTTGGAACGACGACACATGCAGCAATCCTGTTGCCATCAGCCAAATTCTTCTCCATTGACACAACACAGTTAATATTAAAAGCTGATCCCATTCTGAGAAGCAATTGGCTGTCATTCAAATGCCTGGTGGTAAAGAAAGGTTTTTGACTGGTGCTGGAATAAATTCAGAATTGTCCCAGGCAAACGTCACTGGGGAGAGCCACTAAGAAAGCCCTCTCCTTCCTTGTCACTCTCCAAATTTCTTTCGGATGAGGCACCTGTAGGTGAGCTAAGGGTCTGAGCAGACCTGTAGAAGAGGTATTCCTTATGGTACAGAGGTCCCAAGCCTAATGCTGTAGACTCTGTCGCAGTTAACAGGGTGGATCTCTGCACTGAACATTGCGCTAATAGCACACATACAGAATTATTCTGAAAATAAGGCACCCGAGTCCAAATGTCCTAAGAGAAGAAAGTGCCACAGGAAATATAGCAATGTTGGTATCCATGCAAGTTGAGATAGTTAAATGAGGTGAAAGGTAAACAAGGGGCTGGTGCAGGTATACCCTGATCTCTAAGTTATTTAAGGAGATTTGATTTTGGGTAGGATTTAACTACATCTTGGCAAAATTCAAATGGCACAATTCAAAATCAGACCTGTTGTGACAAGTCAATCACGGGGAAAGCAATGAAACGTTTGGGATAACAATTGCTCAGTGTGACATCATATAACTTTTCCCAACATCACAACGACTGCTCAATAAATTGCTGGCATTGCCTAATCACCTCACAAACTTCATGCAAACAAATCAGGATGAATGCTCAATAAAGGAGTCACTTGGAAAAGACTTCAGAGATAAGCTCAGCGGTTTGAATCCCCGCGACGGGGTGAGCTCCTGTTGCTCAGTCCCAGCTCCTGCCCACCTATAGCAGTTCGAAAGCACGTCAAAGTGCAAGTAGATAAATACCTCCGGCGGGAAGGTAAACGGCGTTTCCATGCGCTGCTCTGGTTTGCCAGACGCGGCTGAGTCATGCTGGCTACATGACCCGGAATCTGTATGCCGGCTCCCTCGGCCAATAAAGTGAGATGAGCACAGCAACCCCAGAGTCGGCCATGACTGGACCTAATGGTCAGGGGTCCCTTTACCTTTTTAAGGCAGTCCAGACTATTTGAGCAGTATAGGCACCTTATGCTCAAAGCACATGACTTCCCCCAAGGAATCTTGGGAACTGAAGTTCATCCTGCACAGAGCTACAACTCTCAGCACTCTTAACGAACTTCAACTCCCAGGATCCTTTGGGAGAAAGTCTTGCGCACCAACTCTCCAGGGTGTGCGGCGACAAAGGTGCCTTGGCCCTTTTTAACTTCGGATGCCACGGACTGAACTTGGGACCTTCTGCATCATGTGATGCAGATGCTCTAGCACTGCACTAGAGTCCAGTTTTTGGAATGGCAGCAGGTCAGGTTCCCCTTGCACCCGACGCCAAAAATAAAAAATAAAACCGCGTATCTTTTACTGTCCCAAGTAATATGAGCGACGCTTTATTCCCGAAAACCCCTTACCCATTTTGATTGTTATGGTCAATGCTTGTCTCGCATTTGCTTGTTTCTCATTTGTTAATTACCTGATCTCTTGTCTGGGGACAGCCAAGCTGAAGGTGCATAAAGCAGCGTGTTTACGATTATTTTAAGCAAGTGCCGGTCCCACCCGCCCCCCTACTCGCCCACCTCTTCTCCATGCAATAAAACCGTTGTTTGTAGCGGGAGGGAAGGGCCTTTGAGCAACGTGGGGGTCTGCCGGGGCGGATCTCCCATGCAAATCTCCGCCCCGCCCCCAGGCCGAGGCATGCAGACCCCGGAGAGGCAAAGCTCAGACCCCAGCGTGGCTTTTCCCGTCTGGATCTAGCGCGGGCTCCCTCGGTCCTGCAGCTTCTCGCACTTGCCAGCTCTGCTCCCCTGCCTCATGGAAAGGCTGGGAGGAGTCCAATAGCTGCGGAGAAGAAGAACGGGGAAGCCACCTTCCAGGGAGGAACAGAAGACCCCGAGAAGCGAGGCGGGGTCCCTCAGAGAGAGGGGGGCGTGGGCAGCAGCGTCCCTGGATCGTCGCGCGTAGGTTTGCCTTCTAGTTTCAAACTAAAGGACCTCTCTCTGTCTCTGTCTCTCTCTCCCAGCTCTACCCAACTGCCTCCTGTTGCTGCCTCGGTTTCCTCAGGCATGGTGCTGCTCGCCTGGAACACTTTTCTAATTCTTTCCTGGCTGCCCCTTGTTGCAGGTGGATTCCCCGAAAATGTCAGGTTAGTATCAAAAAGGGGCAGGGGGGTTATGGGGGTTTCTACCTCTTTATATCTGTTCCTTTGGAGCCAGTGTTTTTGTTTTAATGCATATTTTGTGTTTCTCATTTGGTATTTTTATGTCAAGAGCCGCCCTGTGATCTTCGGATGGAGGGTGGTGTACAAATTTAATATAAATAGGTTTAAATAAGAGAGTGGGTGGGGTTTCTCTCGGGCACTTGTCTGCCAGTCTTTGCGGCTAGGAGTCACTCGCCAAGGGCTGGTTCAAAGCAGCATTTAATTCACCTGGAAGCTGAATCTGTGACCTGCCTCTCCTGAAATTTATTCTGATGGGTGCTCTGCAGTGCTTGGTCTGCTAGGGCTTTTTCACGCGGGGTGCCAGAGAACCTGAGTGAGAAATACAGCTGGGAATTGCAGCTCTGTGAGGGGAATGCGTGCAGAGTGCATTTTCAAGTGATCACAGCCCGTGCCTGTGGATCTAGGAGACAGGGCTTCCACCTTGCCGGATGTTGTTTGAAAGAACTTTGCGTGGCAAGCAATTCTCTTTTGGGGAAAAGAACAAACCAGTAGTTTAAAGGTGTGGCTGCTCTGAGGCTAGTGCCGTGGTGAGTGTTCCTAATCTATACACCTGATTTAGTGAGGATTTCGATGAGAGTAGTGCAGAAGATAATGCCAGAAGTTGTGTCTGCATGCTGTATACCTTAGAAGAGGGGCCAAGGTCAGTGTGCAAGGGATTGCATCTTTCTCTCTCTCTCTCTCTCTCTCTCGCTCACACACACACACGTGTTTCTCCTCTTCCTGATGCCACCCCTCCCTTTCTTCATAGAATCATAGAATTATAGAACTGGAAGAGATCCTGAGGGTCATCTAGTCTAACCCCCTGGAACGGAAGTAGTGCCTTCCTCTGCTTCCCCTTGCCACGCCCAATTCCTCCTCTCCTTCCCACATTAGTGGGAAGGCAGTTTATCTCCACCTCTTCTGTCTTGCCTCAGTGTCTTGTTCCGAGGAAGGACCAGGGTAAGGTGGGGAGTCCTTATTCTGTGTGTGGTGATTGTGGTGGCACAAGTACCCTCCTGGTCACCACCCCCAGAATGCCTTCCTTTGAGGAAAGACACACACACACACACACACACACACACCCCTTCCTCACTGGGTGGGTGGGTCATCAGCATCACCAGAGTGCAATAATGTAGTGAGTGGTGGACCTGGGGAGGGGGGGGGCATCCGTTTGCTGCTTTCCTGCGTTCATCTAATGAGACAATTGTCTCATTCTGCTTCGTGGTTATTCCACTTGCAGGGCGGCTCAGTTGTGCCTTGCCTCTTCAACAGCTGATTTCATGAGTTTGCCATAGAATACTGTATGCCATAATATGTAGCTGAACCTTGCAAGGGATGTTGTATGTTAAGCCTGATCCGGAAGTGTGTGAGGAGTTCTGTCCAAATCAAAGGGGCAGGTGGTGTTCTTAAGCAATAGCCTAAATCCCTCATGGGATCCAGACAGACTTACACAGCATTTGAAATTGCATGTTGGCAATTGGATATTCCCAGTAAACTGTCCTGTCCTGTGTGTTTCTGGCCTGGCCACACAGTATTTAAATGTACTGGCAGCATCCTCAAATATGGGGATAGGTGAGCTGAAATCAAACCTGAAAGTTTAACTCAGTGAGTTAAAAAACCCCTCTGGTAAAACATAGTTTCGAGAGCAAGTACAAATTACCATTATAGAAATGGTCTGAGTCACTCATTATATTTTAAAATGTACACCTTTAAAAACCTGCATATGAAATGGATTGACTCGTTTAGCTTTATATCCTGCTTGGTCCTGAGCCTGCCAAAAAAGCCATAGCTTCCCGACCCTTATTCCAAACCACAGTTCCAAACCAAAAGTGGCCAATATTGACAACCTGGGATCAATGGGATTATGTGAAGGGGTCAAAAGGGCATCAAAAAGGGTCTAGAGGTAGAAAAGAAGTTTCTGAGGTATACTGCAAAAACTTTGATTAGGAACTATGAGAAATAAAGGGCATATGCACCGTATATATAATATTGCCAATGAGGAACCTCTTTATTTAATAAGTTGAATTCACAGAATACAACAGTATTCCTTACATGTTATGATTCCTAGCAATGGCAATTGGTGATGAATAAAGGTTGCTTATATATTGGTATTTCATTTACATTTCTAAGAATTTTGCTTCTAAGTCATCAAGCGTCAGTGAGCTCAGATGTTTGGGAAGCCCTACTCTAAACCTGACTTCCTTAACTTGACACTATCCAGATGTTTTGGACTTCCAACTCCCATCAGCCCTACCCAGCGCAGCCCCAAAACATCTGGATGGCACCAGGTAGGGGAAGGCAGCTTAAGCTCCCCCCCAGTGTTATTGGATGCCATTCCCTCCCATTTTGATGCTCTGGGGCTTCCTTTAAATGGTACACCTGCCTGAGTTCTTCCACTTGCTTCTTCCCCTCTTTCCTGCTCCTGTTAACTAACTAAACCTCAGCTCTTTTTCCTTCTGTGTGGTCTGCTGGCTGTTTCTCCTGCCTCCTTTCAAGAAACATGGGAGCTAGAAGCATTCCACACCAATTGGCGCTCTGGCATTCTTCCTTTCACTCATCCCCATCCAGACTCTCCAGTTTTCTCTGCCGTAAGGGATTTTGGGTAGGGAAAGCAGAATCACACTACCTTTCTTTGTACAGCAAGGTTTTTAAATAGGGAGTGGGGAAGTCACATTTTGACGTAAAGAAATTGGCGGTGACCTCCCTGCCTCAATCCAGGAGGAGCAGGAGGAGGAGTGAGGAAAGCTCTTGAAGAAGATTCCTAGGAGGAGTTTCTGTTCTGAGCCCAGCATCAGTATAGCTGGAAGAAGAGAGGTCTCTAAGGGAAAATCTCTTGTCTTGAGACCACTAATGGGAAAAGAGTGTATTTTCCAGCATCTGGTGATTCCTCAGAAGCATTTGGACATCGAAGAAGCAAGTGGCAACCTCCTCCATCACATCCCTCGTTGGTTGTCTCCTTTCCAGCTTTGTCTCTCACCTGACCCTAGAGGTCCCTGCTCTAGTTTACATCATTATGTTTTGAAGCCAGTAAATCTAGTATTGGGGCAGTGCTTGAATTACAGGGAGCTGAGGGTGCCTGGTCCCTCCAGTTACTGCTTTTATAAGGCAATGGAAGCATGGTTGGCCAACCATGGAAGTTGAGGTTTTCCTACTTTCCTCTTCCCTCAACATTTCAAGCACTGTGTGGAGGGAGATAAAGGAAAATTGAGTAACATATGAGTTTCTTCTAAATTCTCCTGGAAGAATAAATAAACCACACCATGTCTTATTTAAAAATGCTGTCGATCATTTAGCTACTTGGAGCTCACAAAGATATAAAGCTCTGGGAGAGAAAGAGAGGTTCCAGTGTGTACTTTGAGTTGGTTTCCTTTAAATGAAGTGACTGGAGGCATTACTGTGGTAAAAGTTTTTATTTTCACATATATGTAGGTTGAGTATAAGCTGAGGGTTCACAGCATTAACACTCCCAACAGATTCTACTCCCGCATTCATGGTTTTTTTAGGGGCTACCAGTGTCACAGTATTGGATCCTTATAAAGGACAAGTTGGGCCTCTGTGTCTCTTTCTACCTTAGTCCCCTTAAAGGTAAAGGTAAAGGGACCCCTGACCATTAGGTCCAGTCGTGACCGACTCTGGGGTTGCGGCGCTCATCTCGCTTTATTGGCCGAGGGAGCCGGTGTTTGTCCGCAGACAGTTTCCGGGTCATGTGGCTAGCATGACTAAGCTGCTTCTGGCAAACCAGAGCAGCACACGGAAACGCTGTTTACCTTCCCACTGGAGTGGTACCTATTATCTACTTGCACTTTGATGTGCTTTCGAACTGCTAGGTGGGCAGGAGCTGGGACCGAACAACAGGAGCTCACCCCGTCGTGGGGATTCGAACCGCCAACCTTCTGATCAGCAAGTCCTAGGCTCTGTGGTTTAACCCACAGCGCCACCCGTGTCCCTTTAGTCCCCTTACTACCAGTTTATTGCTCGCTTTCACATCTACACTTTGATGAAATCACTTCCCACACGAAGAGGGTAAGCTTAGCTCTGATTCCCAAATTGTTCTCTCCTTCCTGAAGAATCCATCCTTTGAGAGGCACCTCCTTGAGGAAAACAAGATAGTTGACCCCTCTGTCAGTGTCATCAAGATAATCTTCAGTGATGCTGCTGGTTCCATTAACCTCCGCTGACCAGACCGCTGCAACAGACCCGTCTGGTAACTTTCAGACTACTGCCTCCTAATCAATGAGTATGTACTGATCTAGAAGTAAGCCCTATTAATTAGGATTGCACCTTAAATGAATGAGTTAAAAAATATTTGACCAGGAACATGAAGAAATCATTATCATCTATGGGTGGTTGGAAATAAGAGCAGGAAGTCACAAAATTAGAATCAGCTTAGAAAAAGTGAAGCCAAAATATCTAAAAAGAAAGTTTTAAAAAAACACAGGAAATGTGGAAATTTGTAGAAGATAAATGACAATAAATAAAAGGGGTTTTTGGAAATCTCTAGGAAATAAAGCAATAAACTTTTGGGATTTGCATTTAGCAGCAGATTTCAAAAGAAGTAAATATTACATAAGGCAGGCGCTTTGACTGTACTCTATTTGGCGCCTCCTAAAAGCATTTTTGTTTAGACAAATCTACCCAGATTGCTGGTGTGTGTTTAGTTTATTGCTGGTTTTAATTTTTTATTGTTTTAACTGTTTATACCAATAATTTTATTGATTTATTTCTTTTGTAAACTGCTTTGAGGGTTTTTAAAACAATCAAACACTATATAAACTTTATGAAATAAAGAAATAAATATTTTCTCTAATTTTGTAGCCTATCAAGTTTGTCAAAAACCTTAAGGAATAACTTTAAACTTATTGCTGTACTCTGGAGTAGTTCTTATGACATAAATGTAATTCCTACAAAGTAAGTAGTCTGAGACCTTGTAAGAAAAGCCTCATGAACTATGTGTCATAATTCCATGGAAACTGAACAGCTCTGACAACATTGCAACTCTGAGCGAGTGAATCCCAAAGCTAAGCAAATGCACAGACCTAAACTAAAAACAGCAGTCAAAGGGAAAGCTAGAGTGAAAAGTTCTCAGCCCTTTCCAACTTTGTAGATGCTGCACTTTGTATGAGTCCTTGCTTTCTTTGCATGCATGCATGATGGAATCGGTGTGATGTGCTATCACAGGACCTATTGTACACACATGGTTTGCCTTCTGTATGAAGAATGATTCCAGAGTCTGCAAGGTTGGCAGCTTTTCTGTAAATTGAAACCATTTTAACATGTATATAAAGATTTTCATGCGTGGAGATCTGCATTGTCGCCACACAGTAATTGCGGCAGATCAGTGTTTGTTTCCGATCAGTTAGCAGCTGCAAAGGTAATTGGAACCTGCCAGATTCCGGTAAGCATGGCTTTTTGAAAAATTGAAGTTGGTTCTGCTGTTGGTGAATCACAAATATACTGCTAAATTTTACCTTGTGAGAAGTTCAGCAGTAGTCCTGGTATATGCCTGGACTAGGCAGTGGGGAATGTTGGAACTCTTTTCTTTCTGTTAATGTGCTTAGCATGTTTTATTTATATGCAATGTGGATGTCATTTCCACTCGATTGACCACTACCCCCTGCAACTCAGAAGTATCTCTTCAGGGTTTCTGGTTTCCTTTTGATAGTCTACAGTATCTCCCCTTAAGCCTGAAAATGTATTGGAAGAAAATCTGGAGCTATTTGATGCTGACATGCGATTTTTGCTTTTAATTTTAAGAGGGAGAATAAACCACAAGTTTCTTTTAAAGTATCAGTTGGTTATTATTATTTTTTTGTGAGGTTTGGACTTGGTTGTTTCCCCCCCCCCCTTGGAAACTTTCGAGGATTTAATGCACTAAATATGTTTACCAGCAGTGTTTGGAAGCACAACATTGCAGCTTTTTCTAATTTTCATTGTCATCAATATCCCACAATCATTTCCACTTTAAAAAGACAGCCCAATCATAAATGTGTTTACTCAGGGCTTCTTCTTGTTTTTTTAAGCTGGAACTTGCCAGAACTCAGTCCTTGCACCTCTCAGGTGGGTGCAATTGCCATTCTAAGAAAAAGAGGGTGTTCAAGGTGACTTCTGGTACTTCTTTTTCGAGAAAAATAGCACCGTGTTTATTTGGAAACAAGACTCACTGGGTCAAACTGTTGCTGACTTCCTTGTAATTATAATGGCAGCCATGGCATCATGCAGAATTCCTACACTTAATGGCCAGGAAGTAGCAAACTATATCTTCATACAAATTGGCAGCCACACATACCCCCACCCTTGACATAGCAAACCACTTTTGAAACTGAGGTGACAATTTTAAAAATCCTATGACGTGGCATAAACACCTGCTGTTCAAGGTGTGTGTGTGTTCTTAAAATCCTACAGGCTTCTGGGTATGCTTGAGTTAGCAATTTGGATGCAAGTCCAATGTTCCTACATCCCATGCTGAATATCACTGGTGATTCAGCATATAGGCTGAAGCTGTTGATTCTTTGATGATGATGACATAAACATTTTTTTAATAGTACCATAGAGCACAAAGTATAATATAATAGTGGGATTTAAAACCTATACAGCTTTTCTATTTAACCTTTATCATTTAAGTTTGAAAATAGTAAGGATAATTTTTTTCAGGGGGGTGGAGGAACTGAACCACGTTTTTTTTCATTCTGCGTTTCCCATTGCTAATAGCAAAGTTATATAGTAACACAATCCACAAAATAATGTTCCCGATAGCCTCTGTTTAGGAATGAATGACAGCAAGATTAAGTGGATTTGTCTTTTTGCTATCAGCTCCATCCCAGCTTATTAACCAAGCCATGTGAAAAGTTTTTTTTTAATAAAACAAAACAATTTATTTCTCTCATATTTCTTTCCCTAGGAAGCTCTACTACACATAAGGTTTGTGGCTGAATTAATCATGTTTATCTCCAGAGACAATCCATGGTTTCGTTTTACCTTTATGAAAGTTCATAGGAAGTTCATAACTGGATGGCCATAACTATTCTATGGAGAGAAGGCCAAAGGAAATGTCACAAGGAGTTCTGTGATTCTCTCTGCTGCATTTTTCCCCCTTAACCAAAATCAGCTGAAGGAGATTTGACCTGGAATGTGATCAGAAGGGAAAGGGTTTAAGTCTACTAGGATTTGCAGGTGCTCAGGTTGCCTTTGGTTTAAACCAGGCATAGGCAAACTCGGCCCTCCAGACGTTTTTGGGACTACAATTCCCATCATCCCTGACCACTGGTCATGTTCGCTAGGGATCATGGGAGTTGTAGTCCTAAAACATCTGGAGGGCCAAGGTTGCCTATTCTTGGTTTAAAGAAACAGACCCAAAGCATAGGAGAATGAATCACAGACACCTTGCAATTTGCCTCTTATTTTATGTACAAACTTTTTTAACAGCACCTTTCTTGGTAAAATGATTTATGTGAACACTATTCTTGCTGCTATGTATAGATTCATATCGGAATTTAACTGCAAAGGTGGCAGAAATGGCTGCGAAAATGGGTGCACATCATTTTATAACCACCGAATCTAGGTTTCTTAGTAGGTTTCATAGGCTGACGCCCAATGTGTGATGCTAAAAACTTACATCTGTGCACCAAAAGTCTTTGTGTGCTTTCAAATTCAGCAAATTAGAACTGGAGGAAAATCATTAGATTTTGTGCTTTTATTTGCTGTTTATTTAATTGAGAACCAGCAGCAACACTGGCTGCTAAGGGCAGAGATGTACATCTTAACACAGCTGATGTAAATCTTTAGAGTTAAGGAAATTTGGATATATATGCAGGACATAGATGGAAGGCCACCTCAGAACCTCATGCCTGTCCCTCTGAAATCCTTGAAAAGGGGCAGAGGATTTAGAAGCTTAACAAATAGAAGATAACCAGCATTTTTGCTGGAGGGAGCAAGTCAGTTCTGCTGCAGTGAACCACATAGGCAGATAACACTTGCGATTAAGGTGCTTCAGGAGTGTTTAATTTCAGTTACTTCAACAGAACACCAGTGTGGCCAGCCTACGCAATGGAGAAATGGAACATCTTTCCAGGTCCTGGTGCTGTAGGGGATCCGTTAATTCATCTGTTCTATTTTATGCACAGCTCACGAGGTCGTAGGCAGCTCCTAACCATGAATCAACCTGGAGTCTGCCGCTATGGCTCTAAGCTTGACTGCTGCTATGGCTGGAAACGGAATAGCAAAGGGCACTGTGAAGGTAATAGCAACAACCTTTCATTCCCTTGTCTCCAGAAATATATCCCTAAATTTGAATGGATTTGACTTCCTGACGGGCCTGCCAGTGGTTTCGAAAATAAAGAAATGAAAGCTGCATAGTTCTGTTTGAGGGTTTAAAATGACAAGACAGGGTTAAGTGAAAATGTTCTGTTGCAAAAAAAAAAGTATTCTGATCATTTTAACTGATTTGCTGTACAGCACAGAACAACCATTAATCATTTAACAGATGCCACATACCATACTCTATCCATTTATATACATGGATGAGAAGAAAACAGTCCATTAATATTAACTGGTACATATCATATTAGCACTATTGTAGTAATTACCACAGCACATAGCATCACAATTACTATATGAAAAAAATGCAATTTTCTGTTTATTTTTAACTTGTGGTATAATGCTTCATCTTGTTTCCACCCTCCCTTCTATTAGTCCTGGGCAGATGCTGTACTTTCCAGGGTAGCCAAAATTCCTGATTTCCTGGGCTCATTCCATAACAAGTTCACAAATGTAGCTCATGGAAGAAAAGAGCTGCAGCTATTATACAAAATGAACCACATATCTTGGAGGAGTCTAAGTTGTGACTTGTAGAGTCCACAAATAGAATAGAATATAAAACAAAAAGTTTTATCCTAGGATAGAGTTGCCCAACTAGCCAGAAGACAAGCAAATAAAATGGCTTGTGTGATTTCCCCCACATCCACAGATACTCTGCTTTCATTTGGACAACAACAGTAAGGCCGAAAGTGGGGTCTTGTCGTCTGGGCATACACACTGTCCAGGCCTGCACTCCGGGGAGGTCACTTCAGTGCTGCTAACATAGTTGTTTCACTTCACACCAAGAGCCACACTCCATTCATTCACTCATTCATTCATTTTGATTTGCACATGTGTGCCAGGGAGATGTGGCCTAGTGGAACTAGCTTTGCACCCATGTGATGCAGGCATAGTTTAAAATGGCTCCTGTGTACTGCTGAAGATGGTGGATAGGTGACACAGGAAGGAAGGCAGTGAGTGCAGTGACAACACCATTTGAAGACAAGCCTAGTGTTTCCTGGCAGCCTCACCCCACTTAGGGAAAAGAAAAGGTTGTGGCAGGGAGTACTGCTTAAACAGTCAGGAAGGTGGAGCCAGAAATGCTCATCTCAGGTCAGATCCAGTATTATTATTATCTTCTTAAATTAAATTTCAATACAGTGGTACCTTGGTTTACGATCAGTCCTGTTTATGAACTATTCGGTTTACGAACTCCACAAAACCGGAAGTAGTGTTCCTGTTTGCGAACTTTAGCTTGGTCTAAGAACGGAAGCTGAACGGTGGAAGGCCACTGGCAGCGGGAGGCCTAATTAGGGAAAGCGCGCCTCGGTTTAAGAATGGATTTGGTTTAAGAACGAAGTTCAGAAACCGAGGTACCACTGTATTGCCTTTCATCCAATGACCACAGGCCAGTTTACATTATTAAAACACCAAAACAGATAACATAGAAACAACTAAAACACCCTCCCCCCAGTTTAATAGGCCAAAGATTGTATAATTAGCTGTGGCCTGGGAGAAGAGGAATGTTTTTGCTTAGTGCCTAAAGATCTGTAGCAAAGGCGCCAGGAGAGAACGTTCCACAAGTGAGATGCCACCACAGAAAAGGCCTTTTCTCATGTTGCCGCCCACCGGACCTCACATGGAGGAGGCTCATGAAGAAGGACCTCAGCATCTTCTCTGTGCTTGATGAAAGAAAGAAACTGTGTTTCCTGCAGGCTTATTTCCTTGTGTTTTCCCCATCATGCTCAGCTGTGTGGTGAATATGTGAGCTTTGACCTGTATTCTTTGGTCTGGCTTACTTTCTTGATACATATAGGTTATTTTCCAATTCTGGTACTGTTACAGTCTGGATTGCATTGGGATATGTGGAGCCCTGGTATGATATGTGTATAGTATTGCTTGGTGCTAGGATTCCTGTGAACATACGCAGTAGTTGTATACCTTAGAATAAATTTTAAAAGAACCTTTTATGGGCTCTACCCATGAGCTCCACCCATTACCCTTCTTTATTATTATTATTTTAAGAAGATCACTATGGGATTTCTATGCTCAGTTTTTACCCCAAAGCTGTAGTGTTAGAAATTAAAATACCACAGGGAAAATGCAACCTTTAAGCAAGCCATGCAGAGGTATTTATAGCCAGGTGCTTTTGATTAAGTGGCATATGTTGTCCTCAGGTATTTATGTTAAATGGAGTATTTGCTAGATTTTTAACTGTCTAGCATCCTAATGCAAATGCACCTGAGGATTATCTGTGTTGTTTTCAGCCCTCTGGAGAATTACTTCAATGAAGAACCTATGGTTATTTAATGACTTCTAAGATTTTAATAAAAAATAGTAAAAACACAAGGGAGAGGTTGAAATCTTTCTCCAGCTGGAGTCTGGCAAAGCTGAATGAACTAATAAAATGTTGACTCTTGGAATCGTCTCTTTCGTAGACGCTGCATCTGCTGTCCTGATGAGCTTAGCTTTGAATATATGGGGCAGATGAACAAAAGTTCACATCATAATTGATATGCTCACCAGACTGTTGTCCAATCAAAATAGCTGCCAAAAGAGCTTTTTCTCCTTGAACCTTTATTAATGCATGTTGCAGATAATAGCTCTAGTTGAAAGCATTGCCATCTGTTGAATAGAGAAGTCCTTTATTAATAATTTTTGTATTGTTTGTATAACCCCAGTTCAGCTGCTTGAGTATATGGTGTGCTAAGAATGGATAATAATGTGAAGTTCTTTTTAAAAAAGCAAGGAGAGCTTCCCACCAAAAACCAATAGAATATCACTGACTAGTATCCATTTTTCAAAAGCTTTACATTCTTCTCTTGGCAGATATCTGGTTTGAGTCCTGCATGATATATGGTGAATATATAAATTAAGATGCAGACGTTATGTGCATCTTAACTTATGTACCTTGGTTCTCGAACGCCTTGGTATTTGTACATTTTGGCTCCCGAACGCTAAAAACCCGGAAGTAAGTGTTCCGGTTTTTGAGTATTCTTTGGAACACGAACATTCGACTCAGCTTCCGCAGCTTCCGATTGAGTGCAGGAAGCTCCTGCAGCCACCTTGGTTTTTGAACGTTTTCAGAAGTCGAACGGACTTCCGGAATGGATTACATTTGAGAACCAAGATACGACTGTGTTGTTTTTTCTTTATTACACTGTTCCTTTCATTAGACTACTTTTGGTCAGGATTTTTATAATAAACACCTTTTTCATTAAACCATTTGGAACAAATGATGGCTTAAATTGCCAGATATTGATGTCTGATAGATTTTAGAATAACATTTTGGGAGACTCTGAAATTCAGTCATGTTAAGTTTGGAAACTTCTGAACAGTGGCCAAGGACTTCTAAAGGATTCAGCTAAAAAACAAACTAAATTCCACATGTAGAAGACTCTTATTCTGTGGAGTGGAAACCTAAACTCTGTGACCAAAAGCCTTATAGATTTAAATATATGGGTAGGAGATATAGAAATATGGTGCGTATTTTACCTAACCTTGACTGCAGAAGTGTCACTGGGCATGTGAGCGTGTTATGGGAGAAACTGCAGCATGGGACTGGAGTTTTTTGCAGGGTGGGGAGCTGGGCATTGAAAGAGTTGAGGCAAGTGATTCAAACATGCCTGTCCCTACTCTTTTTGTGGATGGATTAGCTGCATGAATTTCTAGAAGTTCAGAGCCAGTTCATCATCCCACCTCTACTTCATATTTTAGGATTCGCTCAAAAGCCAGGTGGCCCCTCCCTCATGCAGTCAGCTTAGGAGGAGTGTGAAGCTGCCAGTCAGAAGTCCACATGGAAGTATTTGCATAGAAGGACAGTCCTCAGTTAGAAGGCACCCTTTATTTGAAGGACTGTCTAATTTAACCCATTATAACATCACCTGGGTGGCGGTCTGAAAAGGTCACCTGATCCCAGGTTTCTGTGCTTACAGTGAGATGTGTTTCTGTTTCAAGTAAATTAATTATTTAAAGCATGTGTACCAGAGCAGCTTACATACAATCTGTTAAACAGGGTTTCCCAAACTTGGGGACTCCAGCTATTTTTGAACTACAGTTCCCATCATCCCTGACCACTGGTCCTGCTAGCTAGAGATGATGCAGTTGCAGTTCAAAAACAGCTAAAGTTCCCAGTTTGGGAACCCTGAGTTAAAACAAGATAGTCTCTGCCTACAAGCTTAACAGTCTAAAAGATATAACACCCAGTGAAAAGGGGTGTGGAGGGGAAGGGGGAGGGAAGCAAACTCAGGTGCCAATCATTAAAGTCAAAACAGTAGTGCTTGGCTTGGCGACAGTCCACAGTTCAGGGAAAGGAAGCCGTTGGTGGAGTCTTTCAGCAGAGCTGATGGAAAGAGCCCTGCTTCTCGCCTCTCCCACCGAAGCAGCCTGCTGGAGTAGCTGCTACTAAAATTACAGTACAGTGGTACCTCGCAAGACGAATGCCTCGCAAGACAAAAAACTTGCTAGACGAAAGGGTTTTTTGTTTTTTGAGCTGCTTCGCAAGACGATTTTCCCTATGGGCTTGCTTCGCTTGCTTCGCAAGACGGAAACGTCTTGCAAGTTTGTTTCCTTTTTCTTAACACCGTTAATACAGTTGCGACTTGACTTCGAGGAGCAACTCATAGAACGCGGTGTGGTAGCCTTTTTTGAGGTTTTTAAAGACTTTGGTGGTTTTTGAAGCTTTTCCAAAACTTTCCCGACACCGTGCTTCGCAAGACGAAAAAAATCGCAAGACGACAAAACTTGCGGAACAAATTAATTTCGTCTTGCGAGGCACCACTGTAATTATTTATACATTTACAGACATAAATATACATTAGCACATGCAGGTTATATGCAAATATCTGTGCCCTCCCTTTTCTGGTGATGAATTTCCACTTTTTTGGCAATGTGCAATGAATGAGTTTAGTAATAAAAGACATACAAATACTGGCATCTCTTTTTTTTTGTTTTGTTAAAAAGTGTGGCACTTACTATAAATAATAAATTATTATTATTTAGGGAAGCTTTTAATGTTTGATGTATTACAGTATTTTAATATTTTTTTGGAAGCCGCCCAGAGTGGCTGGGGAAGCCCAGCCAGATGGGTGGGGGGTATAAATAATAACAACTTCATGATGAGTACCGGCACCTGTTTTTCTAGAAAAAAGGCACTGAGTACAGGTAAGAGTAAAACCTGCTCATGGTCACCAGTTGATCTGAATGTGTATTGTATATGTAATGCCTAATACTTCACTAGACCACTGCTGAAGCGACAGATTAATTGAATTTCAGATTGGCATGGATTTTTTTGGGGGGGGGGGATATTGGAAGCAATCATTAACTTTGCTGTTAGTCATACCCTGTAGGAAGAAAATCTAATAAAAGTGAAAAGACTTCAGTTGTGCAGAAAGATAGCTGTAAACTCTCAGAAAGTAGGATTTTTGGCAAGCAGGCATTGTGATGCTTGGGTGGTATATTAGATTCTGATATGGAAAAGTGTTCAGGTCCAAATGTGAGCCTCTTTATTCCTCCTGAGCTCTCACTATAATTTCCAGGGGAAATTAAGTCACTCCAGAAAGAATTTGGATCTCCAGTAACCTGAAGCAAATCTGGCAATGATTGGAAACAAAATCAAATCAGCAACATTACGTTGAAATAAACATTTTCTGGAGAACATTTATTAAATTCCATAGTAAACAGGAAAGAAAAGAAGTAGGGGAAAGACAATGTTATATTCCAAAGAACAAATCATATATAACACAATTACAAGTGTTCTTGGGGTGAGTTTCTGTTGGTTTGATTTGCTAAAGTACAAAGTACTTGGTTGTTGTTTTTTAAAAGCTTACCCAAATTCTAAATACATGTGGACATTTTTCAGACCAAGGAATTAGACAAACTCTGCTTTTGGTCTTCTTAAATCCTTTTCTTATTATCACTGTTTTCAAAATAATAATAATTCTGAAGAATATACCAGTTGGGCTATTTTTCTTCTGCGTTTTCACTCCCTGTTTCTCTTTTCCTCCTTCTACAGCTACTTGTGAACATGGGTGCAAATACGGTGAATGTATGATGCCAAACAAATGTAAATGCTTTCCTGGATTCACAGGCAAAACCTGCAGCCAAGGTATGTACAATTTATCATTTTTCTTGTAAGCTGTATGCTTCAGCTGTTGCATACTTTATTCTCCAGCAGCAGCATGTACATTCTTCAGGAGATGCACATCCCTGCATTTCGGGGAGACCCTTTGAAACGTCAAATGGTTATTTCTATTATATTTAGATCAAAGACCTCCTCCCATCCCAATACACACACACACACACACACCTTTAATTTGAGTATGAAGTTGCAGTGATTTGGGTTCCTGCAACTACAACAGTCACATTGTGTTCTTATAAGAACATCTGGTGCCTCTTTCTAAGTGTAAGAAATACAGCTTATAGGCTAAGGAATCTTGGAATCAACTCAAGCTAACACCACTTCTGGCATCCCACTACTGTATTTAGCTATGCATTCTCTGTGGGCTAGGAGAAGCTGTGCTCTGGCTTCCAAGGCCGCATGAATAAGGGAGCAGAGTCTGATGTCATTAAAGCTGGACTGCAACGGAAGGCCTGCTCAGAAGAACTCTGGCTTTACGGGAGCTGCATGACTGCAGTGTCCCATGAAGGGTGTATGCTAGTTTTTTCTTGATGAAATTTACATGTTTTACTATCGGGCAGGAGGCAAAGAAGTGACAGCATAAGCAGAAGAGCCAAATCTCCCCTTGTCTTTTTTTCCTGTGCTCAAAAGCAGCTGCTGGAGGAAGTGTGACTTTTGGATCAGTACAGCAGCTGTGGAAAAATGGCCGCCCTCTGCGCCTGCCTTTTGTACTTGCCTTTTGCACTGTTTCCATGATTAAAGTCACCCCTTGACTGAAGCTGGTATTCAAAGTGAAGTAGGGGGAGAAATTTATACAGTGGTACCTCAGGTTACAGACGCTTCAGGTTACAGACTCTGCTAACCCAGAAATATTACCTCAGGTTAAGAACTTTGCTTCAGGATGAGAACAGAAATCGTGCTCCGGTGGCGCAGCAGGAGGCCCCATTAGCTAAAGTGGTGCTTCAGGTTAAGAATGGACCTCCGGAACAAATTAAGTACTTAACCCGAGGTACCACTGTAATATGTATATCTGTGTGTATCCCCTGCTCTGTGCGCCAGTTAAAGTGACACACGAATGCCCAGATGCCCCCAGTGCCATGGCTCCAATCTTCTTCATCTCCTTTTCATCAAAGGAAAGGATGTCAAGAGGTCTGATCATAGGTCTTGAATATATCATAAAGTTTGGCTTCTAAGTTTCATTTATTTGGATGAGAGAAATATGAGCATATGACTAACCTTGGCTAGACTGCTGAATTGGAGCAAACGGCAATTCAGGACCTATACCTAGAAATGTGGAGCGAACATGAACGAGCTCAGTGTCTGCTATATGTGCCTCCCATTAGCTGCAATGGATTTTTACACTAAGCAATGCATGTGTGCACACACGGCAGTTTAAACTGGATTCAGGGCATCCCATAGGTGCATGTTTTCGCTTTGTCCTCATCTTTGTCCACAGCTTAACATTTCCAGTCAATTAATTCAGATGTTTCTGATCCGTGCATAAGCGGGGGGTGGGGGTGGTTCTAATGTAAAATCTCAGGTTACCTGAGTGTGGGTACACAGAAGTGAATTGTGTGGGTGTGACTTTTCAACATACGTGGTGATTTTTTTTTCTGGGTGCTAACCCTAACCCGCGATGGGGTAAGCTCCCGTTGCTTGGTCCCTGCTCCTGCCAACCTAGCACTTCAAAAGCATGTCAAAGTGCAAGTAGATAAATAGGTACCGCTCCAGCAGGAAGGTAAACGGCATTTCCGTGCACTGCTCTGGTTCGCCAGAAGCAGTTTAGTCATGCTGCCCACATGACCCAGAAGCTGTACACTGGCTCCCTCAGCCAATAAGGTGAGATGAGCGTTGCAACCCCAGTCGGTCACGACTGGACCTAATGGTCAGGGGTCCCTTTACCTTTAACCCTAACCCTTTGTTTCCACTTGCTCATCACTTGAGCTCTACCTATCCATTTTGTCTCCATCAGCACAAAGGAAAGGGTGTCACATGCCTATTACTGTTGGTTGTTGCTGAAGGTTCCTTGGCAGTGGGAAGAGAGAAAAAAAAGTTAAAACAGCTGTTTTCTGTTGAACTGCTCTTCTGCAAAACAGCTGTATTAAAAATAAAATTGGCTCGTGCAGGTACAGCAGATGGGGAAGGGGAACAAAAATACTGTCTGCAAATCCCTTTCTCCCAAATCGCTCTCCCTGTCCTGCCTTGTCCGTTTTGTATTTGTGTGTGAAATGTGCAGCTAATGTTCTTCTTCTGAGCCACAACACAGCTTTCCGTGTTGGGAGGGAGCAAGGCTATGGAAAATGGAGGCACTTTGTGTCTTTGCCTGCCAGCCATTCTTCCCCTGGCAAGACACACCTTTGTGGGTTGCCGGTTCTCTACCTGGTGGTGCTGGGTGGGACACACAAATATATATTTATTTTTGAAGCTGCTATTTTGCGTGAGTGTGTAATTTGGAAAAAGATGCTGCTGCTGTTTTGCCCACTGTGAAACATTGGCTCTGGTGAAACTTTATTACTATGTTATTCCACAGACAAAACAGTTCTTTAAAACAAAAGGTGCGCACTCACAGGTAAGCAAATACCTGTGTGTGTACCCCCAATGGAGCTCAGGTTTCCACAACTTCTGGAGGCCACAGAATTAGTAGCTTGAGGGGAGAGGACAATGTCACTCAGCATGATACAGCCCATAAAACACCACCCACTAGTATGGACAGGAAACATTGAGACAGATTTAAATGGAACATTCTGGGGGGTGGTCAAAGCATGGATAAATTGGATCCATGCTACACACATGTGCATTAACACCCTGGTGTGTGCACAGCCAAATTGTCCTCGCTCTTTTCTTTCCTCTCCAGTTTCCCTAGGGTAAGAGCTATTTAAATCTTCCAGTCAATATGTAGAGGCCGGGGTTTGCCATCTCAGAACTTTCTACAGTGGAAATAACACTCAAAAGTTATCTTATCCAAAGTGTCTGTCCACTCTAATGTAGAGGCTACACATGTGCCATCAGTTGCCAGAGCTGTGTGGTGGTTTTGCAGAGGCTGCATGTATTGCAAGGGCAATACATGTAAAACAATGCTGAGTTATTTTGTCTGTCTTGGGGAAACTTTTTCAGCCTGAAGGTGGATTCTGCTATGGGCGGTAGTACAGGGACTAGCAAATATCCTCCATCATCCAAGTAGAAAGTCAAAATAGCTCCTCAACTTCATGAAGGCTTAGGGGATGTGGGTTAGGAAGGCATGTTGATTCCTCTCCACTAGTCTCTGGAAGCAGAGAGGTGTGATGAATGCGGCTGGGCCATGTCGTAACAGAGGCTAAACACTTGGCCTGGGAGTTCTCCTGCCAGGAGTTTGGTGCGTAAAGCCCTGAAACAAAGAGTGGCAGGATGAAGGTGGCTTTCTATCCAAAGTCCCATGGGTTCAATTCTCAGGCTCTGCAGCTACACCAACCTGGAGCTGGCACACAGCAAAAAATGAAAACTGCCTTTTGCGCTACATTCCACGCTGGCTGGCATGAGCTGGCATTGTTTCAAATGTAGTGGTGGCACCATGAATGCCAGCTACCCTCATTAGGACTTTTCTGCTTTGCGAAGATTTATTTTCAGGTTATGAAAATTTGCTTAGGAGTGAACCTAGACCTCCAAATTTGCCAGATGGTTAAAACAAAGTATTTAAAACTGGCAAGCTGGCATTTCTTCATACCAGTTTGTCGTTACAGATTTAAAAAACATTTTTAAAAAATTCTCTCTGTTTTTAAAAAAACAAAACATGAAAGGAAAACAAATAAAAGCATACCCACATTTGTAATCTCTGAAAATTGAATCCTGTCAATGTGTCCATCAGATTGAATTAAAGACTGCTTTTCTACATAAAAGAAAACCACGAGGAAATATAACTGACTGGTTAAGATCAATAGTAAAGGCCACTGGAAAGCAGACAATAAGCATTTTCATTGTTCTAGTAGCAAGGCAGTATGCCTGCCTATTCAGGAAGTATATGAACTTCAAAACAGAAAAGTTGATTTAGATCAATGATATAAAATTGATGCTTCAAGCTTGGCTTTAAATCATTGATTTACAATGGCTTAATAAATCATCCAGCCACAGGCAGGTAAACGAACTAACTTGTAAAAGAAATTTACATTTCTTGTTTTCAGTTACAGTGGTACCTCTGGTTACGTACTTAATTCGTTCCGGAGGTCCGTTCTTAACCTGAAACTGTTTTTAACCTGAAGCACCACTTTAGCTAATGGGGCCTCCCGCTGCTGCCGCGCGATTTCTGTTCTCATCCTGAAGTAAAGTTCTTAGCCCGAGGTAATATTTTTGGGTTAGCGGAGTCTGTAACCTGAAGCGTATGTAACCTGAAGCGTATGCAACCCGAGGTACCACTGTACAGATATTTACCATACCTAACTGAGAACCTCTGAGCTCTGGAGACAAGACTACGTGGCCATTCAGCATATACACAACAGTGTAGCAGCTGTTTTCTTTCCTCCCTTCCCAGTACAATCTATCTCTTGGTGTAAGACCCTTCCCCAGATTCTGTCAGGTGTGGTGGGAACTTCCTGCTAGCGCTCCTAGCACACAGCCCAGCAGATGGTCTCCTGAATTCTTTCTTTCAAGAATCTGGCTCGCTTGAATCCTGGAGACATTTTCTCCATGTGGGAATTTAAGCCGTAAAATAGGAACTGCAATAAGCTATTTTGTTTTCTTCCAAAGATCTACAAACTCATTCCCACCCCCACCCCCAATTATTTCTGCAGATATCAACGAATGCGGATTGAAGCCACGTCCTTGCGAGCACAGATGTATGAACACGCATGGCAGCTACAAGTGCTATTGTCTCAATGGGTACATGCTCATGCCCGACGGCACATGCGCAAGTAAGTGGCGGATATTACACAAGATGCAGCACGTGAGATGGGAGTCAAGCCCATATTGTAACTAATCATGAAATAACCTGTGCCTCATAGTATGAAGCAGCTGGTTAATTTATACTGTTACGAGTTGGTGGTCGTGGTGGTGGGGAGTAGGCCGTATGCCAAGATGCTGGAATGCTTGGGTAAAATTTAAACAAGATCAGCATTAGGCAAGCTTACCAAGAAAAGGCCTATTTACATTACAGGTGCCACAACTGAAAAGGCCCTCTCACCAGTCACCACCTGCCTAAGCTCAGGTGCCTAACCTGGGACATACAATGAAGAACTTAAGGTTCATGCAGTCTCATGTGGTAGACATGGTCCTTCAGGCATGCAGGCCCCAACCAATTTAGAGATCCACAGATAGCTAGTATTACGTTGAACTATGCCCTGTGAAATGGAACAGCAACCCATTTAGCTGTTTTTAAAACTGGCGGTATGGTTTTGCCACAGCGGTTCCCACTGCCAAAGAGACAAACCACTTTTTAAATCAGAGGCTTGTATCTATTTGGCAGTAGGAATAGCAGTAGCCAAATAGCTAAGGTATATGCTCATGTTCCTCCTTCTTCTTCTTTGCATGCCGGTGCATTAATGCTATTAGGGAAGAGATTTTAAGATCATTATCATCTGTTAATGAAACAAATCCTCTTACGCAGTTTTACCTATGGCTTTGTCAAGTAACATGTTTTTCAAGATTCCAGGAGCTGTGCCATGGTGAATTGTCAATATGGCTGTGAAGAAGTAAAAGATGACGTGCGATGCTTGTGTCCATCGAGCGGACTTCAGTTAGCGTCAAATGGAAAAACATGCATAGGTACATCAGCATCCATTTATGCTCTTGCTGTCATTAGCACAACGATTCCAAGAATCCAGCCTGTGCTTGCTGAACACTATAGAATGGCTATACTTTTAGAGCAAGAGCAAGTAAACTTTTTGGCTTGGTGGGGCAGGTCCTTATCTGTCCCCACTCCTGCAGGTGAACTTTGAGGCAGCACCATATGACTTTCACACAAACAAATCATGATGAATAAACAGGTGGTCTGGAACTGCCTGCAGAGTTTGGTGGGTTTTTGAAAGTCCCTAAAAACAAGTTTTTCTTCATGTTTTTAGACATCTAATATATCCACTCTCCAACTGTGGCTATGTGAGAAGCCCCAGGAGAAATGGTCTGGAGGTTTCATTCTTTTGGAAAGGGGATACTTCCTCATCCCAATGGACTCCAGGGATCTTTTAGAACCTAGGTGAATCTTGACGAGCACAGGAAATGAACTCTTAGCTGCGATTACAGTCACTCATAACCTTTCAAGCAGCCTATTCATTAAACACATCAAACTGGAAGCATAGCTTTGCAAAAGCTTGCTACTTTTGTCATGGATTTCATGACATGAGAGTATTTTTAGGCACTATAGAATGAACCCTTTTGGATTCTTGGCTCAGCTGTTAAACAAGAAACATGCCACAGAAGGAAACACTACTCCTCTTCTCCCAAATTTGTCTGTATAAATGGGATTATTACTGTCCCTGCCATCCTCCCATTGTTTAATTAATGTTTATTTGAGGCTTTTGTCCACAGCATAAAATCGGGAAACACAGTTGAAATCTAACAGCCAAGTTCCTCATGCACTCATGTTAGCTGTTTATGTTTGCATTTTCTTTATTTATAAAATACTTCACTATACTTGGAGCAAGAAAAATAATCCTATCTGGTTGGGAGTTGATGATTCCAAATTAAGGACTGCACTTTAAAAATAATTATAGACATCTGAGGTTTGTAACTCTCTGTTGTATATGGCAATCGTTTATCCATAATGCATGTATTTATAGAAGGCGGGAATTCTAGCCAGGCATCCATGTGAACAGAGTGTAAATTGCTTTGTACTTTTTGTGTGCCCGTTCAAGCACTGATACAAGCTGTTTCTGTCTTGAGACAAGGAGAAGAGGGTAGTTCTTTCAAGCCTGGAAAGGAAGAGGGATGAGAGTAAAATAGAAAGGGGGAAGGACTTGTCAGGGTCCCAAACACTTCTGTTCTAAGAAACTTGAATGAAGCATAGGATAGGAATTTAATACATAACCTAAATTTACTAGGGACTGGAAAGCTTTGAACATTTGCTGCATAAATCAGTGAGATCGTTGAATTTTGCTGAGAGTTCAGGTCCTGTAATAAAATAGGCATGCACCTGTTGGATATTTATTTATTATATGTATAGCCCACCTTCCTTCTTTGATGGAACTGAAGGAGGCATACAGTGGGGTTCCTAGGTATGGGCCAAACTTGCTTAGCTTCAACAAAGTTGCTATGCTATTGCGTGCCTTCAGATCATAGCCTGGCTATCAGAACAGTGGACATGTGTTTTTCTTGGTATGTGATGTTGTGTCAGCTCTGAGTCTCAACTACTCATTGACTTTCCAGAAATCAATCCTAACCAGCTGGCCTGGTAATACCTAACATTATTTACACAGCCTAAGAAAGAGGTTCAGAGATCTTAGGCAATAATTTAGGGTTGTTGCCGACTTCCATCTAAGACAGAATTTGGAACAAAAAATGGGTCTTGGGGACAGGTGAGGATTTGTTGAAATCCTCATGCTTACCCTGGTGTCTAACTATGTATGGCTTAGAGTGGCATGCATACAGGTGGAGCATCAGGGGACATATTATGGATGGCAACTATGCAGAAGGACTAGGCGGATTTCATCAGAAATTGGTAGGCTTTAATTGGGATAAGCAAAAATCAAGCTGGATTCCAGAAATGGATTTTGCATCTCTCTAGTATGGGGTATATCATTTCAGCATTAGTCATTTTATTCACAAATGTGACCATTAAGGTTTGTTTAACCACCTTTATCCTGATACCTTTTCCTTGACCTTATCAGATTTCATTTTAATATCTTAGATATTAATGAGTGCTCCAGTGGGAAAGGTGTTTGCTCTTTTAACCGCAGATGTGTCAACACATTTGGAAGTTACTATTGCAAGTGTCAAATTGGATATGAACTGAAATATGTGAGTGGCCGATATGACTGTGTAGGTAAGAATTAGATTCTAGTTTTCCTCTCCTCTCGTATGTGTGTACACATGCACATATATGTACATATTTTCCTTTTCTCATAAACTTGACTGATTTTGGTGTATTTTCGACCTGTAGTATAAATTTTGCTTGTGCTTGTATAAACTAATGCCCTGGAAACCACTTTTGGACCACTTTTGGAACTTTATTGAGTCTCTACTACCTAGTGGCAAATAAATTAAAATAAACACCTCTCTTTATATATTCTCTTTCTAGACTGATATGTGGAACCTATAACACAATATTACAGAGTATCCTCTCTCCTGAAATGAGTACTGTCCTTCAGAGTCCCCACCACTCTTTCCTGCCAAGCAGAACATTCCATTCCCCGATTCCTGCGCCCAATATTCCAGTTTTATGTTTTCAGTTATTACTCCACATTGAGAGGCTACTCAGTAAAGTGCACCCTTGTGGCACTTTGGGGTGTGTTGGCTTCTTAGGTTTGGTTTTTTAAAATTGTTGTACGTCTGCAAACCTTGGGAATTCCTCCAACCTGATATCTCTTGTTTCTCATTGGCCCTGTTTTGGCTACAAACTTGGTGATACTCACCACCTGAAGGAATGATAGAGCATTTCTTTGTAGCGTAGCTTAGAAAGTCAAAGGAGAGACTAACATCAATGAACGATCAAGTCTAGGGAATCTAAAAATTTGTTTGCCCTGTGGATGTGAGCTTAATTTCTAATGAAAAATAGTTTCCAAGTCTGTTTTGATGCCATGTGGATGACTGTATACAAGACTTAACATCTGTACATGCATTTGTCCTGGCAGACAACACTTTATGCTTTGTAATTATTTTTGTTTTTTAAAAAATCAATAAAGTTTGTAATTTTTTTTAAAAAAAAGTTTGTTTAGGAATTCTCTGCCCCCTGCCTACTAGTTTTCGACCAAATGCTTATCCCTGTTAATGGTCTACCTCCAGTCCCCAGAGTGATATAAACCAGAGAAAGACAATAAATGGGCAGTTTGTTCAAATAGAATTTTTGAATTAATACTCATTTATTGTTAAGATCCCCTCCTTCTTTATATTCATTGACAAATGCAGTCTTTAACCATAGCACTTACAAAGAGGCTTGCCAACATTTTCTTCTGATACGGTTCCTGTGCTTGCATTACAGGCAGGTATTAAACAGGTGCACCTTTTCTCAGCATGAAAATAATGTTTAATTTGTTTTAAATCTCTGACTTCTCTCTGTCTTCAATTATTTGTTTTCTCTTGCCCCCCCCCGCCCCCTATTCCTCTAGATATAAATGAATGTACTACAACTATACCTAAGTGTAACATCCACGCAGAGTGTCTCAATACTCAGGGATCCTTCAAGTGCAAATGTAAACCAGGCTACAGAGGCAATGGATATGAATGCTCTGGTAAGTGCAAGAGAAGTGTCATTGATTTATTCTAACACCTTTCTCAAATGATGGGAAGTTGGGACATTTTCAGAATGTACTATGTCTTTTTGTTTCCTATAAGATCCTGTGAACTGCTGACTGCTATCAGGAATCTGGTCAAGGGGCATCATTAAATTTCTCTTTTATGCTCTTTTCTTTTCTGACAGTTGGTCTAGAAATTTAATAAACAAATAACCAGAAATCCTGGTAAAGTGTGGAATTTGAGGTTGGGGTAGGAGGTAGAGATACTTGATACTCTGTCGAAGGTGAACATGACCACAATCTTCATGTGGTTGCATAGGTTCAACTTATTTTATATTTGTTGCTTTGTTTTGTTGTTCTGGCTTTGGGAAATCCGGGGGGCATGACCCATAAGTGCATTTCTTTCTTTTGTATTTACTGTGAAATAAGAACAAGCCTTGCGCTTTCACCGTGGAAATGTGTCTTCAGTTCTTGTTAACTTTCCTAGTACAGGCCAGCCCAAGACATTTCACCACCTGAGGTGAACTACAAAATGTCCCCTTCCTCACTAGGGAAGAAGGTGTGAGTTCTGAAGTTCTGCCACTTACATTGGCCAGGGCGGGAGGTGATGGGGTGGTTTTATCCCATGTTGCTGTGCTTTCTCCAGTCTTGTGCAGCATAGAGACCCATATTTATCACAAAACAAATGTTTTTGGAGAATTTCCTCAGTGTCATAAGTCGTGCTTTTGGTTTCATTGAATACTGTATACTAAGCACTGATTTAACGATGCACACTGTGGAAATTTAATCCCACCTAAAGGGGGATTACAATTACAGTGTGAATATTAGCTCTTTCCACCTCATTTGACATACCTTTCCATAGTGCAGTCTAGACATGGCTTGCGTGATTGCCTGAGGAACAAACATTTTTACCGTGTCAAACTGATTTACCCTGCTAGAACCCAAGGTGAAAAAAAGCTGATTTGGTGGGGGTGGGGTGAGGACTGTGAACATATTGAACATTGGTTTCAGCCTATGAACTGTGGCATCTTCAGTGTTGTCTGGGTCTGGCTGAGGAATCTGACATGAGTGGACTTGCAGGGATTGGATGTGCTAGATGAGTGCATCCAATCCCCCAAACTGAGCACCATGTCATGCCCCCTTGATTTCCCAAAGCCAGAACAACTTTGCTGCGCAGTAAGAATATTTCATTACTTATAGAAAGACTTCAAAGCAAGAACTGCAAGCAGATGTTCTGGTTTGCTGGGCAGTCATTCTGTCTTGAAAACCTCAGCAGACTCTTTAGTAAAACGCTAGGGGTTTGCCTTTCTTATTGCTGAGAGGAAATTTGTAGGGAATGGGGGGTTTCAAGTCAATTTTTCCTCGCTGTACCCTGAATAAAGATTTCAGTGAACCATGTCGGTTAAATTTCACAGTGTACATCTTTTAACAAAACTCTGAGAGGGAGGCATCTGGGCAAAACTAACCAGGAAATATTGTTCATAGGAAAGATTGAAACTGCAATGCTGTTTCTAACTTTGCAGTTTCTAACTTGTTAAAAGACTGACACTAAAGCCTCATAAGACTGAATGCTGTTACAATATGTGCCAACAAAACAGAACAGCCTTCTTTTGTTTCTGTCCTGGTTGATTGGGAAGAAATTATCTAACCAAGTATGTTGGACAAATATACTCAATGTTATCTCTCTTTAGTAATCTCTCTTTAGTAATACATATGGAGTATGATATAGGTTTGTAGCAGGTTATCTCCCCATACTACTTCTACTTTTGTTGTTTAGTCGTTTAGTCGTGTTCAACTCTTCGTAACCCCATGGACCAGAGCACACCAGGCACTCCTGTCTTTCACTGCCTCCTGCAGTTTGGTCAAACTCATGCTGGTAGCTTCGAGAACACTGTCCAACCATCTCGTCCTCTGTCGTCCCCTTCTCCTTGTGCCCTCAATCTTTCCCAACTGCTACTATTTAAACCCAAATGAGCCTATGTGAAATATCACATTTTCTGTTTTATTCCCATGAATTACAATCATATTTTTCCCTGAACAGATGGGTCACAGACATTAATCATGAGCAGAAAGGACATGTCTTGCTGTGCAGAAACTATCTGGCTTCTTCTCTAAACACACAAAGTTAAAAATATGACATAAGGTCAAATCTGTCAGCCGCTGGAATAACTATATATTTGTCTTTTCAGCTTCATTTAATGGTCTTTCCCTGTTTTCTCAACATAGATGTTTAAGTCACAAAGCATTGCTTTTCTCACTAGCTTGGATGTCATTCTAGTACAAAGAACTTCATTGCAAGATCTTAGGGATTCAGGCCAGTGCGAATGTTATCCAGAGATTCCAGAGCCATAGAGACTCAGAGCTGATTTTCATCTTAACCTTTTAATGAATCAAATCTGTACTGGTGGAATGCCTTCTGGATGCTATTACAGGCAAAGGTAGCTAGTAGGGATGGTTGAGGAATTCACCGCTTGTAAATTCTGATATGTACTGGCCTGATTTGCACGTCTTTAACGAACGTTGCTTTCCAACAGGTTTCATGCTTATCTGAACACTGCAACAGTTCTTATCTCAAAAAACATAAAAATGTATCTAGAAGTACGTGCATCAAGATAAACTGCACGGGTTACAGTGGAAACACAACAGAATGGACCTAATGAGTGGACAAATGCAAAAATGATATGGACCAGAAATAAGACTGATCCATACACCCGTAGTAGCTGAGGATTGTTCCCAAAGCTTACTTTGTCCTCTGGGAGACATAATTGGAAGCAGCTATCCATAGCTATTCCCATTTATCCACATGGACTGTGGTCCTTGCTTTCTTTTGACAATTGGCAGGCTCCTGATAGGGAAGAGCAACTGCTGGGAATACTCCGCAGAATTTGTTATTTTCCTTTGTGACTGATTTGAGCTCTATGGTGCTTGACACCTGGCTGACCACAATACATGCTGATGAATTGTGTTTGACTTGTTGCTGACAAGTTATTCCGGCCCAGTGGTCAGACACAAAACTAAGAAATAGTCACTTACCTTTTTAATAGGATTGACAAAGAAAACATTCAGTGCTGCCCAGGTCTTCTACTCTGTATACCCTTGGCTCTACATAGAGACATCTTTACAGATAATATACATTGCTTTGAATTTATTGTACTTCAAATACATTTTTAACATTGCCAACTGGTGTTTCATCATGTTGAGAAGCACTAATATTCTGCAGAAACCTAAGACCCTTAAAGTGTAAGCTAAGTCAAGCATATTTTGTGTTTTCTTGGTTCTCTACCCCATCCCTGCTCAGTTATTCATGAAAACTATGTGAAAGACATTCCCAGAATCTCTGGAGTTGCCAAAGAGAAGCTCAAGAAGCTGCTTGTGCACAAAAACAGTGTGAAAAAGCATGGAGACATAAAAAATGTGATCCCAGAACCGCCTGTGACCCCAGCTTCTAAAGTTCACGTAAGACCGTTAGACTACGAAGAGGGTGTGCACACAGAAGGTGCCTATGGTGAACAGGGGGAAAGTACTGAAGATGTCAGAAGAGAAGGGAAAATAGAAGAGGAAGAGGAAGTTGAGAAAGGAGGAGAAAGGGAAGACCTTGAAAACCAAACTGGTCATGAGAAGAAGCTTCGAGGAGATGTATTTTGTAAGTTTCACCTTTCATTCCCCCCCACCCCAATGTCTAAGATGATGCTGAATTTTGAGAAGCATTTATTAACTTCTGTGGTGGGATGAGGTTTTTCTTTTCTTTTCTTGTTTTATCAACAAAACCCAATTTCTACTCCACCATTTACTGCTACCATTTAATAGCACCTACACCGTTTAACCCCTTAACTTACCAAGAACCCTGATAACCGTGGGATATAGGAGTGAAACAAAGCCATTCCGATATAGGGTGGGATTCAACTGAGTTGTTGTGTGCTGACACAGAATTCCACTCACACAATGAGACTCCCCACCTCTCGCCCTCATATGCCTCTCTGTGCCACCTCAAGCTTCTCTGGAGAATTGGGGGGGGGGGCCTAGAACAGGGTATGGGGCTTGCAGGGGAGGAGATGAGGGAAAAGTCCCACTGTTGTGAGCAGATCTCATTCCCCCACACATACCCCATTTAGTGCTATGTTGAATTTCAGCCATAGCTGCTATAGTTGACAAATACATTCATGCTTATTTATTACAAGATTATATAGTGCGCAAGTTCATGTGGTTACTGTGATATAGTGCTCTTTCTTTAAATTGGTATATGTTTTGTTACTTAAATCTGGCTCATTTTACACTACTAAACCAAGATAGCTTTGAGGAGCCTTATCAAAAGTATCTTGCCTGATTGCCCTTGCCCACTATAACTGAGGACTTTTGTTAAAGCCTCTGTTTCAACCTTCACGGACCTATTAAATGCAGGTATATTTTTTCCTGTCCTATCCTAGAGTCTTCCACTGGCTCTCCTACAAGACACCAGCACCTAGCATTCCAAACTGCCTCTCACTTCTTCTCCCTCAGCTCTGTAGACCAGAGATTGCCCACCCCTGCTATACAGCCTCTGCAAACGGAATGAGGCAAGCATGCAGTGTGCATCTAAGCAGTGCAAACATATGGGTACCAGTCTGTCCTGCTACCCCCACTCATGCATGCGGTAGATCAGGAAGAGAAACCAGGTCTGCAGGACCTGAATTGGCTATGCAAACTGCATGGTTGGTTTCCACGTGTAAACTTGGGGCTGTCCTTGAAAGAAAGATCTGTGTATCTTTTCTCAAAACACTTCCTTTGCTTCTAGTTTAGTTGGAAAGCACTAAATCAGTGGCCATGACAATCTGTCATGCAAGCCCACCCTTATTTCACTTAAATCCTCAGGATTTCAAGTTGCCATATTATTCATATGTGTGTGGTGGGTTTTTTAAAGTGAACCTTGTTTGGCATAGAATCAGCTGTTTCGTTTTTGTGATGCACAAACTGTTTTTCTTTCTGTCTATGCTAATTATATTTCTTCTGCTTGAAAACATCCAAATGCCCACATCACTGTAACAAAACACAATCTGGATAAATGAGATTGTTTGAATCACGGCCTTTAAAATCCTTTTAGTGTTGGTGCTTTAGTTAGCTTAAACAAATAAGGAAACAGTTTACAGTACATGCCTTCACTGTTTTCAAATATTTGTTGATTGACTTTGCATGTTGATTAGACCAGGATAAACGCAGGGGGACTTATGATCCTCATTTATCAAAACTAGGCAGATAGTAAGATATTTAATGATTTCTCAGTGATTGCAATATGTTTCTTTGTTGACATATACCAAGCAAGGATGGGGGAACAAGAACATTTGGCTCAGTTCTCCTCCAACAGCATGTCACAGAGTGGCCCTTTTGGATAATGCTATTGTTTGCAGTACATGCAAAAGCGTCAGGTTCATATGCTACAGCTTCTCATCTTCGTCCTCCTCTGGTATGGCCATGAAGAGAAGATCAGAAGCTTTCTCTTCCACTTTTAAAGTAACCGACAGTCCCTTGTATTCAAATGTGGGAGACCTGCTTAGTTTAAACTAGCTTTCCACAACCTGATACCCTCTAGATCAGTGTTTCTTAAACTTGGGTCCCCGGCTATTTTTGGACTACAACTCCCATCATCCCGAACTAACAGGGTAGTGGACAGGGATGATGGGAACTGTAGTCCAAAAACAGCTGGAGACCCAAGTTTGGAAAACACTGCTCTAGATGCTTTAGAGTACTGTACAGCTCCTATTGGCCAGGCTATTCTGGCTGAAGCTGATGGGAGCTGTAATCCAAAAAATCTGGAAGACTATCAGGTTGAAGAAGGCTTGTCTAAATTGGCATATGATCCTGGCCTGCTCAGTAAAAATCAGCCAGAGTCCCCCAAACTCTGATTAGATTAGATGAGTCATGACTGCACCAAAAGATAAAGGTGAAGGGTACTTGTGAATCCAAAGCCTGAGCACCTAATGTTAAGCCATAGTTTAGAGTCACATCTGAACCAGGCTAGTCTCCTCATGGTTTTGTGACATAAGAAGGAGCTGAATTTTGGTGAAGCTGTGAGGAGAATTTTGGAAGTTTTTACTTTTGTTTTAGATTAACCACATCTTGTGGTTCATTTTAGCTATAGTTTGTAGAAAGCTGCTTCAACCCTGGTTTGAGAATCTGGCTTGTTTAGGGATGAAAAACACACCAGGGGAGGGAATGGGAGGGGGAGCCAAGGCTTATTCTCATAATGCTAAACCATAGTTTAGTGTTCTGCCTGAAAACAGGCATTGTGTGTCCATAACGCTCATAGCAGCTGCCAGAAACATGTGGCAGGTATTTGAGAGGGTGCTGCACAACTCAAAGCTAAGAACTGAAACACATGTTATGGTTGCCACAAGGAAGCTACCTAAAATGGTCTCAGAGCCAATCATCCCAGCTGAAAAAGAAAGAAAGAAAGAAAGAAAGAAAGAAAGAAAGAAAGAAAGAAAGAAAAGGTTTCCTTCCACCCAGTATTTTAAATTTAGGCCCAGCAAAGAAAATGTTCTGCTATGACAAGTGAAGACACATTCTAAGATTTCTTCCTTACATGACTCAAATTAACCTTTTGAACGAATGAATGCTCCTTGCAGAATTTGTACATTTATTGCAACTCCAGTCTGTCGTCTGGGACAGCTTTCTTACCATAAATTGGCAGTGTTCAGTCCTATGTCTCTCTCTTAAAAAAAACAACGACTAATACAGAGCATAGTAGGCTCCCATTATCACTAAATTATGGTATTTCCATAAGTAAAACTTGCACCAAAAACCAGCTTTGTACAGTTGTAGTGGATGCATGAGGTTTGATCAAATGCATTTTTAATGGTGTGGGTGAGATGGGGGGGGTGTTCTGTAATGACTCACTGCTCTGGTTATTGTATGCTAAAATACTGCTTTATCGTTCTTATATCATATTCCATTGAAGTGTCTAATTTATATTTATTTACCTGCTGAAGTGCCAGAGAGTGTTACAAAGTAATTTGACCAAAGCTCTTCCAGATGGTGCCCTAAAGATTTATTCTGTGCTGTGTTTGTCATCCCAATCTCGTGGTTCCTCAGATGTTTGGCCAAAATGACCTCCTCTTTAGTTGATGCCAAGAACGTACAGAAATCAGGCAGCAGGAAGCACTTGAATGGAGCACAAATCACCACCCGTGGTGATTAATAACAACTACTGGGGTCACTGACACAGTTGATCTGAACTTTACTGTTTCAGGAGTAATTTCTGGCTTCACCTTCAGATATGTCCTACATGCAAATCCTTCATTAGCACTGCCACTAGGCCTTGATACTCACAGGCACCCAGGCTTAAGGTAGCAACTTTTGGCACAAGCAAGGGCTCAGATATGCTCACTGATATATATTTTCTTTTGCCTTCAGTAGTGCCCCCCCCCATGTCATATCTTTGAGTTTCAAACTGAGCATCAAAAACAGCTTGTGGGGAGATTTTGCAGAGAGGAGGAGGGAATGTTTGCTATTTGAGAATAATTAATCCAAACATGCCAAGTTGTGCAGTTCTCTGGATTATATCCATAGTTTCTAAGGAACATTTTGGCTGAAATTCTGCATAAACAAGTCTTGAAACCCAGCAACATCAATAGGATTTAAGCAACCTAACTGTTATGCTTTAGATGGAACACCAAACTGTGGTTTTGTGTTATGCATACAACAAACTTTGGTATCATACCTTCTCCATATTGACCTTGAGTGCTGCAGTTTCTTTATTTATTTTTGGATTCGAGGCATGGTTTGCATTACATTTGAACCCAACAAGCTATGCCTTCCTCAAGCCATAGTTTGTCTGTACTCTAGAACCACAAACTGTGGTTGGTGATCCTGGCTTGCAAGCAGTCTTAAGCTTTGACCAAACCATAGTCTGCCCGATTCAGATGAAAAAGCAAGCTATGCTTTGCTGAGAATCCAGAAATAAGAAAATTGCTGTTAATGAGGAGGAGGAGAAAAAGAAGCATGCAAACCCCCAGGCTCAAACCTGCTCATGCAAAAAAGAAATAAAAAAAAAGAAAAACAGAAAAACTATGGTTTGGCATTATGTCTGAACCAAGTCTACATTCAGGGTTGCCATTGTACCTATATCCTCAATCAAGATTCTTCTACAGTTGTTCAGAAACTACAGTTGGGGAATGCCAGCAAATTGAGGTATAAAATATCGTCAACAAGCAATTTTTCCTTCACTTAAAAGCATTCTGTAATTCAGAAGGAATAATTAATTCTGACTGGTGGTTTTTCAGTTATCTCTCCCCCACCCCCACCATGTGAAGTGAACTTAGTATCTCATAGTTAAGTCGCTTTCCAGTTTAGTCATAGCTCTTTCCCTTACCTCATACAGTTATATGAAATAAACACTTTTTTAGAGGCTTACACATTTGATATACTTCCTTCTAATTCAAGTAACAGAAGTCTAGGTGATTTAAACCATGGTCTTAGTAACGTGAATCTTGCAATGGTACTAGACAATAGAAGCTTTTGGCAATACATTGTAGTCTATGCAGTATTTCCTGGATCATCTTTCCTACGTTCTGTTGAGCATATTTAACTGCCTTGAGGGTCTTATGTCTTTGTACATGTGTACTTGTCTTTTCAAGTAACATCTGTCAAAGGTTTCACATATGGCCCCCAAAGAGACCTGTCTGTTTTCAGTTTTGCAAAGTGCTAAAGAAGAGCCTTATGTACCAAATAATCTCCATGAACCTTAACACATGTTTATACGGGAATGGCTTGTTGCCAAATCAGGCCCTGGGTTAGTTTTCGTGCCTGAACCAAACTTCCATCCGTTTGTCACATCCATGTATGTGGAGGTGATAACTCAGAGTGTGGTCTTCAGGCACATACTGCAGTTCTACTGCTAAAGCTAACTGGGTATAGCCCCCCAAAATTCCTGGATGAGACTACCTAGGGGATCACAAGCTACTCTGAGCTTTTAGGAGTAAGTGTAAGGTTGTCCTGGGTCCTGTATTGGAAATACCTTTTGAGTTATAACTCCTTACAAATATTGCTTTGCCAACACACAGTATTTTGCCCTGTCCCACAAAATGCATGATGCACAGAAACCTGATTATTGCATAAAAGAATGAACATGTTTTGGTGAGGCATTTGAATTTGAGCTCCTTAAGGTCTGCAGAATTTCATCTAATAAGGGATATTATCTGGAGATAGCTTAGCCATATATTAGCTTTGGACGCATAATTTTTTAAAAAATTGTCATGTAAACATAACTGGTAAGTATATGTGCCATATAATTTGTTACATTGTGAAAGCTTGGTGGTGTGTGATGTACAAATATTTCAGTTAATTCATATTTGGATTAACTGGTTGTGTTTTTTTGGAACTAACAATATATGTTTCAATCACTCAGCTAAAGAAGCTGCTGCGTTTGGGTCTCTTCCAGCACAAAGGAAACTTCCAGTACAAAGAGCAGAGCTGGAAGGTGGGCAGATTTAAAAAGGATTACTTTTGTTTTCATCTAGTGGTGGTGTCTTTTCATGGGATCCTTCATTGGGTGAACTTTAGGACATTAAAAATGATAATAAACAGCCTTTTTTGACAGACAGAATCCAACACTGCAATCCTAACTATGTCTACTCAGAAGTAAGTACTATTGAATTCAGTTGGGCTCACTCTCGGGTAAGTGGCTTCAGAATTGCAGCCTTAGATTAGTTAAGTACTTGTAAGATCTTCTATGGGTCTGTTTATAAAACTTCATATTTTCACAGGCCTGCATTCAAGCCTGTCCCCCCATCAGTCAAACTCATCTGTTACCTCCCATAAATCTTCCTGTGCTTCTATCTGGACAGCCTTCCACTTGTGTGTGTGGTTCCAATTTCTCATGTGTACCATATCCCATTTAACTTAATTGATTCTGACTGTGCTGGTTTCAGCCTGACTGCAGTTTATCAAGAAATATTACTGAAATGTGAGATGAGGTACACTGATACACCAAGATGCTTATCCAGAGCTTATCTAGGCAGCATCACCTTCTACTGGGTTCCACTTCACCTGGAAATAGGGCAAAAAGATACAATAAGAGATTGGTACAACTAGCACTCTTTGCTGATCCTAGTTTACAGTTCAGAGTAGTAGCGATGAGCTAGACAACTGCATCATGTCTGCATTATTTGCAAATATTGAAACACATACTGCTAGCAATGTGTGAACAAGTCAGACAGTTCTATGTCTGAAAGCAATATATTCAGTGCAATATATTATCCTGGCTAAGTGGGAATCATTTGTCCATGAACAGCTCCAATGCAGCTGAGTGAATAAATATATATAGCTTATCTTAGGGGAGAAGGATTGAAAGGGAAGAGAGTTTTGCTTTGCTTTACAGCATTTTTAAAATGCTTCATCCACTATGTGTAATACAACACCTTGTATTTCCTTTCCCTGAATACCTCATCTCTATTTCTGGACCTCACCTAAGTGGACTGCAGCTTTGGGCAAGGGTCTTGTGCCTGGCAGCAAGATATAAATGATGACTTTGACTGGAATCCTGCAGATCATGATAATGGTAATACGCAATGCCTCCTCCATCCCTTGGCCTCGCTTGGCTTCCTCTGTGTGTCCCCTCCTAGTTAAGAGGTGGAGTTTGATCACTAGAGAAAACCCAGGAAATGTGCTTATATATCAGATCATTGGTCAGTTCAGAAAATAGACCATGGTGTATTGGACCAAGATCAAGAGTTTTCCTCGCATGCTCAAATGCAACGTTTCCCCCAGGGGTTTTATGACCAAACCAGGAAACTGTGGTTTAATCTCTGGCTATAAACCATGGTTTGATCCTGGTTAGATATCTTGTAGATGGACATTAAACAACAGTTTAACAGAGAGCCAGTGTGGTGTAGTGGTTAAGAGCGATAGATTTGTAATCTGGGGAACAGGGTTCGCGTCGCCGCTCCTCCACATGCAGCTGCTGGGTGACCTTGGGCTAGTCACACTTCTCTGAAGTCTCTCAGCCTCACTCACCTCACAGAGTGTTGTGAGGGAGGGAGGGAAAGGAGAATGTTAGCCGCTTTGAGACTCCTTCGGGTAGTGATAAAGTGGGATATCAAATCCAAACTCTTCTTGTCGTCTTCTTCTTTCCAGATGTAATGAGAAATTGGTTTATAACAAACCCCAGAGGGTTTGTATTACAGATGGGGAGAGGGAAGGAGAGAGTACATGAACATATTTGTTATCAGTGCAACAGATCATGAATTTCTAGACCCAGAAAGTCACTAGTGATCCAGACCAATGTATGTCTTTGGTTTCATCTGCTGCCTGATCATTTTTATCTGGAGATGTCAGGATTTCAACCTGAGACCTTCTGCATGCAAAGCATAAGCAATATCACTGAACTATAGTCCTCCCCCCGTGGTAAATAACCAAAATATTTAAGATAAAACAAAAGTAACATTCCATTTCTCACTTTCTAAACCCCAAATATCTCTCTCTAGGTGATGGATATTACATGATGGTGCCGGGGTTCGTGGGTCACAAGAAGGATGTTGGTCGTTTGAAACTTCTTCTCACTGATCTTGAGCCAAAAAGCATATATTGTCTGATTTTTAGTTACCGACTTGCAGGAGAAAGGGTAGGGAAACTACATGTGATCCTAGGCAGCGGCAGCAGCAGTCCTTCCTGGTCACAGAGTGTGGGAGATGATGAGCAGTGGAGGACTGGACAAATGGAAGTCCACACAGGGGCTGAAACAACGATGAATGTAAGTTAAAGATTACAAACCACCTGCAATGACCAGTGTAACTAGTTGCAGTTTGCTCTGACTGCTGGCAAGTTTTAATTATGGCTATATGGTACCTCTGGTTAAGAACGTAAGAAGTGCCTTGGATCAGACCAAAGCCCAGTATACCTGAAGGAGCGTCTCCACCCCCATCATTCAGCCCGGACACTGAGGTCCACTTCCGAGGGTCTTCTGGTAGTTCCCTCACTGCAAGAAGTGAAGTTACAGGGAACCAGGTAGAGAACCTTTTCAGTGGCAACCTCCCTGTGGAATGTCCTCCCATCAGATGTCAAGGAGATAAAGAACTACACTTTTAGAAGACATCTGAAGGCAGCCCTGTATTGGGAAGTTTTTTATGTTTGACATTTGATCACGTTTTTATATTTTGCGAGGGAAACCCAACCAGATTGGGCGGGGTATAAATAATGAAATGTCCGCTATTTACCCCAAGCAACTAGTACTCAGTGGCATATTGTTATTGTTGTTGTTGTTGTTGTTAGTTCAGCATCTTTTTCTCACAATGGCAAACCAGATGCCTGTGGGAAGCTCATAAGCAGCACATGATCGAAACACCACTCTTCCCCACATATTCTCCCCAGCAACTGGCATTCAGAGACAGGCCACCTCTGATCATAGCTGTCAACTTTTCCCTTTTTTTATTCCTATTCGGAATAAGGGAATTTCCCTTAATAAAAGGGAAACGTTGACAGCTATGCCTCTAATGCTGGAGGGTAGTACGCAGCCATCATGGCTAAGTAGTCACTGATAGCATTGTTCTCTATGATTTGTCTAAGACCCATCCATGTTGGTGATGTAATGAATTCCACTGTTTTAACTATGCAGTGTGTGAAGCGGTACTTCATTTAGCCTGCCCTAAAATATTCCAACATTCAGCTTCACTGGATGAAGCTGGGTTCTAGTATTAAAGGACGCAGAAAGGTCCAGAGACAATATGCCACTGAGTACTAGTTGCTTGGGGGAAATAGTGGAAGAGTCCTGTTGCCCTTCAAGACCTCCTTGTGGGTTTCTTGGAGACATCTAGTTTGCTGCTGTGGGAAGAACAATGCTGGACTAAATGGATCTGTTGGTCTGATCCAGCAAAAGGTGGTTCCTACATTCTTATTCTATGGACCTGATTGTAGCATGATGGTCTCAAGGCTGGGACTGGAGTATTAGCATCAGAGGCCATTGGAAGGTGAGGAGGCTGGAAACATTTGTTGGGCCTGTTACCTTATTTCTCTTGCCCATATCTCCACCAACGACTGGGCCGATTAAATACATTTGGACAAAGGAGAGAGAGTATGGCATGCTGTGCAAAGATGGAATAACAAAATGGCAGAACTGGGCTTTGTGAAATGGTATGGGAATGTTAAGAGGGGCAGTCGTGGTTTTGGTTTTTAGTTTTAGCTTTTAAAATAGGGAGAGGCATTAAAGTGACAAATACCTTCCACTAATTTTTAGCTCAACAAAAGGGGTTTCGGTATAAAGAAATATAAACCAAAAACATACCAAGCAAAAAATTCCTTGACAATGCCGTTAAAGAGTTAAGGTTGAATCAATGATCATGCATAAGAACAGAAGACAAATTTGCATTGCAGCATACTACAGGACATGAGCAGAATTTGAATACAGTGGTGCCCCGCAAGACGAATGCCTCGCAAGACGGAAAACCCGCTAGACGAAAGGGTTTTCCGTTTTTCAATGCGCTTCGCAGGACGAATTTCCCTATGGGCTTGCTTCGCAAGATGAAAATGTCTTGCGAGTCTTGAGATTTTTTTTCGCTTTCCCCCTTTTTCTAAGCCGCTAAGCCTTTAATAGCCTTTTAGCAGCTAAGCCGCTAAGCCTTTAATAGCCGCTAAACCGCTAATAGCGCTAATCCGCTAAGCCGCTAATAGGGTTGCTTCGCAAGACGAAAAAACCGCTAGACGAAGATACTCGCGGAACGGATTAATTTCGTCTTGTGAGGCACCACTGTACGGTATTTATTTGTGTTGGGTTTGTAAAACTGAATTTTAGATCTTTAGATCTTATTTTGAAAATCTTCTTAATCCATAGAGAAGCATAAGATGTCTCAGTATTTCAGTGAATTTTTTGATATGCTGGTAATAATAAAAATGTGCATGTAGCACAGTTTGGTTTTCTAACTTATGAGCATCTAGTACCTCTTGATAATTTGCACCTTCTGTTAATAATGTTTTCCTCACTCATTTTTTTAGATCACTTTTGAGGCAGAACGTGGAAAAGGTAAAACTGGAGAAATTGGAGTGGACAATGTTACACTGTTTTCTGGTCTGTGTCCTGAAGACCATTTGACATTGGATATCTGAGCTTACTATTTTAAATACTATTATATTATTTGTTGTACTGGTCCAGAATTTTGTATCGTTGTGAGCTAGATAAAGTGCAAATCTGGAAACCAAACTTCAATGCAGACAGATAAACCGACAGGTAAAAAAATGTCTCCAGTTAGATACTACATTTGTATATAAAATATACTAAACTTTGGTTTATGTGTAGCTCTACTGTATTATATCATTTGTGGTCAGGGTCTTATATAATGTGAAAATATTTTGCCTAGATTTCCTGCAAAAAAAAAAAGAAGAAGTGTTTTACATATAATTTTTTTGAAAGAAAATGCCTATTGTCGTATATTCCCCAAGTTCTCCTGCAGGAATGTGAAACAGGATCTTCAAAAGGATATGTCATTTCTTGTAACACTTAGGACTCCTACAGTTTGCTACAGCTCTGTGGGTACCCTGGTGTATGCCCGGTGGTTGCTGCAGTAAATAAGTAAAGCATTAAAGAGAGATACATGTCTCCAAAGACACATGGATGTGTTGGCCAGACAGTTACCTGATGAGTATCTGCCCACCACACTTTAAATGTTAACTGACGCAAACACCAATAATATTTGTCTGGACTCTGGAATCATTTTTCTTCCTAAATATTGCAACTGTTTGAATTTATTTTTTTCCTAAAATAAAAAGTCAGCTTCTCTACTTTCCTTGTAAATCCAACTACAGCTATTTTAAAAGATGCTTTTTTTGAAAAAATGCCAGTGGATTTGGCGAGGCAAGTGTTTTTATAAATAAATGAAACTATACCATACTGATTTTGGTGAAACTTTTCTTTATGGGCAAACTCAGCCAGATGGATGGGGTATAAATAATTTATTATTATTATTATTATTATTATTATTATTATTATTTGGTAAAAGTGATGTCACAGGCACATAAGACCACAAATCAATCCTAAAGTATTCCAAGCAATGGTTGTTGAGTTGCTGGGGCAACCCAGTCAGATGGGTGAGGTACAAATAATAAAATTAGTATTTATTATTATGTTGTAATTGACAGCGCTGGGCACCCATGGAGCACAGTGGCAAGTTAAAGCAGACAGGGACTATATGCATTCATATAGGTCATTTCCCCCTTTCGTAGCCAACAATGTTGGGTCACAAAAACAGATAATTCCCAATTCCTGCGTTTGCATGAACACCTGGGAGAAGAGTTCTGATGTGCAAAACCTTCCTTATTTCTTTCATTATGGAAGACAGTGCTGTGCACATATTCTTGTGACTCCCCCAAACATGAAAGTGAAGTGGTTGGGCCATGCTTGCTAGGACTTTGTAAGCAGATCAGTGTGGTTTTGCAGCTTCATGAGTGGGAAAAATATGAAGGTCACAATAATACAGGGAAATAAATATGCTTGAAGCAATTGAAATCAACCTTTTGCTGGTATCCGAGAAACAATGTGTTGGTTCTCTCTGCCTTGTATATATTTATTCATCATTAAGTTGATCATATTTATCCATGATTGCTGAGGAGAAAATATATAATTAATGTCAAAATTGACAAATTGCACTGATTTACCCCCACTGTATTTTCCTCTAAACTGAAGACATATAAATGGTTTTGTGTGGGGTTTTTAAAAAATTGCTAGCATTACCTAGGAATTATTAATTTTCATATGGATGGATGGTTACCAAAATAAGCGAAAAGGAATACTGTTGAATGATGTGTATGAGTTACAGATATTGCTCTTGGAACTTACCCAATTATATTTTATAAATAACTAGATTCGTTTTGAAAGTGTAATAGCACATCTGGAGACAGATTTGAGCTGAAAAAGGAAAACATTTCCTAAAGATGTCTAAGCGATACAAAGCGATAATTACAAACTTGAAAAATTCAGTCAGTTCATGAGAAAACATTTACTTTATGTGTGCCTTTATAAACTATGTATGCTGATCAGCTTTTAATTAGAATTTGATTGATATTGTGCAAAGGAGTATAAATGTACAAGCTTTTATGGGACAGCAAAATCAGCTATTTTCCTTTTGTTAATACAAGAACGTAAGATAAGTCCCTCTGAATCAGACTAAATGCCCATCTAGACCAGCATTCTGTTCTCACATGATGCCTTGAGAAGTCCAGAAGCAGGACATGAGCACAACAGCACATGATGCTCAGCAACTGGTATGCAGGGACATCCTGATACTGGAGGTAATTCATAGCAATCATTCCTAGTTAACCATTGATAGCTTATCCTCCATGAATTTGTCTAATCCCCCTTTAAACCCAACCAAATTGGTGGAAAAGATGGAAGGAAATATTGATTTTTTCTATTGCATACCATCATGCAGTTTGCATAGTGCTTGTATCTATGGTTGCCAGCTGCCCCTACTCCAGGACACATGGGCTTCTCCTGTTGTTCCAGTGACCTCTCCAGGGAGCCTGGCAGCTGGTCCACTGTCCACCTGTGTCATCACCTTTTCTGGGCGATGGGCACCTGATATCCTGCCGCTCCAACTGAGGCAACTCCAGCTGGCCTTTCCATTGCTGGAAAACTGCTTGGTGAACTGGTGACAGAGATCAGAAGGATGGAGAGAGATGGCTTGTGGGAGGAATATGTAGAATTAAAATGCACTTTGTCAACCTGCGCGGGGTGGGAGAGGAGAAGGCTGGCAAGTGGCGAGATGTGCAGATGCAGGGAGGTAGAAAGAAGACACCATGGAACCAGCAGAAGAAAGCCAAACAGTAAGAGGCTGGAAGGGGATAACCATTTGAAACTCCCCACCCATCCTTTTAAGTTGTGGATCAGAAGAGTCACATGCCCCTTTTTTGTTCCTTAGTTACTCCTATGTCTCAGATCGGGTCCTTTATTTTTATTGCTCTGTCTCAGCTGGTACCCACCAGTGTAACAGGCAACTATGGTCAAGTCGCCAGTGGTAACTCACTTGAGGCTCCACAGTGTTGCACCCTCATTATAATATGCAAAAATGTTTCTGCGTTTGGATTGATGTCCATGGGCACTTGCTGAACTATGGTTAAAAATGGCATGTTCTCCATAATAATGCAAGCAAATGGGTTTAGATTCACAAGAGAGCCTAAGATGATGGCAATACGTTTTTGGACTCACTTAGTGATTTATTTTCTGCTCCGCTATGACACAAACAGATTCAGCTAGTGTCTGCTTGATTTGGGAAATGGGTAATTCTGTCAAGAAACTATTCCCTCCCTGCGTCTTCTTCCAGGGAAGGATAAAATGACACAAATATTGGTCAACTGAGAGCTGAGCCAACATGCTCCAATCATATGAAGCCCCTGAGGCAGGTGCTTCCTGCCATGGCCCCACCTCTGCCAAAGAAGCAGTGCCATTATAGGTGCTGATTTCCTGCAAGACCTTTCAAGATCTCATCAAAGTCTTGCAGGATGTCAAGGAGAGCAGAAGATCTCATAAGCTCTTTCAGGAAATTGGCACCAATGCCAGCACTGCAGAGCTGATACAGGTGCAGTGCCACTGGCAGCTGGCACTGTAGTGGCGAGTGTCACACCGGTGGTGTGGCAGAGCAGGGTGGCAATTCCTGTTTTGCCTCAAGTGGCAAAATGGAGCATACCACCAATGAACACAGGATTCCAGAATTTACAGTTGTCAGTTCTGAGGGAAGGCAGGCAAGGACCAACAGCCCAGGTGGGGCTTGCTAGTTTGGGGAGGAGGTGTGTGATGCCTTAGCTGGAGTAGGACCAGGATAGCTGAGCATCACATGCCTCGTCAAGCCCAGATGGTATAGCAGGCCTCCTCCGTCCTGGCCAGGCCTGCCTCGTGCACTGAAGTGGCAGGAAGTAGCTGCCTTACACAGAAGAAACCCCCGAGGCAGCACCCTCATGGGCACCTCTTGCCACCCCCCCACCTCTGCTAGAGAAGCGGTGTGCACATGTAAACAAATACCCATGTGCACTTGGAAGTAAGCACAATCGAGTTAAATGGAGTTTACACCCGGGTAAGATGGTATAGTAGGGATGCAGGTGGCGCTGTGGTTTAAACCACTGAGCCTCTTGGGCTTGCCGATCAGAAGGTCAGCAGTTCGAATCCCCACAACGGGGTGAGCTCCCGTTGCTCGGTCCCAGTTCCTGCCAACCTAGCAGTTCGAAAGCACGTCAAAGTGCAAGTAGATAAATAGGTATCCCTCTGGCGGGAAAGTAAACGGCATTTCCATGTGCTGCTCTGGTTTTGCCAGAAGCGGCTTAGTCATGCTGGCCACATGACCCGGAAAAACTGTCTGCAGACAAACGCTGGCTCCCTTGGCCTGTAAAGCGAGACGAGCGCCGCAACCCCAGAGTCGTCTGTGACTGGACTTAACTGTCCTTTACCTTTACCTTTCCTTTACCTTTACGATGGTATAGTATTGCATCCTAGCTGTATGTCTGACTATGCCGGCCAGAGTGGCTGGGGAAGCCCAACCAGATGGGCGGGATAAAAATAATAAAATTATCATCATCATCCCCATTCCATTCTGGTACATTTGAAGCCGCTTTGCTTGGTGCATAGGTGAAAAGAATATTTTGATATTGTAATATACAATATAGCGATGCATGTAGATGTACAACCCGTGGGAATCCTCTGCTTCCCCTGCAAATTACCAGTGCCTTTAGCAAAAATATCCAAAAGTTTTACTGATTTTAGTGCAGCTTCCAGCTGTTCTAAATGTTGGACAATACAACACCAGCAGAGGGCAGTAGATATTCAGACTTCGATCCTGCAGATGAAGGCATAAAACAGTTTTGTCTCTCGCGTGAATTTGCACTAGATCACTGCTATTGTAGTACAAAAAGTTATTTCAGTGTGGGTCTCTTTGCCTTTGGGAAACTTGGTTGGTATCTCCAATGAAGAAAGTAAGAAGTCTTTATTGCAATTGCTCAGAAAGTGAAACTACCTTTAGCTTCATTCTTAATGCAGCTTTAACTTTGCAGAAGTATGCATGCACTAAAAAAGTGAAGTCTGTACAATTTCCTAAACTGCAATGAAGAGGCCAATTGGTTGGAAAGGTAGTTGTATTTTACATAAGCCCTTCTGGCTTGCACTCTTTCTAAACACTTGAGGAATGAAATTATCACCCCTCTTTTATTGTCCATTCCGGGTCGCCCAGCCACTGCCATAGAGTCCTTTCTCTTGGCAGATCAAGATGAGCAGGTGACAGCAAAGGTTGCAAGGTTTTTAGCTGGGGCAATCAGAATAAGATGCACTATTTGACTATTGATTCAAAACCCTAACATGTATTTTATAGAATTGACTTTTTATTTATGTTCTTTGTATATCGTATTGTTGTTTTATTGCTATGGCCGATGGCCGATGCAAATAAAGATTAATTCATCCATCCATTAATTACATAAGCCTCTTTGTGGTGGAGAGGAGTACGGTCTGAGTACAGTCTGTATTTCTATCGTTAAGAGCAGCAAAAAAAAAACCCCTCCTTAATTGTGCTGTGCTTTTCGTGTTGTGAAGTAACGTGTTGCGGCTTGCACGAAAATTGGTGGCGGGGTAGATTGAGCGGTCACAACCCTCAGTATCTGGGCAAAGGGAGAGAGCGCCTGCGCGACAAGAAGATGCCCTGTGCGCTTCGACCGCCTCACAACAGCGACCCGCGAAGTCCCAAGCGCGCCTCCTGGGCTGCCGAGGCTCCAGAGCCAAGAGAGGGAGCGCGCGCGCGCGCGCCGTGCGTCCTTCCCCCAGAGGGGCGGGGCCGGGGAAGGCGGAGGAAGCTGCTCGGGCCAGGTAAGCGGAAAGCGCGCGCTCGCGCTGCTACGTGCGCTGCTGCGGGTGGGAGGTTTGCAACGCCGGTGTGTTGTGGGGTCTCCCTGTCTCCGCCCCCCCATCCCTCCTCCGTGATGGAAGCTGCTCCGGCCCTTTGTGGATGTCACCTCGGAGGAATGTGGCCCGCAGAACAGAGGAAGCTGCCTTATACCGGGTCTGAGCATAGGCCCATGTAATTTTGTGTTATTTTGCAAGCAGCTGTCCGGGGTTTGGGTCTCTCTCCCAAGTTTGTGCTGAGGAGTGAGCCTGGGAATGGATCGTCTGCGTTCAGACGTCAGGGCTGTCACCTATTTTTGTTTTGCTTTCCCTGGCAGGCTAAAGTGGCCTTGCCAAGGAGTTGTTTGAGAGGCAGAACTTCCAATACCGCCCCCCCCCCCGAGCATGGAGATGCAATGGCTAAAATGACCGGAAGAAACAGAAATCAGGAAGACCAAAATGTTAATAAAGGAATTGGGACCACTGTAAACAGTTAAAATCGTTAGTAGGATTGGAATATCACTTGTAGTTTAATGGTGAATTCTGGATACAACGGAGAGATAAAAGATTTGGATTATTATAAAAGATGCAGGAGGAAATGATTAACAATAGGACTCACAAAGGGGAGAAGGGAAGTAAAAGAGATTCCTTGGAATCTTGTTTTTATGTTGTATGTTGAATATGTGACTGTAAAATTGTAATCTGAAAAAAACACCAAATAAATACATTTAAAGAACTTCTAATATTTTCCCCCTGAGCATAGAGATACAGTGAGGGTGGAAGTTGTCACTGGTTGGCATTTGCCAACTAGTTTTCAGATGTTTGAAAGCTTCCCCATAGAAGTGGGAAACTTTTTCTTTCCTTTCCTTTCCAGCTTGAAGTTTAAGTCTATGTGGAAGTCACACTGACACTGAAGAAGCCTTTCCCCATGTGGGTGTATGTGAATGAAAGAGTGAGTTATGGATGCTAATAAATTGTGGCGGATGGTACTCTGCCCATTCTTAAGGGCCCTCTCTGCTTCACATTACGCAAGCAGAGTATTGGCAGCAGGCTCTGGAGCTCTGCTTTTGCTTGCACACACCCAATCTGTTCCCTCCATTTGACACTGCAAGCCTTGCTTTCTGTACAAGGAGCAAATGAAGAACTGCAATCTTTGAAGAGGTTCTAAATGTGACACGACTCAAGAATCACTATGTCTAAAAGTATTGAGGGACAAATGGTTTTCCTTTCAAGGATTGTCAGGCTTTTATTATGTTGGCAAATGGCTTTACGGTCATTCAGTTTCTTACATGGGTGGAGTTAAGAATTCTGCAAACAACATCTTGTAAAGTCTACCTGATAAAATGTAGGAGGCCTGGGATTCTATGTTTGTATAACTAGGATTCAGCACACCCTCGAATCACCGTTTGCTGGGTTTTTGTTGCCAAGCCTACTGTTTTTCTTCCTATTAGCTGAATAGCTCCCATGAGATGCATTTTGCTCTTGGTTGTGTTCTATGCTTGGTAGACAGTCTCTACTAATGGCTTTATGAAAGCTGAAATACCTATCACAGTACTCTGTGCTTAAAAGATATCACAGGGCGCAATTATTAACACTTCAATTACATAATGTACAGATGTTCTATGTTTACTTAAAGGTAAGCCCCAGTGAGCTCAGTGAGTGAATAAGATTACAAGCCCTTTTTATTTTATGTAGTTAAAAGGTTTGCACTCTGCATTTTTGCCCTTAAAGAACCCCAGTGTGTTAATCACTATTGAAGGTGCAAACATTGCAATGACATTCGTATTTAGCATTCTATGAAACATTTTATAGAATATGTTTTGCGAAAGACCCTGTGTCATCTGAGAACTTATCTGAATCGGAGCTCTTCTGTTATACTTCTGCCCTTAATACAATTCTGTAGTGGCTGTAGAAAAGATGAACCTGTTTCTTTCATTACAGGATCTGAAATGTCTTACAAAAAGGTTCTCATTACTAGAGCTGATTGTATAGAAAACCTGCTCTCTGAAAAAAAATACGAAGATATTGGAAGTCATCTTGCGTATCTTGAAACTGTTGATATGACTGTAGACTGTCTCCAGGAAACGGATATTACCAAAGCTGTGTTCAGAATCCTCAAGAACTGTCCCTCTGTGGTACTGAAAAATAAGGCAAAGCATTTACTATCGAAGTGGAAAACACTTTATAAGCATTATTACAATCAATGCATACAAATTAAGCCAGTATTACCTGATAATGCAAAAGAAGATTCTGATCCCCTTAATGTAGTCCTGGCAGATGCAAACACTTCTGGAAAACTGAATCAGCATGAGATATTAGGCCCTGCCAGTTCCAAGGGTTGCCTGCTATCAGAAAACCATCCACAAGATACTGGAAGTAATGTGCAAAAAGACAACGCAATTCAGCCTGCACTTCAAGAGCACTTGAGTTCTGTTAGTGAAACAAGCCCATTTCAGGTTCATACTACAGCTATGAGATGCAAATGTATAGAGCTTCTTTATGAAGCTTTGATTGACTCAACAAGTAATGCAAGTGAAAAGCACCACAAGATTGCTGAAGAAGTTGAACAACATATCTTTGTACTTCATGCTAAAAACGACAGAAAATACAAAAACTGCATCCGAAGCAAAGTTTCTAACTTGAAGAATCCAAAAAATGCTCACTTAAAACGTAACCTGCTTCTAGGGACTTTGAATCCTAAGACATTTGCTGAGATGTCCACAATGGAAATGGCCCATGATGAACTAAAGCAGCTCAGAGCTTCGTATACAGAATCATCTGTTCTGGAGCATCAGCTCCCTCAAAGCATCAGTGGTACACATACAGACAAAATAAAATGTAGACGCTGTGAAAAATTTGATTGCACTGTTACTGCAATTGCCAGGGGAGCTCTTTTCCTTCCTGGTTGGGTACGAAATGCAAATCCAGATGAACAAATGATGACTTATGTAATTTGTAATGAATGTGGAGAGCAGTGGTACCACAGCAGATGGATTTGTTTGTGATTATGCATCCTTTAATCCCTACGTCTTCAGAGGAGATATGAATATGAAATTACCAAAGTACAGCTATCTGAATAAGGAATATTTAAAGTGCTGTAATGCAATAAAAAGTGGATGAGCATTATGAAGTAAAATGATTATAAAGCTATTTGAGAGATCAAAGTTTAAGTTGCTTTAAACTATTTTTAATATTGTGTTTTAATATTAATGTTGTGTTTTAATTGTTGTAAAAAATAAATTGTTGTAAAAAGTAAACTGGAACCTTAGGGTGAAGGGCAGGTAAATAAATTGTAATAGTAAATATTATTAATAAATCAGAATATGACTCAGTACTCCCCACTTCTTAATTAAGTCTGATGTCACTATAATAATTTTCAAGCATATACCGGTATTTGTTAAAACTTTTATCAAGACTGATTTTTAAAATCTGTACTCATTTTATGTAATACTGGACCAAAATACAGAAAGGAGTTTTATGAACTTTAGAAACACTAATTGAAATCCTAACCCCTTAGCTTTTTCCCCCATGGAGTGGTAGCTCAAAGATGCAAAATAGAATAAGAAGCATTTGGGAGCAGGGATGGCGTCCTTGCAATGTGGCATGACAAGGATCCTGTATTTTGCCAAAGTGGTGTGGTTGCCTTGACAATGGAGATATAACTTCCCCTTCATATCAGTTCAGACTGAGGACAAAAGAGTGGCTTTGTCATGTAGCCAGAGTTTTAAAGTTATGTTGTGCTTTCATGTTCATTACAGGATTGGTTGGGATCGCAATAAAGAAGGAAGCCTTTAAAATGGTAAGGGGAAAGCAAAAGGAGCCCTGAAACTTCTGAGTGTGGAAATTCAGCACAGCACTTATTTTACATATTGTCAAGCTCTTATCTTGAGCATTTGTACTTTTGTGACGGATCTGAGAGACAGATTAGAGATTTTGCTGGTATGTCAACCATACCACTGTCCTTCAGTTTCCCTTCTAGAATTGGCGGAAGTAGTTTTGAGTACGGTGTTGGAAACTGCCAAAATTATTGTTATGGAGGATCTCAACATTCTCACTGAGGCTGTCTTAGGACTTACTTCATGACCACTGTGACAATCATGGATGTATTTTAGCCTGTTATACACACTCAGCAGGGTGTACTTTGGAGTTCATGTTTTTCAACTGATCAAGTTTTTTGTAATTTGAAGGTTGAAGGGGGTTACTTTGAACCTATTGTCGAGGTCAGATCACTTCCTTGTGGGGCTTAGACTGGCCAACAAACCAGAATAAGAGACCATGATTTTAAGAGGTTAGCATGGCATGGTTAGTGCTATGATTCAGCATGACGACTCAATTTCATAGCTACAGCTCTTGCTCCACATTCAAAGTTGGCTGCACCATTAGGCAAGAGTGAATTTATTTAAAAAAGGTAAAGGACCCTTCACAGTTAAGTCCAGTTGCAGATGACTCTGGGGTTGCAGCGCTCATCTTGCTTTACAGGCCGAGGGAGCTGGCGTTTGTCCACAGACAGTTTTTCCGAGTCATGTGGCTAGCATGACTAAGACACTTCTGGCGAAACCAGAGCAGCGCATGGAAACGCCGTTTACCTTCCTGCCAGAGCAGTACCTATTTATCTACTTGCACTTTTGGCGTGCTTTCTTTTTTTTTATAATAATTTTTTATTCATTTTCCAAACATTTTTATACAATCAACTCATATTAACTCTCACATTCATCAATTTTTGACTTCCCTCAGTTTCTCTGCAAATCTTTCGTTAAAATTTCTATTGTTAACGCATTTCTGAACTTATTATTGCCTTTAACCATTCCTCTTCCTTTCTCCTACTTTCTTTTTTACAATATTTCTTAATTTTTCACTTTTGGCGTGCTTTCGAACTGCTAGGTTGGCAGGAGCTGGGACCAAGCAACGGGAGCTCACCCCATTGTGGGGATTCGAACCACCGACCTTCTGATCGGTAAGCCCAAGAGGCTCAGTGGTTTAGACCACAGTGCCACCTGCATCCCTTAAACAGAGTGCTTATAATGAAAAGTGGAAGGAGACAGTGTTAAGCTATAAGCTTTCTTGCAGGACCAGCGTGGTGGATTTAGGGTACTGAAAGTGGTGCATTTGCAAGGGCTGGGGAGGAGGGCATCAAATGGCCTCGCACAGGGCAGCATATTACCAATGGATACCCCTTCCTAGACTTTTTAGCACCTGAGGTGAACCCACAAAATGCTGTGTCCCTCTTCCCACCAGGGAAGAAGGGATGAGTGAAGATCTACAACAGGCCTTTGACTAATTAAACAATCAATGGCCTTTTAAACAATGCATGGGTTTTAATGTTTTTGTTTGTTACTGTGTTATGCATTTTTGTGTTTTGGTATTGTAAACTGCCCTGATATCCTTAGATGAAGGCTGATATAGAAATCTAATAAATAATAAACAGGAACAAGGAAAGAATGAAGAGCTATATTGGAATATGCTGCCCCTATGGATCCTGCCATCTCACCTTGCCTCATGGGTGGGCTGGCTCTGCATTCCTGTTATATAATAAGCAACAAAAGAGATGCTTTGTGTTTTAACCAATGATGTGTCTAAATGTTTTTTCTTTGTCACGGTTGCTCTTACCATCTGAACCATGCACCCGAGAAGCATATGCTTTCGTCCTGAACTATGGTTTTTCACATCATCTAACATTATTCCAGTGCTTAATCTTAGCAAAATAAATATGCACTGCTTAATATTCTCTAGCATGCTATGTCATGGAGCATAAGTGAATGTCCCAAATGTCTAACAAATGATGTTGCAAAGGGCATCTTATGTTCTTCAGAAAAAGGAACTGAGTGTCCTGTCCCTGATTCTTCTTCACAGCTCACTTACGCTCGTGCTGACTGGCATTCAACCTTCTGATGAATTGTAATTACATGAAACAGCTGAATTACAATTCATCAAGAGGTTCAGTGCTGTGACTTGTGGACTGAATAAAGACGTTAGATTATCACACTGCATATGTTAATTTGTTTTCTAGTGCCAGGACATCTGTGTTAACAGTAACCTTTTTGTGTGAATGGCCAGTGTTAGAATCATAGAGTTGGAAAGGACCTTGCGGGCTGTCTAGTCCAGGGGTTGGCAAAGTTTGTGTGGCTTGGGCCGGTTCACGGTCCCTCAGACACAGCAGTGGGCCGGACTGTGTGCATGCATGAACATGCAAATGCTATTTCCGGCGCAGAGGAGGCGTGCACAACTTCCCATTGGCTGCAGGAGTTCCGGTTTAGTGCGGCGCACAGGAGCTGACCAACCAGGTGGCAGGGGTCCCCAAGTGGGCGGTGGGGGTCCATGGGCCAGTTAAACGACCCCATGGGCCGCTTGTGGCCCATGGGCCTTAGGTTGCCGGCCCCTGGCCTAGTCCATTCCCCTGCAATGCAGGAATCTTGACTAAAGAAGCCATGGCCATTCAACCTCTGCTTAAAACCTGACCTGATGTTAGTCACATAATTCTCTCCATATGTACTTTTCTGCATTTCATTTTCCTCTGACTTGACTGCTTACAATCCCTTTCCCTTTCTTTCCCTGTGTATACCTGCAACACAGGATGACACTTTATATATTTGATGAAGTGGTCTGTAGTCCATGAAAGCTTCTGCTATAATAAATCGGTAGTCTCCACGGTGCCACAAAACCCTTTCAGCCATCTAGACATCATCACTATTTTGCAGATATGAACCTGAAATCAAAAGTGTGTTTTTACTTACTACTGCATATAAACGGTCATTAGCCTCTTGTAGTCATTATTTGAGGAAAGAAAATGTTAAGTCCATGTGAGTTCATTTAGGCTGCATCCCGTTCCCAATTAATGTTCAAATTCAGTTGCGCTAACTAGAATTAATTTACTTGAACTCAGTTGATGGGAATCCAATTGGACAATATGACTAGGTAAACAAAGGCTTTCATCGTCAATTTGTAGGCATCCTTCCAAGGCTCTGAATGTAAATGTGAAGGGCAAATATTTGTTGAATATTTGAAAACAGACTTGAGGAACCCCAGTATTGCTTAATATTGTAAATAGATTATTCAGATACTGCAAACAGGTAATTGGCAACAGGTTGTTGTTGCTTTTTTAAAAAAAAAAAATCCCCAGAAAGCAAAATCTGGAAAAATAGAGATAGGCAACTATGCCAAGTGAAGAAAAAAAACATTGCATGAGGAAACACCAGTCTCACAATAAACACTCATCTGCAAGCAGCCAGAAAGGGGAAAAGTTGAGAGCTACATTTGGGGGGAAACTTTGAATGAGTGATCTGATGGGAGATGAACCAGGTAAGACCGCAGTTGTTGACATCTAAACCGAGAGGAAGTCAACAGTGCCAACAACTGCATAACACTGAAGGTGGATGAGGACAGACACAGGAGAGGCCTTTTTTCAGCCCCGCAGCTTATGGGAAAAGGGGCAGCCCAAAGCGCGCAGCCCATTTCAGGTGCCACGGACAAATACAGTATGTGGCTGCTGCTAAGTGGCATTTCCCGTGAAATGGTGACTCTACCCCGGGGTGGGGCGTGAGAAGCAGGGGGGGAGGCCCCTCTCTCCCTAGCAACAGCCCCTCCCTAGCAACAGCCAGCCCGTCCGCTCCGGACGGAGTTGCGGCTGCCCTTCCCCTGGCGTCACGTGAACGACAGGCCCCGCCCCCGTGGCGCAGCCTCCGCCATGTTGTTTTTTTCTCCTCCGAAGCGGCCCCTCCCCCACCACCCCTGGCACCTTTGCGAACGGCGGCTGCGGGTGACTCGGAGAGCCTCGTCTTCGCCCCTCGCCGCCTTCGTGGTAGGTAGGTGGGCGCGAGCGAGCGCCGGGCCCCTTTCCTCCGGGCGGCGGGCGGAAAGGAGGAGGAGGAGGAAGGCGGTCTCCGTTGGCTTTCGGGGGGACACGGGGGGCTTTACGGGACCGGGCAAGCTGGGCTAGCAGCCGGTTCATGCCTTGCTTGCTGGGGAGGGATGCTGTAGGGCTGCCCTGGTTCTGCTTCTTGGCTTTTGGGTGGCTGGGGTTCCCCTTGTCGCAAAAAAGGGAGCCGGCGACTCCCCCCTCCCCCCAAAAAAGAGTGGTTGTTTTGCAGGGTAAGTAAGCCGAGTTTAAATCGCTTCCTCAGGCTACCCAGCCGTGCAATGGGTGTATATATATGTTTCATTGATTTTAAGCCCGCGGTAGGACTGCGGTACCAGAGAGGGGGCGTTGTTGTTTTGTGGGGTGGTGTCAGGGTCCGCACCTTTCGCCATGGGCTCGTTTCCTGCGCAGTGACGAGAGAAGCTTTTCCCTATAGAGGTGCTTCGTGAAACTTCCTCGGAGCAGGAGGAGGAGGGGGGCTGGGGTCTCAGGCGGCTGATGCTGCCCGCCTGTTTTCCTGCCTGACTTGCAAAAGGTGGCGTGATTAAAGATCCCGTGATGGAGAGGCAGGCGGCGGCGGTTCGCTTGAGAAATAGCTGCTCTTCTATACTTATCGGCTGGCACATGACCAGTTTCTCCCTAGGGCAGTTTCTCAGAACTGATTAAAGTCACTGGACTGCTCAAAGGACAGCTCCGCTTCTTATGTATGTCCCCTTTGTCTGCCTTCATTTTTTTCTGGCGCTTTTCATGTGGAAAATCCCCATACCTTCCCATTTGAGGATGATGTATGATACCATTTACTTGGCTGCTCGTCTGGTTTTTTGTGAACAAACTCTTCCTACCTGTGCATGAAAACAAAGAGCTTTTGCTTTATGCTTATCCAGTGCCAATTGAGATGAAGTACTGGGTCTATCTAGCTGTGTGGCAAATAACTGCTGTGGGTTGGTTTAAAACTGTTAAGAATTTTTTGGTTGTTTCTGTTATATGGAAGAACAGGGAAATGTAGGATGTTTGTCCTTAGCAAGGATAAGTGTTTCAAAACATTTTTTTTCAGAACATTGCGTAAAAGTAATTCTTGATTGTGTTGGAAAGCCACTTGAATGAAGGTGCAACTTTGTGGTATGTAAAGGACTACCCTGAGTGCTGCTTAACTTCAAAATTCTTCAAGACACAATGGTCTGACTTAAGTTTCTCTAGCCCTGTTTTCTGAGCCTGTAACCGAACAGCTCTGGTTTCCTTGTGTCAGATTCATAGTTATCCTAGGGTGAAGAAGCTTTGTAGATAAACTTCATTATGCCAAAACTTCCAGTGAAGGATATTCTACTGTTTTCCTAGGCCGCTTAGTACATTGCCTCACTGTACCTAGTTAAAAAGTACTTCCTTATACTTAAGCTAACCTTGCCTGTCTGCAACTTAAATCTAAAATTGGAGGGGAAATATTTTATGTCAGCTTCTAAAAAAATCTCTGAAAAGATCAAGCTGCCGGTGGGGGGGGGGGAGATCCCACTTTTAAATTGCACAAATCACTAATGTGGGGTGGAGGTGGGGTGTCAGAAGTCTGACAAACCTATTGCTAAAGTTGTGTTATGTTAACACACTCCTGCCATACAACCAGGAGTGGGGAAATTGCAGGTGCTTGTTTTCTTGAACACATGACACTTCATTCCTGCTGCTTAAAGAATGTTTATGAGTGTCTGCAGTATTCATTTGTGGATAGAATTAGTATTTGTTTAGTACACTTTTATCCCACCTTCATTTCATCATGGAACTTAAGGTGTCTTACCATGGAGTTTCTAGGCACTGACCAGACCCAGATTTGCCTAGTTTCAGCAAGGTTGCCGTATCATCATTTCCCAGCTGTACATATTTTAAAATTTTATCTTACATATTTAGAAATTGCCTCACAACCAGAAGCTATTGAAGTGGCGTACAATAAGATAAAGTGAGTTAAAATACAAGAGAGAGACTCCAAAAAGACTAACCCTAATTCTACACAATTGTAGAATTAATATTCCATAAAATGACTGAGTCATTAAAACTTAAACTAAAACATCTTCAGTTTCCCCCCTAAATATCAAGATGTTGGGCCACTTTCAAATTTCAGCTGGTTACTGATTCCACTGGGCTGGAGCTGCAACACCACAGTGTGAGCAGCCATTGTAATTTCACCAATATTTTTATTGGAAGCTCTGACTCGTGTAATTAAGTCATGAGGAAGGAAAAGGAATCTGATAGTAGGCACAAAAGCTATTATAGATAACATAGATTTGAAAAAAATGCTTAAGCCTTTGGGGAAGCTTTGAGGAACAGGTTCTGATGTGTAAATGATTGCATCAAGTTTTGCTTTATTTCCCCAGAAGGACAAAAACCTTCTGGTTTTAGATTTTTATGGTCCTATTTTCTGAGTCAGTGATTAAATAGCTTTAAATTCCTGTAATGTGTGCCATTTGCTCTCCACATCTAGTGCGTATTTATAGCTGGCCATGGATTTTGTGATATGGTACAGGTAGTATATTGGGCCTTAACTTTCTAGTCCCTCTAACTAGCGCTTCTTGAATACACAGCTCTTCAGTTTTTAAGTTCCTCTGGAATAGCTTGATCCAGACAAGAGGGGGATGGTGATGGTGAATGAGGCCTTGTGATCTGATGAGGTAAAGTTACATGCTGCTGATAGGATTTTCTTATCTATGAGAGACCAGGCTTGCACCATGGGAGTCTGTAAATCCAGCTTTCTTCTCGAAGCATGACTGGACTGTTTCAATTAGTGCTATCAGATTTGCTTATCAAGAAAAACACATAAGCTATAATCCTGCACATGTATGACTTAAATTCCTCTTTAACTTCAGTGGGAACTTAGAAACCCAACAGACATCACTGTTTTAAATATTCCTATACACGCATGCGTGTTTCTAGCTTTATTTGGTATTAAATTAGACATTCATAAATAAGTGGACCGAAACCCCAGATCTCACTTTAAAAAGAGTCCAGCACACCTGATAGCTGGTATTCTGAATTTCAAAGTAATCCTAACCCCTAGCTTTCAGTAGTCAAACATACTTGTTTACATACTTTACAGAACATCTGAAGTACTTTGACTGCCTTTAAAGTAAATCTCATTTAACAAATAATTTGGTGCTACAGAATATATTGTTATAAGCCGAAATTACAAAGCACCCTTGAAGTGATTTGTAAGTAGTTAGATTTTTTTTTTTTACCTGGGGAAAAATAATATAGTGGGTTAAAATAATATAGTGGGTTAAATCCCCCCAACACTGAATTACCTTTCACACCCCTGCAAAGTGCCTTTCTACTACTTCTTCATCTGGTTACTTGAACAAAGTTTGATAAGAGAAGCAATAAGGCTATAGACCTGAAACATGAACAGCCTAATCCTGTCATACAGCCTAATCCTGCCAATGATTACTCAAGAAGTACTACAATTTTAATTAAACTGAGGCTGCAGTGCTGTGATTTGGTACAGCTTTCTTTTGGGTAGACATGTATAGATTTGTGTTTTTATTTCCAGGTATATAATCACTTACATTAAAAAGGCATAAGAACTAGACTATAAAGAATAAAATGCTTGGAATAACATGAAAACCATTAGTTTCTTCAGAAAGGTAGAGTGCAATATTAAAAAAAATCTACCCTTAAAGGTAAAAACATCAGGGTGGTTTACAAAACATTAAATGGCTAAATATGTATGAAATGCAGGTAGTTCAAATTATGGCATTAAAGTAACATTACAAATCAAAATACGATATGATCTGGACTTTGGAGGGGACAGTCTAATACATGTAAATCTGTTGATGCTTATGCTAAAATTCACATATTTGCAGTGTGGCATGTGCTTTAAGTGAAATTATAGAGCAGGAGTGGGGCTCCTATAGTCTTCCAGTTGTATCAGTCCCCAAAACCATGGTCAGTGGTAGCAATGATGGGATCTGTAGTTGAGCAACTTCTGGAGGGCCAAAGTTTCCCCACCTGTTGTAGAGACTTGCTCGAACCTTTTTGGTTTATACTAAGAAGACACTGCTTCAGTTTGTGATTCTGTCCTCCATGTCCAGTCTTTTTCATATCTGCCTTGCCCTGCACAAAAGCTCAGTATCTGTGACTGGATTCCCAAAGCTATTCAGTGTTGCCTGTGTAGTTGGCATTACTTTTATTCCCAAAGTCAGCTCTTAAAATAACTGCTCCCACATTTATTTATTTTTATAGAAAATGCACCTTTACATTTTTCTGTTCTGTTCTGTTCTGCTCCCCCCAAACCTCAACTTACTAGCATACAATGAAAGCATACCTTGGTTTTCTGCTTCCTCTTTTCCATCTAGTTATTCTAAAAAGCAGCACGTGAGCGTTTCACTTCCTCAAAAAAAGGGGGGTTAAGCTTACCATGATTACACAATAACTTATTATTTGCCAAGTAATCTTAAGTGGGGGGGGGGATATTCTGTGATCAAGCTACTGCCACTTCCTAAGCCCTGCTGCGTTGCTCTGCCAGGGGGTTTGGGAGTTTGGCTTTTCTTGTTCTTCTCTAATTTTGACTTTTTAAAAAAGTTTTCCTCCTAAAAACACAAATGGGAGGGGATATATAGGGCATGTTGGTGGAATGAAAGCTTTTTGGATCCCTGCAGATCCAGGGGCTTTTGTGATCTGCCCACTTTCAAGCTTTCCTACCAGAGATACACCTCCAATGTTATACCTGCACCTACTGAGCTTTCTGTGGGTGTACTAGGTGATGTAAGTGTTTTCCTGTCTGTAGGCCTCTCCTCCTGAGATGTAAGTGTTTTCCTGTCTGTAGGCCTCTCCACTGGTAAGAGTTGCACACTACATCTAAAGGCACCTTTGCTGGTGTACAGCCTTAGTAGTTGTTGAGGTTTTTTAAAGTGCATGGCATTACTGTGTCTAAAAGTGAATACAATGTCTCTCTTTTTTACAGGTGTTGGATTACAATGACTGAACAGTAAGGGTAGCTTATTTGGTAAGTGTTTCATATGCTTGTAATATTAGATGTCTTCTGCATTTCTAAAATTTCAAGTACAGGAAAGATCGAGGGGAGGAGGGTGTATCAGGAAATATGGCAGAAGTGGTTGCTTGGCAGAATACTGGTAAATCCCAGAAATTTCCCTTTAGACAGATGTTAGGAACTGTTCATATTACCACTGTTTTCTGAGATGCTTCATGAGGATCAGGTCAGTTCAAAAGCAGGATGGAGTTAGTTTAACAGTGGTCATGGTGGTTGTAAGACGTCTGGGTGAATGGAGACGAGAGCAAGCCTGATCTTATACTGGCAGCCTGGCTGTTAGCATGCAGTCAGTTTGTATAGCATGATAATTTCTCATTCACAGAATGATTTTAGTATAATTAAAATCAATCTACCATTTGTGACTAAACTTTAGAAAGCAACTAAAGTGCCCTTGATTTAATTGCTAACATTTACAGCAGACCTTTAGCATATAGTAGAAGAGCTTTATCTGTCTATGTTGTTGCTTACAGTTATATTGCATTTAAATCTATCTATTATTTTTGAACTGATTTTAATGGATGAATTTATGAATACTGCTAGCCTCAGCTCTTTTGTGAGGAAGGGCCAGTTATAATAAATAAGTAAATCCCATATCAAATAGATATTTGTGTAACAAGTGGGAATTTCTTTGTATGAACAAGATCTGTTCTATTTTGCAGAACTGGACATAAGAAAATATCTGTTCTTGAAGCAACAATGTCAGCAAAATCAACGCTCCTTAAAGTAATCCTTCTTGGTGATGGAGGAGTGGGCAAGAGTTCGATTATGAACAGATACGTCACTAACAAGTTTGACACAGAGCTGTTCCACACAATAGGTGTCGAGTTTTTAAATAAAGACCTGGAAGTGGATGGACACTTTGTCACAATGCAGATATGGGACACGGCTGGTCAAGAACGTTTTAGGAGCTTGCGGACTCCTTTCTATAGAGGTTCTGACTGCTGCCTTCTCACTTTCAGCGTAGATGACTCTCAGAGCTTCCAGAATCTGGGCAATTGGAAGAAAGAATTCATTTACTATGCGGATGTCAAAGAGCCTGAAACGTTTCCTTTTGTGATACTGGGAAACAAAGTTGATATTAGCGAGAGGCAAGTGTCTACAGAAGAAGTCCAGAACTGGTGCAGGAACAACGGCAACCATCCTTACTTTGAAACCAGTGCAAAAGATGCCATTAATGTTGCTGCAGCCTTTGAGGAAGCTGTTCGAAGAGTTCTTGCCACTGATGATAGGTCAGATCACTTGATTCAAACTGATACAGTAAACCTTCACCGGAAGCCCAAGCCTAGCTCATCATGCTGTTGACTATTTTGTTTTATTTTCCAGCCATATATAGTTCTAACTTAACTTGAAGTAATAATAGATCAAATATGATTCAGTGGGTGCCACTCTAATATATTAAAACTGTAACATTCTACTGCTTTATGTGTCGGCAGAGGAAAGCTTCTTTTCAATAAGTAGCCTGTTACTATGTTAGTGGAGTCTGACATCTGGGAAGGTACCAGCTGAAGAGTTGATTTAATTTAAATGTGTCATTTGAAAATTAATAAATTATATACTAAAACTTGAAAGTTCTAGAAGCACTACTTGGGAGGACTTGTTCTGAAATTCAGATGCAGAATAGATTTTTTTATATGTACATATATATTTTTATGAGATCACCAGCCCATGTTTTGCTTCACTAAAACCCTTTTTTCATAAAGCAGTAATGGTAGGTGATAGGGTCTTGTTCTAGTTCTCATCTTTAAAGTGATTTTTCTTTAAAAAAATCAAAGCTAATATAAATATTTTAAGGGCTTTTGCTATTTGCCTAGTGTCACTGAATTGCCTGTAGATTTTATGTTAGGAAATAAACCTGCATACATGGAGCCTGCCTGGTTGTGTCTTCCTGCCCCTTTCACCTGTAACTGATTTCTATAAGGTTGGAGAACATATCAAGAGTTTTCAAAAGAAGGGGCTTAATGTAGCTCCTCATTGATACTAAAATTTCCCTTTGGCATGGTTTTAATCTTAATTATGTATTGTCAATCTTAAATAGTTGTTTATCCTGGCCCCAGTGGGCAGTTACTTGGATTGCAGGATTTAAGGTTTCGAGTGAGAAAGCATTCAATAATTTTTGTAGCAAAATTTTTAAAAGTTAGAGCTGCAATCCTGTGCACACTTATCTTGAGAGTAATCTGTATTGGAAGCAATGTGACTAACTCTTGAGTAAACACAGGATTCTGCTGCAAGTTGTTTCACTACGAGAGATGGTCGAAAGGTTCACTGCCTCTGCCTTTCTCACTGAGCAGTTTTCCATGGCATTATCTTAAGCAGCTGAAGTATGTGTGAATACCACAGTGTTTGATACGAGCGAAGCTGAACCTGTGCTCTCCAGAGGTTGTTGGACTACAACTCCCATCAGCCCTGCCCACACAGGCTGGGGCTGATGGGAGTTGAACTCAAACGTCTGGAGAGCCAGATTCCCCACTCCAGGCACTCCCTTTTGTTAGATTGCTTTTTGGATGGATAACATCCATTCTCAGGCAGTTGTTGCAGCACAATGCAGCTCAATAAGTGCGAGAAAGGGCGGGTTGGACTCAGGATGAGAACTTTTCACTCATTCCTTATGCCTTAGGCAGATCTTCTCAGAAGCATTAAAAGAGCAGTTGCCTTCAACTGCTTGCTCGTGACTTCATACAAATTATTTAATCTTGATCTATGGGGCTTTCTGTACTTTGATCAACTGAAAATAGAGCTGTGGCTGGAGATTTAGGCCATGCTTAATGGGCAGCATAAAAAAGGGCATATGATCTGAACTACTCTCACACACATGCTAGAAAAGTATGTGGCTAGATGGTTGAGTAGAGAAGATATTTTGCTTTACCACTTGTGTGTGGAAGCGCTATACTTTTTGCCGGGGTACTCGCTATGCAAGATGCCTTATTGCCATTAGCTTTGTGAAGTTATTAAAAATGAATGCTGTTTAAGGTGATAAACATCTCAGAGGGCCAATATGCTAATGTTATCAGTGAAAACAGAAACACAGCATAACTTGTGAGAGGGTGACACTTCCTCAGAAGGTTTCCTATCACCTACCCATCTGCCTAACATCAGTGCAGGAAGGATCCTACAGATCTTTGAGCTGCAGGTTGACAAGGAGCTCATGTACTTATTCCAGTGAATATATTGTCAAACTACAGGTTTTGGACACTAGGCAGAATTCAGCAGAGAGGGTGAAAACTAGAGTGTGTTGGTATATGGCTGGGTGGAAAAGGAAACCATCTCTTTATCAGTAAATATGACCTACAGGGCTTCATTACTGTATTTTAGTGTTTAAACTCGAAAGCATAAGTAATGACAGAAATGTGTTTGTGCGCGTGTGCGCGCACACACACACACGCTCTTTTGAAAAAAACATCGCTAATGTTCCTCAAATAAGAGGTTTCCCAGAAAAGAGTGACCCTACAAGTATATGTTAACTTGGAGTGGTATTCAGTTAAGTTTTACTCAGCACAGACCTACTGAAATCAATGGACCTAGCTTATGTTCATTAATTTCAGTGGGTCCACTCAAGAGTAAAACTTTGTTGAATACCACCCTCAGTCTTGTGCCCATTTATAATGGGCTGTACCCAGTGCTGCCATTTTGTTTGTACAACAGACTCTTGCTTGTAAAACAGCAACTTTCTCCTCTCCTGAAGCCCCTCGTGCATTCTCCAAAATTGATCCAGCAGATTGGTGGGTAGTGGGGAGAGGAAGCAGAAGTTCTGCTGCATGAGCAGAACACTGCCTGCACAGTTTTGGGTGCCAGCCATAGTGTGTGTTCTTGAACAGCACAATGTCACAGAATCCTTGGGCCAAATGGTTTTGTGACTTGTGTTACTGTACAGTGGTGCCTCGCAAGACGAAATTAATTCGTTCCGCAAGTTTTTTCTTCTTGCGAGTTTTTCGTCTTGCGATGCACGGTTTCCCATAGGAATGCATTGAAAATCAATTAATGCGTTCCTAGGGAAACCGACTTCAGACCAGGTCCGGGGACAGTCTGTCCCCGACCTCTTCTGAAGGCTGGGGGGACAAGGGCTTTTCTTCCCACCCACCCCAGCATTTTAAAACCCCGGGACAGCGGAGGGCTTCTCCGCTGTCCGGGGCGATCTTAAAATGCTGGCGGGCGGCATTTTAAAATTGCCCCGGGACAGCGGAGGACTTCTCCGCTGTCCGGGGCAATTTAAAGCCCCTGGGAAGGCAGGCAGGGGGACAAAGACTTTGCCCCCGCCAGCCTTCAGAAGAGGTCCTGGACCTCTTCTGAAGGTTGGCGGGGGCGAAAGTCTTGTCCCCCCACCTGCCTTCAAAAGCTGTCCAGCCAAGGCTCGCGGACCTCTCCGCAAGCAGCGGCAGCACTGCCGCTGCTTGCGGAGAGTTGCCGGCATGCCGAAGCCTGCGCGCGCTGAGATCAGCGCGCCCAGGCTTCGCGGACCTCTCCGCGAGCAGCGGCAGCGCTGCCGCTGCTTGCGGAGAGTTGCCGGCATGCCGAGCCTGCGCGCGCTGAGATCAGCGCGCCCAGGCTCCGCGGACCTCTCCGCGAGCAGCGGCAGCGCTGCCGCTGCTTGCGGAGAGTTGCCGGCATGCCGAAGCCTGCGCGCGCTGAGTTCAGCGCGCCCAGGCTTCGCGGACCTCTCCTGCCTTCAAAAGCCGTCCGGGATAGCAGGGAAGCGCTTCCCGCTATCCCGGACTGCTTTTAAAATGCTGGCGGTGGGGAGCAAAGCCATTCGGCCCCCGCCAGCCTTCCTGGACCTCTTCTGAAGGCCGGAGGGGGGGGGAAGGCTTTGCTCCCCACCGCTAGCATTTAAAAGAGGTCCCCGGAGATTTCCCTATGGGCTTTCGTCTTGCGAAGCAAGCCCATAGGAAATTCGTTTATGAGCGCCTCCAAAACGGAAAACCCTTTCGTCTAGCGGGTTTTCCGTCTTGCGAGGCGTTCGTCTTGCGGGGCACCACTGTAATTCAGAGAGCTCTGAAGTATTATGACTTGTGCTAGTTATCCAAGGCTTTTTCTACATATACTAAAGAAAAGAGATCTAAATGGTTAAAGACACAGCATACTCTGTTTGTACTGCTGAATACTTCCTCCTGTTAAATTACAACATACCCAGGGCAGCAGTTAATATCAGAATAGTTTAATGAACTGAAAGACTTAATGACCCATTCAGAGAGCATCAATGCATATAATATTATAAATTTACATTTTATTTGGAATGTTAATTCAGAATCTCTGCAAATGAATCAAACATCACATATGTTATCCTATTACTTCAGTATGTTTGTCGTGAAACGTAACCCCTCAGTAGGAATGTAGCACAATGAAACTTCAATAGGCTTAAGCAAATTCTTTAGTAAAACATATAAATGAGTTATTTAATGCAAGGCTTTATTGAGAACCAGACTACCTATAGATGTTTTTGGCTTTCTTCCTTACTCTTTTCCAGGCTAAGGCTATATGGTCTTTCATATACAGTACACATCACTGATGTCAAAGTTAGAGGATTAAGAATACAGGCTATTCAATCTACCTAGAATAGGACTGGATAGTGCTTAACCTGATTGGATTGTTCCCAATATAATAAGTATTATAGAAAACAAAGTAGTGGGATTTAGTTCTGACCTTTTAAATTTCAGTTTAGTTGCTTGGTGTTAATACTTTGAGTAAAAACTTGAGGAGCAGCAAGTTACTACAAATAAGTTTTACAGGCAAAACACATCGCCCTTTTTGCATCCTGTTGCTTCATTCACATGTGCACGTGATAATGAAGTCACTTGTAAGCAAATAGTGTGTTTCTGCCCAACTATGTGCTCAATTATTCCAATAAAATGGTAGCAAGTTGAACTGAGGTGATTCACTTGTAACTATGTGTTTCAGGGTAGTTGTGTTTCTGTTCTGCTATCCATACCTTTTTCATTTCAACACACCATTCTGGTATCTGGTTAGTCTTAATACTGACATAGCCCTGAACTGAATGCTTTCACACTGATCAAAAAATCCTGAGGTCTGGCTTGCTTTAGTTATTAAAAAAAAACTAGGTTCTTCATTTAACCTTTTGCCAAGCTAGTGGAGGTGCTGCTTTAAATATTTAATTTTTAAAATTAATTTTGATATATACAAATGTTTTATAGCTAGAGTGATCACCTATAATAAAGACATCTGTTAGGCTCCTGAAATTGGTTTTCATACAAGGTAATAGATAGCCTTAAGTGGTTTGTTTTTTTAAAATATAGATTAGCCTTTATAGGTTCAGAAATGTCAGATATACAGCAGGCTATTTAGGTTCTAATACAGTTATAGTAACTCAACTTAAAAGATGCTTTTTCCCAAGAAACTGGACTTTTCTGTCAAATGCAGTTGATCGAATCTGGGAATTCTGTTCATAAAATGGATTCATCGCAAACTGAGGAAAGAAATTAACATAGTGAGAACATATTAGTAATTAAGACATGCCAAAAAAGGTCTAGGCTGAACCACATACAGCTAAGCCAAATTACAGCCACTTTGCTCCTCTGCCATTCCTGCTGCTGTGAGCTAGGCCATAGTTTGGTTTAGTATGTTATCTGAATCCAGTCTTGTGATTTATCTTGCTCTAGACAAACTGCAAAGTATTGCTCTTTGCTTACAGCTCATGGTTTGTCTGGAGCAAGACAAACCATGAGCCCAGGTTTGGACATGCTATGCCAAACCATGGCTTAGCGCACAACAAGAGAATGGTTTTTGTTTAGTGTTGCTTGTGAATTAGGTAAATATGACTATTCAGTTGATGAGGTTTTTTTTTAGAAAAGGAAAATTCAACACTGCATGAGGGTATTTCATCTTCCAACTGAGTATCTCCAAAATCTTCACAGGATTCCCCAAACCCTGAAGCAGATTTTGGTGTACACAGGGGCTAGTGAGAGAAGTCCCACTATGCAAACAAAAATCTCTACTACAGGTGGGCACAACTGTTATTTCCCACTATGATCAACCATCTCCAAATACTTTTTAGACAATAGGTTAATGTCAGGATCTACATGACTATTCTAGCCATACGTAGCTGTCTGATACCGCCCTAGTTTGTACTTCATATTAAACCATAGTTTAAAACAAACTATGGTGTAGCATGCTGCTACAGAGTTCTCCGCTTCTCCCCTGCTTCTGTGCCACCATTTGATATCTGAACCTAGGCCTGTTTCTTTCCAAACAAACCATGAGCGCAATCTAAGCTTTTCAGCAGCATGGACTAGCATGGTGTGCATTCACAAGTCATAGTTTAATGCAATGTACAAAGTGAGCTATCATATTATTTCTGTCCTTGAATGAGGAGGCAGGGCCAAATTTCTTTGCTTCTTGTTCCTGAAAAGCAAAGCAAGTGCAGATCATTTGTTTCTACTGTGAAAACCTGGCAGGAAAGAAGGGGTGTGCGTACAACTCCTTCCCTCCTATGACACATGTTGCTTCCTAGCATGAGTCACTGACTCATTTCAGAAGCAGTCCAGCTTGCTTTCCTGTATTGTCAACACAACTTGTTATACCTGTGCTGTGGAATCTTCCTTTCCATCACTTTGGGGGCGAGGCAGGGGGGAGTCCTTGTAACATAAGCCTAAATATGTCATCCTTTATAATAGAAACATGCTAAACAGCAATTTACACTTCCTTCTAAATGCGGTTCTGTTCATAGACTTGACTGCTAATTAACCTCCTCTAGGTGAAAACTGAATAAGATAGGGTGCCTTTTCCAGACCAAAATTCCCAATATTAATACTGCATAGCTTCCTATACAGTGGTACCAAGGTTTACGAACTTAATCATTTCTGGAAGTCCATTCTTAAACCGAAACCGTTCTTAAACTGAGGCGCGCTTTCCCTAATGAGGCCTCCCGCTGCCGGTGCCCTTCCACTGTTCGGATTCCATTCTTAGACTGAGGTAAACTTCGTAAAACACTACTTCCGGTTTTGTGGAGTTCGTAAACCATATAGTTCGTAAACAGGGCGGTTCTTAAACCAAGGTACCACTGTATTAGCACAGATAAGAGTTGATCAATGAGGGAAGATATAGGGCTCTCCAGCTGTTGCTGGGTTACAACTCCCATCATCCCTGACCATTACCTCTGGTGTCTTGCACTAATGGGAGCTGTAGTTCAACAACAGCCAGAGGGCACAATGCTAGCTACCTCTGTTATGGATACTTACCTTTATATACAAGTCATAGACATCACTAAAGAAGTTTTTGATTCCATCTTCTTGCCTTACATCATGAAGCATTATAAATCTCATATGTAGAACAAATTAAGGAAATAACCACTTTTTTAACACTAGGGGGTGCCTAGGGGTTTTACCAACCACCCTTCCTTTATCCCTGATCTTTTCCTTCCTCTCACAGCTTGCCCCCAGTCACACCCTGTACTCCCTGTCACTTATTGGGGGCAGCAGGTATGTGTGGATAAACGTGAAGAAAGACCCCCACCCCCACTCCTGCCAGTAGCCCTACCTGGGCTGCCACTTGCTTTTCTCAGGCATGCACACTAGGTTATCAGCATGAAGACAGACGACTGCAAGTACAATATAGAGATAAAGGTACTAAGTCGGACTAGACCTGAGGGTCCCCTAATTTGATTCCTGAACTAAAAGGGAATTGCCTAGATTTGTAGTATGTGAAACAGATGGCAGACATCAGCCAAGTGCACCTTGTATGAGCGGGTCAAGATGGCCTAAGCAAGTGAGCAATAACATTTGGAAATATGAAATCATACTTCCATTGGGTACAAATTGAAGGGCCGCTTGTGTGACCCAAAAGCAATGTTTAATCCTCTCCAGATGGCACCATGTATTTCAGTTCATAGTTGCCTCCCATTCTCAAATGAATACACTCTGGTTCTGCATTAGCTCAAAATCAATCATATCCATTTATCCCTTTTATTAACTACAGAACAACAAAAAATGCTCTAAAACAGGTGGGGAACCTATTTTGATTACAGCCAATTCCTTATCATTATCTGCCTTACTTATTGGCTTAAAAGGGGAGACTCGCAAAGCCTTTTCCAGGTCTCCCCTGCTTCCCCTTTAAGCCTCTGAAATCAGGGCCTGAAAGAGGGAGGGATGAAACTTGCAAAAGGCTTTAAGAGCCTCCAGAAGGCTCAAAGAGGAGTGTAGGAGCTGCCATAAAGTCTTTGCAAAAGGCTCTTTGAAGTATGGTAAATGAAAGCTACTTCAAGGGACATTTTTGCACAAGGCTTTGATCCAAATTCAGTTGATGAGCAGGGATTAAATCCTGCTTCCTTGGCTGTGCCATCTTGTTCCCTACTGGGAACAGAATCCTGCAGCCAAGGTAGGACACCATCAGTGATGTCAGCTGATGGACATGGTTTGTAGAAATTGGACCCCTTGGCAAATTGGACCCCTTGGCAGACCAAGACATGCCCACAGGTTGGAGGTTCCAGCAAAAAAGGATATGTCCTGCTGTGACAAAAGCAGAAACAAACCATTCATTAAACTTGTCCACAGTCTTCAGGTACATATTATTAGACAGCCACATGTTCTCATCTACTAGGTCAAGAGCAGCATGAGCTATGAACTGATTGAGATGGCGATGGTCATCCTGAAAAAAACAACAAAACTGAGTATGGCATAAAACAACTTTCTGTGATGCACTGCAAAATGTAATATACATTTGGCCAGTAATGCATCAGATATACAGACAGTATTCTTTCTGCCTCCATAAAATGTTAACCCAGTGTATGACTGGATGCTGAATCAGCCTGATTTGGGGGATGAAGTGGGGCTGGAGGGGAGGGAAGAGGGAGGAATCAAGCATCAATCAGATACATAGGCACTACCCCTACATAAGGGCAGTAACATTTTCAATGGCAGCAAATTTAATTAGAAACCAACTATTGACATCAAATTAATACAGACCTTGAGCTATCAGCTTTCTGGACTTAGACATGATCATGACTATGTAAAAATTCAGTATTTATACAAAAATTCGCACCTTAGACTCTACTTTACCAGCTGGTAGAAATTCCATTTCAAACACTGGATTATCATGGTGACCCACAATTACAAAGTAGAAGCTTCCAGACATGATTAAGATATTCCTTCTGAAAAAGAGAATAGATCATACAGCTGAAGTCTGAAAAAGAGCATAGATCATACAGCTGAAGACTCAAGCTGGTCTTCCTCTCCAACGTTCTTTCCTAAGTAGCTCTGCTTTCCTCTGGACCACACTAGTGAGGCCAAGAGTGGAGTCTTGAATGGGGAAGCCCAGAACCTCCGTTCACAGTGCCCAGGCTTGCATCCTGGGGAGGTCACTTTAGTGCTGCAAACGCAGCAGTTAACTTCACCCCTGGAGGCACACTCCATTGTATCTCCAGACAGACTGATACCAACAACAAAAAGAAAAGAGATTATTGATTTCAGGGTCGTGGGTTCGAGCCCCACATTGGCCTAAAAGATTCCTGCAAATCACAGGGGCTAGACTAGATGACCCTCATGGTCTTTTCCAACTATGCAATTATATGATTCTATCATCCTGGCAGACATTCAGGCCTCAGGGTGAGTGGGCATGAACCGCACAGAACCTCAATGGGGAACCACCGGTGTCCTCCATTAATGCCTCTACCCTCGACCGTTCAGCGGGGGCCAGTTTAACTATTTCTCAAGCAGACGTTTTAACAGGAGTAGGAAGAAGAGGTTTTACCTGAGGTCCAGAAAGCAGATACAGAAAGAAGAGAAAACAGAAGGCAGCGAGGCGCTCCTCCCCAAAACATCCGGCGCAGAGTGATGTAGTCATAGAGACCAGCCCCTTTTATTGGTTGATTCTGATGGGCGGGTCTCTCAGCGGCGAGTTGTCGCGAGAGTTCTGCAATAGCGACGTGTTTGGCTGAGCGCAGTAACCGCGGCAACGAGAGCCTAGAAGAGGCGGTTGGGAGCGAGTGGCCGTTGGGAGTGGGGGCGGGACCTTGAGAAGCGCGTCTGCGCGAGGCCGTTGGAAGAGCCTCTCGTCGCGCCTCAGAGGCGACTTCACGGCCGGCCGCTGCCTCCCTTTTTCTGCCCGTGTCAGAACTTCCCCGCTCTCCTCGTCACAAAATAGACCCTGAAACTCGGAAGGAGGAGCTGAGAAGGGCCCCGCCGCCGCGCCTCAAGAGTTGTGCCCGGCCGGCTTCCTGAAGCGCCTCTCCTTGACCAGAGAAGCGTAGCCGCTCCCTTTCGCAGCCGCCCTCGCGGTACGACCAGGCGGGCGGGGAGCGGAGTGCGCTTCTCGAGGCCGGCCAGAAAGCAGGCGGGGAGCGAAAGGTCTAGCAAAGAGGTGGGCTAGTAGGAAGGGTCGTTTAAAAAAAAAACACGGAAGAGAATGTGCTCTGGACTGCGCGCAACTCGCATTGTTATTATTGGTATTATTTAGAAGGTGTCTGAAGTTTCCTAGGGACTACGAAAAAGGTCGGGAGACTCAACCTGTAAACTAGCTTACCCCCTAGTTGGTTTCACAATTGAACAGACACCGTATTGGGGAATGGGTAGGAAACGGGAAAAACCCTAGCGTTGCCCACTGCTAACATGACCTGTATTAAATTCGGTTGCATCTAGTAGTTAAATGAAATAGGCAGCTCGAATACTTGCAGCTGTGACAATAGCTCCTCCTCCAAGGCAACAAGATGTATTTTCTTTCTCTTTCTTCCCCACTCGCCATTTACCAGGGCACTGGATGGAGATAACAGGGAGGCATACTTCCTTACAGGAGGAGCATATTGTCTCAGGAGGTGGTGGTGCATGCACATAGCCAGGATTTATTGTGGGGGGGAAGGATTTATGTTATGGGGCAGAACCAAGCTAGCTGTGATGTGATTGGTCAGTTAAGTATTTGTATTTACTTGATTTAGGGGTAGCAGCTGCCTCTCCTTGGCTACGCCTATGTGGTGACTTCTTGTAGGTGTTTAAGTAGAGATGGCTGTCACAGGTGTTGTAATCCTGCATTCCTGATCTGGTGTTGAGCAGGTCTAGATGACATCTCAGATTCCTTTCAGTTCTGTTATTCTAGAATCTTAAAACAATTGTGTCACCACATACGTCACTTTTCTGTTGATTCTGAATGTTATGCATATCGTAATATTTCACAGGCAGAACAATCTGAGTCGGCCCTGGGAGGCTGGTCACAACAAATTCTCAATTCCACTCACAGGCTTGCCAACCAGGATGAAAAGCAGTGTTTAGAAACAGAGATATGAAAGGTGTCAGAGATATGGCACCTTAAACCTAGGTTATGAGCACAACACCGGAATGTCTAAGCATGCTTTTTAAAAAAATACGAAGCTGAAAATGAATGAACTACAGCTAAAATAATTCTATTCATTTTTCACATGGTGTCTAGTCCTTATCCTGCCAATCCCCCTAATATTCTTAAACGGGTCTCTTTTCCAGTCTTCAGAGAGTAGCTGGAAGTGTGGAGGCAGAAAAAGGTCCTCCTCTCCTTCCACTCTGTAGTTTTAATCTGAAATCCTAGGCACAGCACTGTGCCCAGAGCTCAGGAACTGCTCATGCTAATGAATTTCCCTGTCACAAAATGCGCCTAGAACAATGGGAGTTTTGAACACTGATGAAAAGGGAGGGTTTTTTGGGCGGGTTTTTTTGCTGCACCAGCTCTAAGCTGCCATAGCAGAGAGGCATAAATCAGACCCCTCTCCAGAGAGTGGATGGGACTAAGATCCAGTGAATCCTACCCCACCCCTTGTAGTGCCCATTTCAGGGCCTCATGCTGGCTACTCTCTGTGGCAACACAACTGGCAGAAGCATTGCTGTGTTTACCACAGCTGTATAATGCAAGGGTTGACGTCGTTGTGACACTGGTCAACTCACCATTGGGAATTGAGCCTATTATATCTGCTGTACTGGCCTAATCCCCACTTCTGTTTCTTGATCATTTTAGAATTGGAAGAATATCGGGAGGTGGGATGGAATGTTACTTACATTTTGTGCACAGTAAAAGTGAGCTGTTTTAATGTATGGTCCTAAGTGTACTTATTCAGAAGTCACTGAATTCTATGGGCCTTGTTCTTTGGTAAACACATATAGGACTGCATTCTAGTTCTGTTTTAGGGGCATTCAAAGTATGCTTTTGATGTACCAGTTTTCATTCATACAGAATATAACATTAAAGAATCATGCACATTAAAGAAACAAAATAAATATAGAAAGTTCATTAGGCTGTTCAGACTTCAATAAGGCACCCTTTTTTAATTATGATGTGTGTTTCAATCCTACCTTCAACCTTACTTGCTTCTGTTACCCTTTACACTGCCTCAATCCCTAGTCAATCTCCTTGCAAACCCATTTTAAAATTTCCATCCCATTGGGATCAAACCTATTCATACAATTTTGAGGCCTGCATTTTTTTAAATGGACAAGTCTCCAGTTCTTTGCCATTGTAGTTTCAATGCTTTGAATAGAACAGCTGGCAACAGAAGAACATAGGAAAGTGGCTTAGGTATATAACTAATCATGCCTGTTTACTTCCTTTTGTAAGTGCCAGGATGTTTGTAGATGGTAAGTGTAAGCTACACTTCACTAATTGATAGCCCTGCATTTGCAACTCAAATAAACATGCTGATTTGATGCATGCTGCTAAGAATCACTTAAGACTTTAAAATTTTGAAATTCGGGGTTTTGATATGCGATTATTAAAAACCTGGCAACATTTCTGTTACCATGGCTTGTGTTTTTGGTTGTCTGCAAAAATAGCAATATTGTTTTCTCATGTTTTCAGATCCTAATGTCTTCAGATGAATTTCCAGCTCTGTCACAAGATGAACTCCGGAGAAGACTATATCAGACATTTAAGAGCCGAGGTGTTTTGGATTCACTTAAGGTATTTGATATAATTAAGCAAGATTAAAATAAGGGTTTTAACTTATTAAGCAGTATTTATACCCTGCCTACTCACTGAAATTCTCAAGGCAGCTTTCAATATATTTAAAGCACAATAAAGTAGACATTGATATAGTAGTCACAACTGTAGGGCAAAGGTGTATGTATATAAGCCATGAAATTATGAGATATATTGAAAGAAATATTACTGGCAGATTTTCTCTTGATGTATTGCTTGACTGTTCAATGCGTAAAGCATTATACACACCAGTGTAACACAAGGTTTCAGTACACTTAACATATCAAAGTCTTAAACTTTTTTCAATTTATTTAATGTTTCTTTTTCACTTTTTCTTCTAGAAATCCCAGTTAACAATAATATAATTTTTTCTTTGTGCCAGACACAGCTTCGAAACCAGCTCATACATGATCTAATGAATCCCATTTTAAGTGGAAAAATTCAGCCACAAGCTGTTTCTAGTGAATGCAGTTCATTGTTAATTGGTGCTTCTAACAGTCTGGTGGCAGATCACCTGCGCAGATGTGGCTATGAATATTCACTGTCTGTCTTCTATCCAGAAAGTGGATTAGAAAAGGATAAGGTAAGTACCTTCTTTTGAAGGATGTGTTAAATTATGCTCAGTACATAAATGAAGTCCTGTTTATCCAGTGCAGTTATTACATTGTCTATCAACCTATCTAGACCATCTTTAGTCCAAAAATGCATTTGTCATTTTTTACTAGGTAAGTAAGTAAGTAAGTAAGTGTGGCCCAGTAACAGATCTCAGCTATCTTACTGAACACCAGTACACACACACACACACACGGCCATGCACACTTTGACCCCCTAGAATCCTCAAACAATTTATAACACCACCACTCCAGAAGAGCATAATACTGTGTGTGTGTGTGTGTGTGTGTGTGTGTGTGTACACATTTTATATGTAACTACAAACATTCCAAAAGTGGGTGTAGGAAAGTCTGTTGACTTGCCAACAGGAGACAGAAGGATCTGTTTCTGCTAGGATCAGGCCTTTAATTAGTCTTGGAAATCTCAGGAAGAAGACATTATGGGTATGTACAGCAGGATCAGGTTCATCTGTGTAGGGCAGGCACCCCCAAACTCGGCCCTCCAGATGTTTTGGGACTACAATTCCCATCACCCCTGACCACGGGTCCTATTAACGATGGATGATGGGAGTTGTAGTCCCAAAACTTCTGGAGGGCCGAGTTTGGGAATGCCTGATGTAGGGTCTTCTTTCCAATGCCTACTGGAGGTCAAATGGTCCCACAAAACATCTAAAGTACAGAGAAGAAACCACTTCAGAATGAACGCTGTTGATTGCAAAGTTAATTACAGTTGGATCAGCCAGCTTAGAAGCAGTCTGAGATATGTTATGGAAAATTCTAGGAAAGGCTTTGTGCATGCCTGACTGAGTGACTGTTTCTGAGCCTCTGAAGGTGAGACATTGTGTATGTGTGAACTCCTGTGTGTGTATGCAAGAGTGAATGATTGTAAGACTCAATGCGAATCATTGTGAAACTGTGTTAACTTCTGAGTGCCTGTGTGTTTGACTGCAAAAGTGTGTATGATGGCATGCAATAATTGGCCTTGATACAAACAGTGAAAGTATATGTGACATCCCAATCATTATCTCATTTTGATTTTGTTGGCTTAGTTGTTTAACTTTTTGTTTTGACAATATGGATTGTCAAATGTATAATTGAGAGTTATCCGGTTTCTTTATCTCCTTATAAAGGCGCTCACCATGCAAGATTTACAACAGCTGATAAGGATCAATCCAAAGACTGATCTTTACAAAGCACTGGTAAAATAATTTATTTCTTGCAATCTTATTTTTTGTTAAGCATTGGGTAGATAAGAATGCAGTCAAAATCCTCCACCTGTGCTGTGGAAGAGGGCTAGGATAAGGTGGTAGAGACCCTTTGCTGCACTGCTGCGAAGGCCCTACTGCACTCTGTGGAGTGGGAAACTATTAGTGGTTGTTCTCTCACTGGCAGAAGCTTGCAGAAAAGCCCCAAAGGGAGTATTGTGGGATGCTGCCTGTTCCTCAGACCCCTCTGGTGCACCTGCCTGGAATTCACACAGCAAAAAAGGGGGAAGGATATGCCCCATAGCTTTTGCCCTGGCCAGTGGGAGTGGCAGGGCTTGGGGTGTGGCAGCTACTTTGCAGCTCTTCAGCTGGAGCTCGGGACTGCAGTATAAATTGACTAAATTATTTTTTTGTTTTTCCAGATTTCAGCTTCAGAAAAAGAGAATACGAAAGGTACAGCTATAATGTACATATATTCTAAGGAAGTTAAGATTGTAGACCACAGTCCAAAGATATTGTGTGTGTTTAAAATTATGCACACGTGTTTAAACAATTTAATTAATTGTTTAAATAACAGTTAACTCAAAACTGGGTTTCACTCAAAACCTCCATGGTAGTTTAATTTTTTTTAATGTTAATAATAAAAGTACAGCAGTTAAAAACAGATGGAAACATTTGACATTAAAATAAGTGTCCAGTGGTTTCTTTGACATTTTCGCATAAGCAGATCCTGCTGCTGAAGAGGCAAGCTGCTGTTTGGAAGAGAGGAGTTTGAACAGCAACTCTGGATAGCATACATAAATATTTAGACAGAAAAACAAAATAATGCACATTTTGTGGCCACCTGAAGCCTGTGTGCAGCAATATCAAAATATAATACAAATACAAGAAAAAGTAGCATCAGTAGCCATCACAAGCCTTGCTAAACAAAACAGTTTTCAGCATGTGCTGGAGTTGCCTCATTGTTGGCACATGCCTTATTTCTAGGGATGACAATTTGGGAGAGTGGACACAGCCAGGGAAGGCCCTCTTACTGGGTAATCCAAGTGGATGTCTTCTGGCTGTGGCTTATCCATGAGGGCCTCTGTAGGTGATGTTAGGGAATGGGCAGATTTGCGTAGGTGAAGATGTTCACTTTGATAACCTGGTCCCAAATTGTTTGGGGCCTTATACGTTAATACCTAAAACTTGGTGCAGTAGCAAATTAGCAGCTAGGGCAGTTCCTTTAAAAATGGTGTTAGTAACCTAACTGCTTCATTCTGCACAGCTTCTAGACCACTATTATGGAAGCCCCATGTAGAACACATTGCATTAATAAAGTATTGAGGTTACTGGTGCCTGGGTCACTGCAGCAAGACTGTCTCTAGGAATGGCTGCAGCTGGCATATCTACTGAAACCGATAGAAGACACTCATTTCTCCTGGAGCCACATGAGCCTCCAGTGTTAATGATGGATTCAGAAGCACCCCATTGTATGAACCAGCTCCTGCAGAGCAGGTGCAACCTTATCCAGACCAGGCAAATTGCCTAATTCCTGGACCTGGGGACCACCTACTCACAAAGCCTCCATCTTGCTGGGTTTCTGTTTATTGGCCCTCATCTAGTCCATCACTACTCTCAGTCACTGATTCTGAATCTGCACAGCTCCTGATTCAGATGTTACAGAGAAATAAGAAGCACTCCCGTAATGACCATTCCCAACAGCTTTATATAGATGTTGAATAGTAGTGTGGACAGGATGGTTCCTTTCATAACTGCTAACAAACGGTTACCTAATGCTATCTGTGGAACCAGCCCCACAAATAGTGGTAACACTGCAGAAGAGTGTCCCCTGCTCCCAACTCACAAGGCCGAACCAGCAGGAAAGCATTGTTGATAGTATCAAAAGCAGCTGAGTGGTAGAGTAAGAGGGTTACAGTCCCCTATCCTGATAAAGAGCATCCAGGGTGATCAAGACCAATGGAGTCTCATAAGCAGGCCTGAACCCAGACTGAAATGAGTCTAGATAATCTGCTTTCTCCAAGAGTACCTGGAACTGGGCAGCCAGCACACTCTCAAACAACTTCCCCATAATATGGGTGTTGGAAACCATATGTACATGTTATATGTTAAAAATGTTTTACCTGTTTTGAAATGTTTCAGATATGTTTAGTTGCTTTTTTAAAAAAATATTTTTATGTATTATTTGCTACCATAGGCTCTTTTTGAAGAAATTTTAAAAATAAGAGGGACAGCTTTTTTTCTTTAGAATTGTTCAACTTCTGTTCATTGGTACTCTTTTACTGTTGCAAAATATTATTTATTCCTTCTTGAGTTTGAAACTTGTCATTTGTTGGAGAAGAGATGTGTGATTAATGGTGTATCTCTAAGGCTTTCTTGTACAGATATTAACTGAACTGATAGACCATAGCCTGCATAAACAGATCTGCAACACAGAAACTCAGACCAGTCCCACACCTGGTAAAGAATCTCTTGGTAAGTGGAGTTACTGCAATTGCTTTATCCTCAGACTTAGCTATTTATATATTCAGCCTTAAGAAAGAGAATACTGTAGCATCTGTTCTGTAGCCTTGCTTTCCTACTGCTTCTGACATAACTCTTTACTAACTGGAGTATATGTACAACTTTTTACCTTTAAAAAGCATATAATCCTTCAAAAAAGTTGGGAAAGCTTTTAGCTAAGAAGGAGTTGCACATATTTATATGTTGCAGTTTCTAAATGTGGATCAAAACATAATTATGGGTTCACATTTCAACACAATATGGTTGTGAGTTTTGTGCTTTGAGAGAAAACAGAAACGTTGAAAATGGTACAGAGAGTTCTCTGGAAAGATAGGTATGTGATTGCATAGGTATGTACTAGACTGGTCCAATGAATTTGCTACACCTAGCCAGCTGCACAAGTGTAGAACAAAAATAGCAGAATTATCCCCCCCCCCCCCCAAAAAAAATAATAATCTTGCAGGGTTAAAAAGTATACTAATATATACACCAGTCACATCATCCTCTTCTACTTCCTGCACCTGCAGCCCAGGCATTCTCTCTATGGTTGTGGGAAATAGGTTATTTTCCATTTTAGCCATTGCAGAATATCCTTTATCATCACTGTACTGTATACTCCAAAACACTGCATAGGACATAAAACATATTTCAGATGAACAGATCTAACACAAATGCAATACTAGCCTAAGCAATCTATTCATAGAATGAAAGTTAGGAATGGAATACAGATGCAGTCTGGAGTACAGTGGCATCTATTTAAGCTGGAGCATAGTTTCAGGCTGCTAGATACCTGATTTATTTCTGTATTGTTTTCTCTCTTTCATTTATTCCTTGGTGCTCTTTTTAGTAGAGGTTAGTCATAGATTTATGCTTTCAGACCCTTTCCCCCTCAGCAGAGGCAGGGGACCAATTAGGTTGGCCTTCCCTTGGAGGCGGATGGCTTCCAGGTAGTTCTTGGGGATTTTCCGACTCATATGACTGGTGCTTCTTTTGAGGCCCTGGCTAATTTGTGTAATATGTGAATGGTGCAGGCTGTTGACACAGTCAATCACAATTGAGTGCCCTCTGCCACTTTTCAGTAGTTACTTCCTGCTTGTGGACTGCTCTCTAACGGGACTTTTGTCTGGTGCTATATTTATCTGTTAGGCACCAGGCAAAGACTTCCTTTTAACCTAAGCTTTAGGTCATTAATTTGAAGATTTTAAAAAGTATTTGTGGACTCTTTGGGGAGAGGGCAGGATCAGTAAGACATGTCTCTTATTTCTATAGATGTGTGATTTGGGATGGGGGGAGGTATTGATGGTGTTTATTGTAACTGGTTTTAGTATTTCTTATTATGTTTCCATGAGTAAAGCAACCAATAAATATAAATCATCATTGGCATCATAGCATAATAAAATGAATTAGGAGAGCTGGCCCCTATAAAAATGTCAACAATGTTAATTTCTTTTGTTTAGTATGATCACATATAATGGAACAATGCCTTTTATATATTTTTTCATAGCTGAGAAACTTCAACTGATTGATGAACAGTTTGCAGACATGTATCCTCAATGCCACAAATCTGAGTCGTTTGAAGTAAAACTTGCTGAATATAGAAAAGAAGTAGAACAGCAGCTTCAAGAGGAAATGTCTCAGAAGGTGAAGGGAAATGGGAGGAGAGGCAATGATGTTTTGTCAGTCTTAATGCAAATTTTCATGTGCCTATTTGATGCTTTTGTTAGTATAACAATTTACTTTTTCTCAGAGTACACAAAATACATGAAGGAAAAGCAGAGGACAAACATTTATTGAGCAAGACATGGCTGTTTACATTATGATTAGTAGGAGTAATCATAGGGATAAGTTGCAGGATCAACTAAATGCTCTGTCTCAGTTGCTTGCTCACTTAATGGCCAAACTTACATTAAACAGGAGATCTGTGATTAGATCACTTTGTTTTTAAAAACTATAGGAAGTGACTTGGATCAGGGCTATAATGTGGCTTAATCCTTGCATGCATCAGTGCTTGCTGCAAATGCCTGTTCACCCAACAGCTGCTTTTAAGAAAAGGAAAATTGGGAGATCTGATTAGTTGTAGAGCAGTGGATTTACCATGGTACTTTATCACATTCTTACACAGGAGGGATTTGCTAGTCACAAGAATTAGCCATCTACCTGTGATCTAATGTTTTTATGTGACAGTTGACACTTATAATTTTATTTTGAATGTCACAGTTGCAACACTTCAAAGAGGTTGAAATAGCCAAAATTAAGATGGACGAGAGAGCACAATCCCAGAAAGAGATTTCAGAGCTTCGTAAAGAATTTGAAAAAGTTCACAGAGCCAAGTCAGAGGCTCTAAGCTCTCGAGAAAGAAATGCTATTGAGAGGCTTCAGAAGCAGCAAGAGGTAATGTTTGAAAAAATTGAACTAAATAGAATGGAGGTTTTATCCTATATCAAGAGCCATACTGGGAAATGTATTGGGAATGACTATGTATTTTGCTTGCAGGTTACTTCTATGTATCTTCCATTGTGGTTTGTTCCTAATCTGCAATTTGTGCCGAAAAATGTGACCACCTGCTATTAAAATGCACTGCATAAGTAATTGTGTGGGATGCTGTATTTGAAAAAGTGGAAATGCATCTTCCATGTCCTAATATTTGCGTCTTATTCCCTTCGCACTGTTAGCCACTTAAAAATAAATAAATCATAGAACTCTTCCCATAACTCATAAGATACCTGTTGTAACTACTGCTAAGTCTTCTAGTAGTAACTAATTTTATCAGCAAACTGCATAATGAAGTGCAGGCAGTTCCAGCAACCAGTTAACAATAGAATGCTAGTTGTGAATACAGCCTTCCAAATCTCATATAGAATATGCAGGTGTTGCTACATTTGGGGCTTCATATAATACAAATATGTTTTTTCCAATAGATTGATGCAAGGGAAATTTATCTGCAAAGGCAAAGCCTGCTGAAAGATATTGAAACAGTAAGATCCCGAGAGGCAGAACTGAAGCAGAGAATAGAAGCTTTTGAACTGTGAGTTGTTAAACATTCATATAACTTTAGTTGGGGAAAAACCCCATATTTTTCTTGGCCTTCTAAATGCTACAGTTAGTATGAAGCTTCATTTACTCTTATTTCATTAAATGTAATGTTACACCTCTAGAAACAATATTATCCAGCTGCTTTTAGCGGCAGAATTGTTCCCTGTTAACTTGAGTTTTATGGTGTTTCATCGAAAAGTTGGCATTGCTTTGACAGTTTGTCTTGAAGTCAATACATTTTTTTGTTTTTTAATTAAACCATCTAGATACTGACAACAGTGCATGTTGATGTTTTGCCATTAGTCCTGATGTATATTTAGGAGAATATGGGTTTGTGAACTGCTTAGAAGTTTTCCATCAAATAAGTATGCAACTTTTGTTAGTTAAATGCATACAATAAATAATATTTAAGCATAGTTGCTCAGGAATCCATAATTAACTGATTAGGCAGTTTAAGTTTGTCGCCTTTTAATTCCCTTTCCCTCCCCTTCAGTTTAATGATAGATGAAAATCCCTCTGATTACCCAGAAGAGGGAGCTGGTGAACCTTTGAAATAGAGGAATAAGCTTCATCCTCCCTTGTAATTCCTTTACTTTCAGCATTTGCAGTCCTAAATAATTAGTTCGTGAGCCAGTGTTGTTCAAGATTTCCTGAAATCAGTAGTATATGTTCAACAGTAGGGTTGTCAGATTTAAGGCCTAATCTTTACCACAGCCCACATTTAGATCTGCTAGGGCTTGGTAGCTATGCTGTAAACTATCTGACATACCAGTGATTGCTGCAGTATGCTTTAATACAGATCTCTGCTCATGCAGTGCGGAGTGTGGAATTTGTAATTTGCCAGCATTTGCAGTCAAACCGGAATGGGTAATAGTGACCCTGGAGAGTTGTATGGCAAGGTAGTTTAAGCTGCCAGGATGTTTTTTGTTTTGTTTTGACATAATGAAGAAATTTGGGGTGGGGAACAGTGCCATGTGGGAAGGAGATTAAGCTGATGATAAGTTTGGGATTGACTATGGGAAGTAGCATAGGTGCTGTTAAAAGTGGCTTTGCAAAGCACAGTGTGGGTGGAAGGGTTTGGATGGAGAGGGGTATTTGAAGAAGCTGACATCCAGCTTTACTGCTATTCTTGCTCTAAACAACTGATTGGAAGGGAAGTGTAGTTACAGAAGGGAACATTTGAATATGAAACTATTGTCCATATGAGAATTATGGGAAATGTGGGGATCTGAAGACACATTATCATCTGAGTCACTTTAAACCTACCAAGTAAAAACATAATAACAAATCAAATAGCAAACTCAGTTCTCCATGTGTGGGTACTTAAGATGGCTGCATCCACATATGAGGGAGATGGTAGGAAGCTTGGTGAAAATCTCAAGGGTTGCAGGAGCACAAAAAAGAGCACTTTAAAAAAAGAACTCTAATGGGGTGGCAGAATAGCCATTTGCTTCTTACCTCAGCACCCCCCCCCCACGAGGCCAGAATATTAATCCAAGATTATTGTTCTAGGCTGGCCAGGGTCTTGGACAAGAGCACTCCTAGGCACATATTGAAGCATTTTTTTGTGAGTTCCACTGTAATAATAAGTTCCCCATCATGTTTCTGATGCTTCTGTCACCTGATTTGTTCTGTTAGGATTATTTTATTGTGCATTTTCTTTCTTTGCTTCAGAGCTCAAAACCTTCAAGAATCAAAAAATAAAACTGTAGAAGATGCACTTCGTCATCGAGAGGTAACTGTGAAGAACATTGAAGAGACTTACGACCAGAAACTAAAGAACGAACTCCTAAAGTAATTAATTTGCCTGTCTCCTTCAGTGACTGCATATGATGCACATAGAAAAGTAGTTGCATAGTAGAGACAGACAGAATATACTAATAAGTGAAACATTTATGGAGCATTTTTATATACTAGGGATGTTTCTGTCAGTCTGATGTGAAGAGATGGAATTTGGAGCTCTTGCCCTATGGACAAGAGGAGAGTAATGGAAGCAGCAAGCCTATAGAGGTTTCTTGTTCATCCTCTTGCAATGACCTGAAACTCTACTAGGGCAGGGGTGACTAGCCCACAGGTCGTATTTGCTCCCCTATATTTTTTTGTACCGTACTTTTCTGTATGTAAGATGCCCCCATGTATAAAATGCCCCCTATTTTGGGGGACTCAAATTTAAGAAAATGGGGGAGATGGCACAAAGCTGTTGAGCTTTTTTGGGGGGGCGGGATTACCCAGGGTTGTTGAGCTCATCTGTTCCCTCGCCAGTAGAAGCTGCCAATTGCCTGCCCAATTGCCGCAGCGTCGGCCACTAAACACCACCCATTGACACAGCAACCAATAACAACCAATAATAGCCGCTGACAGCCATGGCAGAAACCAATCAAACGTACACCCTATGCACTCCCCTTGTATAAGACGACCTCCACTTTTTAGCATGATTTTTAGAGAGAAAAACCTAATTTTCTACACAGAAAAGTACGGTACTTCACACATTGCCCATGCCCACCTCTATACTTCAGTCCCTGGAGTGCTGACCAAAGGGCAATGTGATCCTCTGCCTTAAAAAGGCTAGCAATTGCTGTTTTAGGGATTTAGATTTTAATTAGGAGATGCTCAAATATTCAATATTTAATCAGGAGATGCTCAAATATTTAAACTCAGATTAAATTTTGTAGGCTTGTCATGATTGAAGGAAATGCTGCTGGCCAGGGTACACAGATATACTGGCCTCTTTCCTCCTGTGCCAACTTTGAACAAAAAGAAACCAAGAGTGCAGTTTTAAGCAAATTTCAATTGAGTTCATCTGCTTGGATTCAACTAGCTGTCAATTGTGTTTAGGACTATAATTTTATATATGGGTTCTCCCTCTGATTTGAATCTGAAGATTGAACATGGTTAGTTATCCAGGATAAAGCTACTATGACTTTAGTTATAAAGACACATGGAATTGAAGCTGACAGTGCTTAATCAATTAAAAGTCTTCAGTAATTTGGCAACACTCCACAATGCTTTTTATTCTTAGGTATCAGCTTGAACTAAATGAAGAATACATAGCTAGAACCAAGAAAATTACTGAAGATGAGAAAAAAATTAAAGGTGTTTTTTATATCTATCTCTCTATTTTAAAAAAACCTACTACTCAAAAATAAATGTTTGACTTTTATTTAATGAAATATGTCTAATATAAAACTTCCCTGTTTTTGACCAGATAAAGCTATGCTTTTGCATGAAGAGACCATTTCTCTTAATTCAAAAAAGCAAGAATTTGAACATGCTGTATCACATTCAAAAGAGCTTGAGGTAATTGAAGTTAAAATGTCTGTTTTAGCAATATATTTTTACTACCTTTATAATTCAGATGAATAAATTATCCAGTTATATCCTGGAAGAGGTCTACTAACTCCCCCCCCCCCCCAATATGGTATTTGTTTCCAGCTGGAAATAGATTCAGTCAAGGCTCAAGTTTTATTATTAAGCAAGCAAAATCAGTTGATGACAAAAAAACTGGAAGAAGTCTCAGATTATCCAACACTAAAAGAAGAGAAAATGGAACTTCAGGTGCAGAATAAGCTACTCAAACAACAGTTGGAAGAGGCTCGCAATGAAAACTTGGAACTCCGAGACAGTTAGTGTGAATCTAATATTCTTTGAAAAAAATTATTAGCAAGATTTGCAAAGAAAATACATTTTAGAAATGTAATAGCATCTCTGCTCTTTTATTTGTTTCTCTGTGTTAAATATCTATTTGTTTTTCTTTTGTATTTCTGTCATAACCAAATGGGTTTTTCAGGGTTTTCATAGTGCTTCAGGAAGTAACTCCTAAAGTCCAAAACTACTTATCTGCACCTATCTTTTGCAAGACTGTCACTGGACCTATTGAATAGTGACAATGACATCAATGGGCTTTCTTTAAAATTGTGTTGCACAAGATATAAAATCTGGAGTAGCTAGCCAAAGGCTAAAGCATATGTGCTTTGCTGATTACAGTGGTGCCTCGCAAGACGAAATTAATTCGTTCCGCAAGTTTTTTCTTCTTGCGAGTTTTTCGTCTTGCGATGCACGGTTTCCCATAGGAATGCATTGAAAATCAATTAATGCGTTCCTAGGGAAACCGACTTCAGACCAGGTCCGGGGACAGTCTGTCCCCGACCTCTTCTGAAGGCTGGGGGGGACAAGGGCTTTTCTTCCCACCCACCCCAGCATTTTAAAACCCCGGGACAGCGGAGGGCTTCTCCGCTGTCCGGGGCGATCTTAAAATGCTGGCGGGCGGCATTTAAAATTGCCCCGGGACAGCGGAGGACTTCTCCGCTGTCCGGGGCAATTTAAAGCCCCTGGGAAGGCAGGCAGGGGGACAAAGGCTTTGCCCCCGCCAGCCTTCAGAAGAGGTCCTGGACCTCTTCTGAAGGCTGGCGGGGGCAAAGTCTTTGTCCCCCCACCTGCCTTCAAAAGCTGTCCAGCCAAGGCTTCGCGGACCTCTCCGCAAGCAGCGGCAGCACTGCCGCTGCTTGCGGAGAGTTGCCGGCATGCCGAAGCCTGCGCGCGCTGAGATCAGCGCGCCCAGGCTTCGCGGACCTCTCCGCGAGCAGCGGCAGCGCTGCCGCTGCTTGCGGAGAGTTGCCGGCATGCCGAGCCTGCGCGCGCTGAGATCAGCGCGCCCAGGCTTCGCGGACCTCTCCGCGAGCAGCGGCAGCGCTGCCGCTGCTTGCGGAGAGTTGCCGGCATGCCGAGCCTGCGCGCGCTGAGATCAGCGCGCCCAGGCTTCGCGGACCTCTCCGCGAGCAGCGGCAGCGCTGCCGCTGCTTGCGGAGAGTTGCCGGCATGCCGGAGCCTGCGCGCGCTGAGATCAGCGCGCCCAGGCTCCGCGGACCTCTCCGCGAGCAGCGGCAGCGCTGCCGCTGCTTGCGGAGAGTTGCCGGCATGCCGAAGCCTGCGCGCGCTGAGATCAGCGCGCCCAGGCTCGCGGACCTCTCCGCGAGCAGCGGCAGCGCTGCCGCTGCTTGCGGAGAGTTGCCGGCATGCCGAAGCCTGCGCGCGCTGAGATCAGCGCGCCCAGGCTCGCGGACCTCTCCGCGAGCAGCGGCAGCGCTGCCGCTGCTTGCGGAGAGTTGCCGGCATGCCGAAGCCTGCGCGCGCTGAGATCAGCGCGCCCAGGCTTCGCGGACCTCTCCTGCCTTCAAAAGCCGTCCGGGATAGCGGGAAGCGCTTCCCTGCTATCCCGGACTGCTTTTAAAATGCTGGCGGTGGGGAGCAAAGCCTTCGGCCCCCGCCAGCCTTCCTGGACCTCTTCTGAAGGCCGGAGGGGGGGGGAAGGCTTTGCTCCCCACCGCTAGCATTTAAAAGAGGTCCCCGGAGATTTCCCTATGGGCTTTCGTCTTGCGAAGCAAGCCCATAGGGAAATTCGTTTTGCGAAGCGCCTCCAAAACGGAAAACCCTTTCGTCTAGCGGGTTTTCCGTCTTGCGAGGCGTTCGTCTTGCGGGGCACCACTGTATATACAAATGACTGTGATTCAAGCAAGGAGCTAAAAAGATGACCTCAGATATAGAGGGACCTCAATTGGCTTGGTTATATGCCCTTATTATAAGTTGTGTATGTCAATGTGTATATTATGTACTTTAGTGTTTTGATGCCCCAGAGGCTAAGATAGCCAAAAACACAGAACAATGACTCAAGTTTTTGAAGGAGCTTCACCAATAGGACTTCATAAGGCCTATCTGCAGTCCGCTGTTTGCTCCTCTCCTTGGTTTGTTGTGCTGTGCTGTCCTCAGTATCCATGTTGATTTGTGCAAAACCCACATCAATGTTTTTCTGATTATTGGATGGAACCTTATTAATCTTTCGTTAAGTCCTGATTAATGCTAAGAATAATGTTCAGTGACTGCCTGCATCCAGGGCTTTCCATGAGTTAAACCATTTGAATCATAGCACGGGACGCTAAAGAGTGTACAGTGGTACCTCTGGTTACGTACTTAATTCGTTCCGGTCCGTTTTTAACCTGAAACTGTTCTTAACCTGAAGCACCACTTTAGCTAATGGGGCCTCCCGCTGCCGCCGCACCGCCGGAGCACGATTTCTGTTCTCATCCTGAAACAAAGTTCTTAACCCGAGGTACTATTTCTGGGTTAGCAGAGTGTGTAACCTGAAGCATATGTAACCCGAGGTAACACTGTAGTTGGGTGGTCTGCTACAGAGTATCTGTTTATCAGATGCAGTGTTTCCTGGCAAGGTTAGATTTTAACTTTATCCCTCCCCCCCCCCTTTATAGAGTTGAGTCGGCCATCAGCTGAATATTTGGTCCTTGAGGCAGAGCTGAAAAGAGCAAAACATGCTAGGAAGCTTGAAGGTGAAGAATCTGACACTCATAAGCAGCTCTTGGAAAAACAGTTACAAAATGAGGTAAACGTGCCATTTTGTTGTTGTTTACGCTCGTTCTTCTAAAAAATACTTTTTTAAACACAATAGAATCAGCATAAATTCATCAACCACATTTTCCTCACTCCAAATTATTAAAGTCTAAAACCAGTGTTAAAAAATACAGTCTGATCCTGCAAAAGCAGTGCACACCCTCTACACTTGTATTTGCTGCTGAATTGAGAACTCTTTGCATGACACTAAGTAAATTGTTAGTGTTGTAAATGCTTACTGTGCTAATATTATACTTGAGGAATTAGACAACTAAATTCTCCGAAATAAAGGCCAAGTGTAGACTCTACATTCATATTCTTCATTTCTCTAGATGAGGAACTGGTGGTCTCAAAATCAAAATATCTGTTTCTCTCTGCCTGCCTTCCACCAGTTCATTCATTTGAGACCTGGGGGGCTGATTGTTCATTTGTAACTATATGGATTATTTGCTTCAGTGTGTTAAGAATGCTCTTGAATTAGTAAGGCATTTTGTCTCTGAAATCTTTTTAGATTGAACATTGTGTACAGCTGAAGACTCAGTTGTCGGAATGTGAAAATACTATCAGGAAGTTAAATACACAAATGGAAGACCTTAAGCTACAACTGAAACAGACACAGACAGGTTTGAAAAATCCTCTCCACTTTTGGGCTAACTCAGAATAAGATCAGGCTTTATTTAGAGCAATTTTATTTAAGCATTGGAGCAGATTGAAATAATACACATGAAAAATGTCATGTATTGGTTTTTTTTGTAAAAGTCTGATATTGTGATTTTTAAAATTTAAAACATTTTTTATTATGGAGAAAGATCTTGACCATATGTAGACAATATCTGACAGTTCAGAAACAGAATCAGCAAAGATTCTTGTGGCATCTTAAAGAATAACATTTTTTTATGGACTAAAGGCTCCTTTCATGAACTAAAGGCTCCTTAATCAGAGCCAAGAAATGAAAAGAGTCTATGCCATTTTTAGCCAGAAACCTTCCATAACTATATTTTATTTCTCCCAACTCAGATTTTCTTATTTACCCCCCCCCCATTCCTTTCTGTTACAACATTCTTTGTTTGAAATCACAATTTCTGAAATTCAGTTGAGTCCAATTTAAATGTGGCTTTCTGTGTATTTGGTTGCGCCCCCCGCCTTGGGTACCTTACTATAGCTTTAAGAGACCTCATACTCCTTCTCAGATCTTGAAATGACTAGGCAAATACTTTCATTATACTTCTATATTTGATTTTAAACATTTTCTTCTTGTGTGTGTAACTGCCTTCTGCTGGTATAGACAGCTCTTTGGATCTAACTCTCTTCTTTTGTGGCTCTGACATTTTCAGCTTAATTTGAATATTTTCTGTGCATTTTGTTTGATCATACTAACTTTAAAAACCTGAAATAAATTTGAGGTTTTTTGCTATATTAAATCATGTTGGATTTGTGTGTAGAATAACTATATTAAAATGTAAGGTAAGTTCAGTTTTCATTTTTGCATGCTAATTATACAATGACCAAATCAAAATTTGTCTTAAATTGTTTTCTTTATCTCTATTAAATTCTTGCCTGTAGCATTAGAGAATGAAGTGTATCGGAATCCAAAGCCCTCTTTGGTTGATCGTTCTGTCATTGACTTGTTTGGTGACAAGACTGTACCTCCTGATATTTATATAGATGGTGCTTTCCTGAAAACACAGCCAATGGCTGATTTTATTGGAATGGGAAATGGTACAAGCCCCAGACATCATCACCACATACTGAAATCTAACACTTCACAAGATTCTGATTTAGAATTTGTAGCTAATACAAAGGCTAGAATAAAAGAATTGGAGAGAGAAGCTGAATATTTAGAAGAGGCCTACCGGAATTACCAATACAAAGCCATTCAAACCACAGCTGGCCCAGCAAAAACCACATTCTCTTCACCTATGGCAAGTAACATGGCATCTCGCCAAAGACTTTGGTTTGCACAGGATGATCTATATTCCCAAGAATTACCCTTTCACTGCCAAAAAAATAAAAGCTATAGATGGACACCAGGAAATGGGGATCACTTGAAAGATCATCTAACCCCTCCACGGAAGAAGTCTACTTCTAGACGTCTGTCTTCTACTCCTGTTTCCAAAGCAAAGAGAAATATTAGTAACAAGCTGTTTTCTGAAGGTAAGCAATTTGATATTCATGAATTATGAGTGAAGTTGTTGCTTTGTGTGGATATCAAGAGCTACTGATATTAAGAGTTTTCTGCCGTGATGGTTCCTTCCCTTGGTCCATTTCTACTTGCTGCAAACATGGAAATGCTGTTTTTCATCTAACCCCCTTTCAATGCCACAAGATTTATCATTGAAACTGATAGTCTTTTACTTGCTGACTCTCTGTAGTCTGTGTGTGTGTGTGTGTGTGTGTGTGTGTGAGAGAGAGAGAGAGAGTGTGTACGTACACACACACACACACACACACACACACACACAGAGTGTACTCTGATTAAACACTCTCTTGCTCCTGCTATTTAATCAAAACATGGAGATAAACTTAAGTGAGAAGTACTGTGCAGAAAAAAATATTTTGTATTTTTTCCGCAATGAACCAATTTTTTCTAATCTGAAAACCAGTGTTAGAGAGTACCAAGCCTATCTTTTAAGCACCCAAAGTCTTCCAATGTTCCTGTGTTTTTACCCCTCCTTAAAGTATTTTGTGGTTTTCCAGGAACGATTTCCAATGCACATCACTGGTATTAAGTGTTTTGTAGCTTACAGTAGCTGTTCAGATACTATTGCACAGTAATATGTGGTTGCCTTCTGTTCTGCAGATACAGTTGCCTCATCTTTTGCTGCCCCTCATCAGAATGCAGACCAACCTCTCTCCCCCATTCAAAGAACAGGCAACCTTTCATCTCCTGAACATGCTTCTAATATATCAGTTTCTTCTTCCCTAGCCTCTTGCAAACAAAAACTAAGGTAATGTTTATATAGGGGCGAAAGATCTTCAGCTATATCATGTCCCATATTTGTGTATTACCTGTTGATATCCGTAATCAAAACATTCTTCCAAGAGAATGGTTTATCCTCAGGCACTTTAGTAGTTACAGTATTTTTTTGTGTGCTGCATTTTTAATACATTACAGAAACATGGAGATATACCAAACATTTCCTAATCCCTTATACAAGCTGTGTGGTTTTTTTTGCTGCTGAAGGCTGTGCCCTTGCATTCAAAAAGAGATGGAGATAGTAGTGGGCCTCTAACATGCAGACTCGGGGGTAGTGGTGAGTGAGTAGAGGTTGCTTAACTTTTGTGGGTCCATATCCTGACCATGTTCCACTTTGAGAGCTGTATCCCATAAGAGTTGGTGTGTTTGGTAATAGTGCATCAGGAAGAAGGTAGAGAGTACTGTACAGTGGTATGCAAGTTGATAAAATGATGAGGCAACCTTGCTATTGTGAATATGAGATCATGAGTTTAGATATTGGATAGTATGACTGAAATCTGAATTATTAGAACACTTGGACAGCATGGAAGTTGTCATCCAGACTATAGAACCTCACTATGGAGGAACCTCGCTATGGTTTTTCCCCTCCATACAACCTTAACTCAGTTTTCTGATGGTTGATGCTGGCATAGGGAAGACTGTGCATAAAGGCTCCTCCTGCAAGAGCAAAACAAAGAGCTTTAATAAACTTTTCTTGTAACTAATGTTCATGTCTTTGTATGTTATGCCCATGGTGTGCTCTGCAGATGTGACACAGGGCTATTAACTTTACATTTTAGAAACTTTTCTAAACTAAATATAATCGCTTTTCTCCATATCCTTCCTTCCTTTTAGCCTTCATCAGCAGCAAGGTGAAACTCAGGGTGTTAGTGACTCTGCAAAACCTGAGAAGCTCCTGTATAAAGACCTTGGAAATGATGACTCTGACCTTGGAAATGATGAGTCTGCCAGTAAATGTAAGTTTTTACTATATTTTTCAGAAAGAAGCAATGCAGAAATTTTATATCTGGGAGCCACCTTTTTTTTAAAGCCAGAAATCACTTAAGTATGACTCTTGAGGGGTTTTTTTTTGGCTTTTCATAACCTCTCGACGTGTTCTAAGGAAATGGGGGTGTCTTTTAAGCCACCCCTTTTACCAAGCAACTGTGTAATGGTCTTAACATATAAAATGCATAGAAGTGAAGCCTAGCCTAATCCGTGTGTGTGTGTGTGTGTGTGTGTGCGCACGCGCAAATGTTAGTGGGAATGGTATTGGACGTTGTATGATTTACACATTGGGCTTGGGAACCCACATTAGTAGAAAAGCAAAATATGCAGAAGCTGAAGCTGTACAGGTTATATTGGTGAGGCCTTTTAAGATCTCCATTGCTGGCATAGGCAAAGTATGAAGTCAGAGCTTTGGGAAACTCTGGCACTCTCCTGATAGACATTTTAGTATATTTGATGTTTGCCACAACCTGGAAATGAAAAACTAGAGATAGTTTAAAACTGAGCTTTTCAAACTGTGTGTCGTGACCCATTAGTGTGTTGGCTGCAGTGTGTAGTTGTGTCACGCAAATGCTCCTTGCGCTCCTTCCGGGGCTGGAAAGGGATTACTTTAACTTCCGGTTTGCTAGTAAAACTGAATTACTGTTTTGCAAAACGATGCATGTCTTAAATGTGTGTCACCAACATGAAAAGTTTGGAAAGCTCTGGTTTAAAACTTAGAAGATGTGATGTAAAATAATGAGATTTAATGAAAGCGAAAAATGTTTGAATTGGATAATGCACAGGGAAAACCAGTAAGTGCATGAAAGAGGGGGTTACAGCGCTGGATATACAGTACAAACTATAATTTTGGTTGGACAGAACTATTGAGGGAGTGCAAATTAAAACTTTGCCAAAAAAATGCAACTATAACTTATTGGCTTCTGCTGCCATCACACAGTTCCTTGTGTTGATTCTCTCAGTGTTTGTAGATGGATATGAAAGGATGGATGGGCACATGTGTACACATGTATACATTATCACTGGCAGCAGAGGTTTGGCTGAGGAGGGGGGGCATGGTATACAAAAATATTGTAAGATGTGTGGCATGCTGCATGTGACAGGTACCTCATACTAATCGTCTGGATATTGAGCCTGTAAATTAGCCAGGTTATGTTTTGATATAATCTGTTTTGGGGATGGAGAACCTTTGGCACTTCAGATGGTGTTGGACTGTAACTCCCATAAGCCACAGCCTATGTGGCCGTTGCTTAGGGGTGATGGCAGTTGTGGCCCTACAGATGTTGCTGTTCCTTATAAAAACAAGATGTATATAATAACAGTAATGAAAAACCTGATATTAAAAGATAACAGACTGCTGCTTTCTGACAGAACCTGTTACAGTGATGTTTATGTATGGTGATAGAGGAGTTGAAACAACTGTAGAGGGACATGATTCTTGCAAGCCCTACCAAACACCAATAAACTCCAGCCTGAGAAAAGAGGCAAAACTATAGGAAACTTGAAAGTTTTGTTTTATGGAAGTGACTCAAATGCAACCAGGCTCTCCATATTTTGCATTCATGCTTGTGTCTCATTGGTGGATTTTAATCCTACAAAGTCCACATTGAGTTGAAGCTGTTTTGACTCTTTGCTTAGGAAACATATTGTAAGAACTAGTTTCCAAGCCAGACAGTCCCATGATTCTGATTAAAACAGCCCATTTGAAGTTTCTTCATTCTTAGGGTAATGGTTGGCTTGGCCAAGAAGAGCACTTAATTAATGGCTTACACTTATGCATTCTGAACTCAGTCATTCCCACACTGTGTCCATTTCTTTGCCCTGCTTTGATAATTGCAGAATAATGAGGGCATTGTTCCTACTTCTCCTCTAGATCAAGAGGACATTCCAGAACAGCTCGAAAGCGATGTGTCACATCCATCTCACATTGTTAGTGGAAGCCATGTTCCGGCTACTGTGCCAGCAGCGGGCACTTCACAGCAGGACATAAGTGAGTTTTCAGCTCAAACAAGTGTGAATAGCCATTTTAGATGGCTTGTTTATCAAAGTATATGGAAACTGAAGCTTTTGCAGCTATTGTCTGAAATACAGTAAATGGTATTATTTTAAACTGGCTACTGTCCATAACAGAATATCTTCATAATATATTTCAGTTTAGAGCTGCTTCAGTCAACTTAAGAACATAATTTTTAAGCTTTTCCATACCTGTAACAGGAAGGCACACAAGTATGTTAGACATTTGAAGATAAGGCAACAAGGGTAGAGGGCTTAACAAAGGAACCTAGGGGAACTCGAGATGGGTGGGGAGTGAGTTTGATAGTAACTATTCTCCCTGCATAGTGACCACTTTCAACAATTTGTATGGAAAATGGGGATTCCAGAGGGCAAATGTTGAGAGAAACAGAAGCTCTATGAAGTAACATGTTTCTTGTTTGCATATTGGGGCAGTTGAAAGGGTAATATTTGTGACAGGGAGCCCTGCAGCAGTCCTCTTCTCAAGCCTGCTATTTCTGTTAGACAGCTGAAACTGCTGTACTTGAAATTTTGTTTTGTTTTGTGACATTTCAACAAAATGTACCCTAACTATTAATATATTTCTGTACCCTACTGCACCATCATGATGACTAGGCACAGGTAGGTTTTCTGTAGCTTACTGATCTTGCACAGTCTTATGTAGAGAGTTTATTGGGCAGCCATAGAGTTGGAAAATCACCAGTATACATTAAATGGAGGTAAAGGAAGCTGAATACAGTTTGGGCAGGACTTGACATATTCTGCTTCTCTGGATTAATTAGTCTTTTCTATGCACTGTTAAGTACCTATCTGTTTGGAATAATATGCATCCATATACTTTAACTGTGTTTGATTTAATGCTTCGGAATGCAAAACTGTCTTTCTTTGCTTAATACTGCCCTCTATGTATTAGGTGGAGCAGAAATAACAGCCCTGGAGAAACAAAAGCATCCTGAAGAACAGGAGGAAGAAGAGGAGGAGGAGGAGGAGCAGGAGGAGCAAAAATGGGAAGAGAGGGAAGGAAAAAGGCAGCAAGAGAGGCAGGACACTTTGGAAAGAGAGCAAGGAGAACTGGAAAAAGCAAATGAAGAATTGGTAATGCATTTCAGAGTCTTGGTGATTTAAAATAGTTATTATAAACTAAAGAGTACTTTCTTTTTCTGGACCAGGACTGTAGATACAGGCAGCCCCCCCATTTACATGCGTCCAGTATGTGTTTGATCTTGTAAACGCACATCACGCCGAACCCAGAAGTGACCTGGAAACGTCATAAAGACATCACTTAAAGGGCACAATGGGGGTGGGGTATTTGCAGGCTTTTTCAGTGGGTTTCAGTTATACGCAATTGAACCGATGCACACAGTGCCTCGGAACGTAAACCCTGTGTAAACAGGGGGGCTGCCTGTATAGACAACAGATTCTCAGAGGCAGTTTTGTGGAGTGGCCGTTGTGTGTAGTGTGCTGATAGAATTTCTGCAGAACTTGTTTTCCTTCCAGTGGAGATTGATAGATCAGAAGCTATTTGCCACCTGCCATTTTACCACCATATTGATTTGCCAGGGATATGAGTAAGCTGCTGTAAAGCTGCATTAAATTGGGTTTTCCCTGCTCTATTATATCTCCACTATACCCCAACCACCCTGGTTGAACAGAAATCAAATTTATTATGTTGGATTATTCATAGTGCCTCGGTACTGGGAAAAGGAAAGTGTTTTACAAAAAAATAAACTGGACAACCTTTGAATATTTCCTTTTGGAAGAATGAGATGGTTTATAGAGCAGCTATTTTTGAAGCTCTTTGTGCAGAATAGGAATTTTTAATAAATGATCACTTCTGAGAGTATGCTCTCTTGGGGTGCTCTGATGATAGGAGGCTGCAGCCCTGCTACTTCTAATTGCAGACTGGAGTCCTTCCCATCCAGTGGACTTCCTCATGAGGAACTAAGTGGTCAGCATTTCGTACCATTTTTGTAATAAAACCAAGATATGGCACATTAATCTGACACCACCAAAGATGGAAAGTAAACTGCATCAGTTGTTCTTAGTATATGTTCTGGGGAAAGAGGGACCAGTACAAACATTCTCTTGGAGAACTGACTTTCTAACAATACTTTGCATTTAGCTGTTTTACTTTTTTATTTAAGTATTTCTAAACCACCATATAAAATATCAGGACTGTGTGTAACATTAAAGACATAAAACACCATTTGAGAAAGCAAAATACAGATAATGGTTAAGGTCACTGGCAAATCAAAAATTAAGCTGCTACAGTGAGCTTTCAACATTAATAAAAGGCCTTCAAGAGTCACCTGAAAGTCAGTAGCAAGGGTGCCTGCTGAATCTGCTGGAAGAATGTTCTCTATAGCATGGGATTGCAACATCAAATGCCCAACTTCTGGTTGAGGCCAGTTGCACTTCTGTAAAATGGGTGATTTGATAATCAAATGTAGTTTAGTTCTGGTTGAAGTAAGCCACTTATTGATTACTGTGAGGATTTAACTTGTGTGTGAAGAGACATCATTATTGCAGGCAATTTGCTGCAACTAATTTTGTGCTGTTTCTTTTATATAGTCCTTTAAGATCCTTATAAAACTATAGGATGCTGAGTGTAGGTAGGATTATGTTACCAGTGGCCCACATTTAAGTGGAACATTCCTTTCTTCTCTGTTAAAATGTTTTATGGTGTTCATTCTTTGGTTTCATAAAAGTGTATGCAAGAGTCAGTGGAAACTGAGAAAAAGCATGAAGATGTGGCAGATTTGGAAGCCATTATCTCAAAGTCTGAAGAGCATGGTGGTGACGCTATTCCTAATCCACTGGAAAAATACATGAAAATAATACAGCAGAATCGGGAGCAGGAGTTTGCAAATGAGGTGATGTCCATTATTCTTACATCTAATGCCCTGGCTTTCTTCCATTATGGACCCCAAGGTGGTATACATGTGGTTTATAGGAGGTCTCACATCTAGGTTCTGATCTGAACCAGATGTGCTTAGCGTCAGCAAGATGGTGGTTTAATGCACCTGAGATGTATTAGTTTTGGAACTCACGCACTCCAAGAACAATCTCAGTAGTTCCTTTGTCTTTTTCACACTGGACAAGCAAGCATGCAAGATAGCATATACACAACCAACTAAAGAGTAGAACAAGATCTGATTAATTTAAAATGTTGAGGTCTAGCTTTTGTTGTATCAGAAACTTGGGATATAAAGTCTACCTTATGTTTCCCCCACTTGAGGTCATTTAATAGTGTATTGCCAAATTATTTCGGTTAATAACCAACAAAAATTTCCAATGTACTTGATTGTTGTTGCAAACCTTGTGGATATTTGCAGTTAAGCTGATTCTTCTGCAGCTTGCTTTGCGGTTATCCAGAATTAACCATCTTCAGCTGAATTAATGATTAGCTTACAAGGACGGATTCCAAGCCATCATACTTCCTTGAGTACAGCTTTTTGGCTTAATGAGTCATGCTTCATGCATATACAATAAATTTGTAGTAGCCACACTTGAGTTCAGCTTGGCAAAACCTGCTGTTTATAGCTACACTTTTTTGCTGCATGATATCAAATTCAAAAAGGAATAGTAGAATGAATGCTGTAAGCAATCTAAACGAATCACTGGAAAGCGCTATCATTTGTTACTGTGGGGGTGGCTTACCTGTGGCCCTCCAGATGCTGTTGAACTCCCAACTCCTGGTCTGTGATCAGTAATAATAGGTATTTGTAGTACAGTAACAGTTGGAGGTTACCCACATCTGTTCTACTGTTGATCTCTGTTAGCCATTTTGAATTGGTAATACGCAGTGATACCACTATAATTCCATCACGCTGCAGTACAGTGATCTCTACTTGGTCTTGTAACATACAAATTCTTGCATCAAACGACTTTCTTAATCTTTTATTCACTGATCACTTTTGACAAATACAAGATCATTTGAATTTGGCAATGATACTAGAAAAAATAGTGGGCAAATACTTAAGTGTGTACATTCTGGTTTTAAACAGTTTAAACATACAGGTTTAAGATTACCCACAGACCTATGGAGACCACAAAATTTTGTCTGGAAAAGGTCATACTATGGTAGAAAACCAGTAACAGGACACGTGAAATATGCCAAACTAAAAATTCTGATAACAAATTCCACTACAAAGCTGTTCAGACATAAGCATGCTATTTCTGAAATAAAGACCAAAAAACCCCATTGCAATCAATAAGATTGTGTCTCTATCAGTGGCTGTTTCAATTGGTTGAAAGCAGAGAGGAAAGAAGACCAATTGCCATTTAGCACCTTCACTCCTAGAACTGCCCCACTCCAGCAGCCATTCCACCTTGCCATGTACAAGCTAGAACATGAATGTGTGTGTTCACCTTCATTCCCTCCCTTTTGCATTGTATCTGTTAGATGATAATGCATCGTGGCAGTGACCTGTCCTTTCTACTCTCTGTATAGCACTTAGGGTAATTTTAAGTACCTAATCATATTCCTGTTTTTTGAGTAGCAGTGGAATGTGGAGACCACACAAAAGCAACCAGTAACAACTTTCTTTTCTCTATTAGGACTTCAAGAAAGAAGCTGAAGTATTTTCTGAGAAACTCTCGGGTAGTGGAAAGGAGGACAGGTATGTATCTTGCTAGTGCTTGACATGTATGGTTCATATTTATTTTTCATTTTTTTATCAAGTGGGGCCTTTTTGCATTAAAACAAATCCTTTCCATTAAACACTTTTAATTGCATACTAATTGCACTTGTCTGGTAATCTTTACTGTATTGCAGTTGAATTAAGATTTGTTAAAGTTTTAAAGCAAATGTCCAAAGAATGGATTACATACTAAGTTTATTTGAGCAGGTCTCTATTTATACATTGTTTGTGACAGCAGATGTTGGGGAAGGAGATTTCACCACATCCCTGTAAGTGTCCAAATTATCCCTCCCCCTATAAAAACCTCCTCTAGATGATTGGGGGACTTATGATTTGATGTGTATGCTGTGTGAGGGAAGGGTAGATGAGAATCATAAGAAGGAAGTGCATTAGACTGTTTCAAAATTCATTATTATCTGTGTTCCAGCTTTAGTGCTGCAGCCACTCTTCATGGAGAGCCTGATGATGATTTCTGGTGAATATTGATTAGCAGGGACTACCTGACCAGAGATGTGGACTTCTTTTTCATCAGAGGAAGCACCACAAACGAGGGTGAGATTCTGAACATTGGAATATTGCCATCTGCATAATTCAGGAAGAACATACTAAAAGTAAAACATTGCTGTTTGTTGGCACAAAGTTGCTATCAGTGCTACTGAAACAATGTTTCAGAGAATTGCTTCCTACCTGAAGAACCAATTTTATGTGTTTAAAATATGCCAGTACAATAAAGATAGCTTTATATAGAGGCAGTGGGGGAAACAATCAAATCAGGTTGGTTTACCTTGTTATACAAATGAGTATTTTTTAAAAAATAAAGCAGTAGTCATAGAAAATTCTGTGTTTAAATCTATTTGAAATATTTTCTTCCAGAGTTTATATTACAGACTTTACAGATGATTGACCAGCTGTCTATAAGCATAGCTCAGAGCTCTAGAATGAAGACAGTGTTTAGACATTTAAGTTTTGGGGTGATGTGCTTAAGCAGCTTTAGACTTTATTGAATAGTGACGCTTCAATTTCCTGCTCCTGCACATCCTTTAGCTACTCTTTAAAAACAAACTAGGGCATCAGCAAGAGTTCAGTCAAGCACACTTTAAAAATTATGTAAGTGCTTGTAATTGGGACTACTTCCTATTAAAAGTACATGGTATTGAAAACAATGATTTACACTATTATGGTGTTTAAATTTTGGAAATGGCTGTCATAGTATGAAACTGGCCTGAAAAAGTGGGGCAACTGTGTCTGAACTCACTAAAATTGAATCATATTATCAACTCATTTTAGAGGAGAGTTCCTTGGGAAAGTGATGAAAGAATTAACCCACTTTACAAGCTTTGTAATTAGTGGGAAATGCTGGTACAGATGAATCGATGGCACCTGATTTGTTGAAATGCCAGAGATTTTGGAAGTTGAAATATATCCTGGCTTCATGTAGTTTGACCATGTTGCACTAAAATAATGAAACACACTATAGATGGGAAACTTTTGCAGTGAGCTTATGAGAGATGCCAGGCATGCCTCAAGCAGCAGTTCTCCTAAGACAAAGTTGAGCAAATAGTACTCTGTTTCAAAATCAATTACTGAGAACAGGCCCTTGCAGATGAGCATCTTTTAAAACACTTTTGCATATTTGTGTTTGCTAATTTGACTGCTCTCATTTCTTAAGAGACAGAAACAAACAAATTTATGTTTATGTCAAACTGTATCAAACCTGAACTGTGAAATACAATATTGTTGTTTTTTGCCCCAAAGGTAAACTGATAGTGGCAAATCCATATACCAAATAATGTGCACACTTTTTGAAAGTCAGACTCAGTCCAGAGGCACCCTAGCACTGAAGGATATCACATCTTGATAAGATGCAGGGAAAGGTCTATCTTCCTATGTCCATTGGTTGCCATATTTTTCAATAGATGCTAAAACTTCCAATTATGTGTCACCCAAACACTAGCTTTGGGATGGCTGTCTATACTGCTACAACTGTTTCAAAACCTTCTTAAAATAAGCATACACAAATATTGGTTCTATTATCTACAAATATTTATTGTAACACTTGGATATAACTACAGGAAGCCCTTGGCACTGATAGAAAATATTGATTCACGGTTAGGTTACAAAAATTTATACATAGCAAAATTTAATGCTCTTTACATAAAAAATATTAGACTACTTAAACAAAACTTCAAAAAACTCCCGGTAAATAGCTACATAGAATTAGAAGAATTAGAAAAGAATTAGGCTTTAAGACACTGTCCGTTACCTTTATGCAAACACTGGACTAGTAAGAACATCACCTGCATTGCTGTAGAAATTTGTTTCCTTCATGCAACAGGTAAAAACAAACACTAAGCTATTTTTTTATCTGCTCTATATAGATTTTGCCTCTTTAAAAAGAAAGTCAGATTAGGCATGTAACAAACTCAAATGCAAGGTAATACCTGAAGTTTTTTCCACATTAATATTTTTTTTTCCTTTAAAAACTTTCTAAAGAAACATGTGCTTCCTTTATCTTTATACACTTCTGTATGAGCTACAGGAGCATGTTAATATTCAGCAAACGTTCAAAACTAATCAAACCACACATTAACATGGATGTATGACTTGACTTTTTTACTGATTTAAAACTCACTGATGTACTTAAAGATTCTCCAACATTTATAATTTTTTTTATTTAAAAAAAAGCACACCAAAGATACCATCACTAGTACTCAAGCTAGCACTGAATGTTTCTGAAAATGTTAGAAGGCAGATTTTGTGGGAAACACTTTTAAAATGGCACCCAATATTTTACTGAACACCAAATTTCTTAAAAGAGAAAACAAATAAGCACTGTCTATAAACGTGCTGAGCACCAAAATTGAGACGGGTGGTTGACCTGTGCTCTGTATGGCTATGGGTTTTTATGTTCTACAAATTGTTATCTGCTCATTTGAAACAATTATATCAGTATAATTTCAACAAGGTAACACTTTCTGTTTTGATAAAATACATGATAATGATCTCCCACTGCTATATAAATGCTTCAGACATTTATAGAAAATAAATATTAAGGCAAAGCTGACATTTATTTTCTGAGAAGGGGATCATTATCCTGATCCAAGGGTCTGTCTACATTCCATCAAACGGTATAAAATTAAAAGAAAACAAACTCTGGGCAACAGTGCCCAGCTTACTCTGGTAAGTGCAGTAGAACAACAGTGGCTCATTACAGCATCGGTGAAAGGGAGTGGCTCAGAAAATAACACTTCTGGCATTTAGTCCACAAAATCCAGTTTTAATTTTGACAGAGACTGAATAAGATTATTTGTAACTTCCTGAAACTGTATCAAATAAGCACAACTATCAGTATTCAGAAAAAAGGGAATAACTAGTCATACTAGAATCTTAGTTACTTACATCTGTGTAATTATATACAGCCTTTAAAATCTTTTAGTCATTGTAGGGCTGGATACCAACTGTGGTAGCCTGTTTTGAAAGGAGCGTGTTCCTTTAGTAATTCTTTTATAACTGCCAAGAGATATCCATAAAGATCCTTGACCTGGTAACATGTTTTTCTAAAGTGGCCTAGAGAGAACCTCTCCCCCCTCCCTCCCCCCCCAAACCCTCCAATCGCAGTGCTAAAGGAATGGAGGATATCCACTGCAAATTTTCCCTATGATCATGGCCCAGGAGCATGAATGTGAAGTTTTTATACTTCTGCATTTGCTTGGACATGCATCTGTTCTGCAGAGCAGCTGCTTGATGATTTGTCAGAGCTACAAAATTCTTCTGGCAAACAATTTATGTGTAAGAATTGAGTTGCTCTTTGGACCGAGACTGGATATCCTGAAGCTCCTGTTCTTCTTTTGCTTTGATATCCTGGTAAGCCTGCATTTTGCTCGCATCCTTTAAGTAGGCCCAGTTAGAGGACAGTATCATGAGGAAGTGTATCTGGAAGAGAAGGGTGAGCATGATGGCTAGTGAGCATGTCAAGAGGCAAAGCAGGCAGCTAGTAAGATTAATTTTTAAAAGTTATTCTACATTATTAAATATTAAAAAAGGCAAAGAGGCTTATTTCTAAAGATCTCTAGAATTTTGCATGCTTAATTCTACTAAGTAGGTACTGGCAAAAGTTAGTAGGAAATAGGAACAAAAGCAGTTAATGCGAAAGAACAACAGAAACGGAAAAGCTTTGAAAATACATTGCAAGTTTACATGCTGAAGCCTAGAAGAGCAACTCAAGATAAATCTGTGATCGTTTCTTCCTTTCCCTGTTTCTTCCCCCATCCTCTTGAGTAAAGGAAAATTGTAATGTGGAAATTTTATATAGTTATCCTCTTAGGACAGTTGTGTTTCGCCATACTCACTGGGGCAAAAATAGTTTTTTTTCTAAAATGCAGCTTTCTATATAAAAGGGTTTGCTTTGCGTGCTGCATGGTTATACTTTGGAAGCTGATCACTGACAAATAAGTTAGTAGCACATAGCCTTTGCCACAAAAGTTGATGTTTTCTATTTCTCATAGGCGAGGGTTGGGGTGGAATGAACTTGTTTCCATGCTTTTGCTGCAGAACTGCATGGCTTTTGTTTCTTATTTTGGGGGGGAAATGAAAATGTCAGCTAATGAAAAGGGTGTTCGTCAATGAGCCTAATTAGTTGTCTCTCAAAACATTTGACCAGTAAAAACCCAAAGGGCTGGTGTTATACAGAAAAAATGAGAGGCAAATGTGTGGTACTTTAGAAGAGCACTTTGACAGCAATCTAAAAAGTAGGCACTGACAGTTATCAAGAATCAAGCATGTATCTTGTGTGCCATCTATTTGTAGAACAGATGCTTTATTATTTTTCAGATTAGTGAACAGCAGAGACAAAATAACTTATTACAGGCCCTTAATTGATCCAGTAATTATTTCAGAGATGATTGTTAGAAAAAAAATATAGCTTGATGTTAAATGAAAGCCCTCCTTCCTTTAAAGGGATGATTTACAACATCACTGAAAATAACAATCCTCTCATAGTATAGAAAATAGCCAGCTCTCACCCACATCATTATTCATATACAAGAAATAAATTTGAATTAATCTGAAATGCTTAAAGATGCTTACTGAAGCTATTTACAATTTACTGTAACAAACTTCAAAAAAGCTAGACTCTTTAGTCTAGGGTGTCAGTGGTTTTTCAAGCTACACAGTGCAGCTCTTTACTGGGCTTATGCAATTTAGAATTTAGTGCAGCAATCTTCCCGACTCTTAAACTTCAAAACGGCATAGTTATATGTGGTAGCCATCATGTAGATCAGCTGGTGGAAGAGAACAAAACACAGCGTATAAGAGACAACAAATTCTACTGGCCTTTTAGGCAGTTCTTTGTGTTAGAATGAAAATTTATACTGTGTCAGGCACGGATTTCACTGAGAGCTATGGCAAAAATGACTAGCTCTGCTTTACCTAAGCTATGTAAGGGTCCCTGGTTGTTTCAGTGGGAAGTACATTGATAAATTATGACTTTAAATGAATTTGGCAACAGAAGATTGAATGCAGGTTGCTGCAACAGTACATTGACTATAAATGGGTCTTGTTTTTAATCAGACTAACTAGCTTCAGTACATTCAGGTACTTTTCATACTCCCCAAAGGACTTAAAGGAAGGAAAGACAGGAGTATTAATTAAAACTATTTTCAAATGTAGGAAACCTCTGAAGTGTCCTGATGCTGGGAAGTTCTACATACTAATGGCAAAATAGCTATATTCAAAAATGCCATAAATTGGCCATGCAACAGGATGGAGGTAAACGAATAGCAAAATACAACAGAACCAAAAGAACTATTTTAAAGCTTGCTTTGGTGCAAAGCTTTACTGGGAAATGTAAGCACTTGCCTGCTATTTGGAATATCCTGAGAAAACTACAATCAGGTGCCAACAAACACAAAAATTATTACTTAGTTTAAGTTAAACAATATTTTAAAGATTACATCTGAAAAGGGAATACGTGGTTATTTTATGAGAGAGAGAGGATGATGGTACTCACCAGGGCTATGACAGTAGCACCAGCTCCAGCACACGCCACAATGAACAGGTGGTAAGACAAATAGAACTATAACAGTAAAGAGGAAAATCATTGTCCTAGGAGCTCCATGGCACATTAACAAATATAACTCTTGGGAGGCTGCCTAGTGTGGAGGAAGGTCTGATTCCATGAGCCACTGCACCGACAAATATTTTTGAGGGGACGTAGTGAGTACTCTGCAAGTCCAATGTCAAAACCTATGGCACTTCAAGCTATTCTGACAAGGAGTCTGTGCCAGTGTTGCTGCAACATAACACTGCCAGTTGTACCTAAAGGCCAGGTTCCTTCACACAACTGTGAACACAGGTGTGACCATGATAGCATGGAAGAAGCCTAGTGGGAATCAGATTCTGCATACAGGAAACTTCTACTCATCTCTCTGATTGCGACTGGAAAAAAATGTTAGCCTCAGTAACTGGATGCTGGTCGCCTCATGTGCAGCTTATTCAGGGCAATTTTTATCCATGCCAGCCAAGAGAACAGAATGAACAAATGCAAAATTATTATTCTGAGTGAGACTAGGGCCACCACCACAGCAGTTCCATTAGCACCACTCCAACCTCTATTAACATTATTCTAGCCCACAGTCGTAACTGAGGGATGCTCCACACATTTAAAAACCTGTGTGCGCCCTTGTTACCCACATGCATGGAATGACATGGAAGGCAGCATAATAAGGCAAACCTGCCCAACCTGCCTGGAATAGGTGCTTTTATAACTGGCAGCTGTGTGTTACTGCCTGTCACTAACCCAATCGCAGTTAGACAAACTGATTAGGAGGAGAGAGATGCTGTGGACCACAACAGCCCAGTCAGTATGATGCCTTAGCAATAAAGATAGGAGACAGCCTATTCCGAGGGCACTATTTTTGCAGTTGTTCCTTATTCAAAGGAAGCCTGGCATATTAATTAAGCATTGATTACTTGTCTATACACCGTATCCTAGTGTTTACCATATTGATGTGTTTTATGCAAAATTGATGTCGCTTGATGAAATAATTTTTCAGCACTATGTATTCCAGCTACTGAAGGGGTGGGAGGAGAAATACCATTATCTCTCAACTGGCTATCCACAGAACCACTTAACCTCGCAACAAGTAGTGCAGACCTATATCCTCAGAATGTTGTATCATTCATTCTGCATGATTAAGAAACCTTTTTTTAACAAAATAAATGGCACGAGCATTAATGTTTTAGCAGACCAATTGTTTATATCCCAGTTGTCAAGATATGCAACACAAGCACCGGGTGTTGTAGTCTCGTTTACCTCAGGGGTGCTGCACATATCTGCTAATGCTGACCCACATGCCTTGCCAGGCACAGCATTCCAAGGGATGATACCTGAAGTTAAAATATCAAAAAGCCATTGTTAAAGCTGATAGCTGATGTCATTCTTCCTTCTGAAATCCATTTCCCTTCCCCACCTACACGCAAGTTGTGTTCCTTTAACAAGCACCCACACATTGACCAGTTCAATCTGGAGTTGGCACCATCAAGTACAAAATCACTTAACAGTGTTCCCTTTCTACATCCAGGAGAGATTCTCCTTGCCAAGAGATGTTCTCAGATCTAGGATTCCCATATGGCGGACAAATGGTTGTTTTAGTCACTATGGACACTCTTCTTCTTTTTAATCACTGTCATATGCTGTGCTTCCTGACTATTGAATGGGCAAAGGAATTGCTGAAAACGGTGCTTGCATCTTTACAGGCTCTGCCTTAAACTTTGTGGATTGAGATTGCAATTGTGGTCAATTGCAGAGGAACTATTCAGAATTATCTCTGCAAGCCACCTCTCTTCCTCCATTAAAGCCTCTGTTCCTTTTCTTCATTACTGATCTTCAGGCCATTTTCTTCTTGGTGGAAGTATACCATGTGGCAGCAAAGTACCTCAACATATTGCACTATAGAAGATATTCATCAAATATATTCATCTTTGACCTTTTTGGGGGGTGGGGGGAGCTATACAGCAGTAGGTATGTGTATGAGAGTTATAAAACAATGGAGAAGTGTGTGGATCACTAAGCCATGTGGAGTGAGAAAAACTATGAGCCAAGGTTTGGGCAACATGCCAACTCAACAGTCATGGCATAGCTTGCAGCAGCACAGAAGCAGCAGGACTAGAGGAGAACAGCTACTTTGTCTTGGAATCTATAAGTAGTTCTATTGGCTTGTATCCAACTAAGTTGGATGAAAGTGAGTTGTGTCCATTAACTTCAATGGGTTTACTCTGAGAAGGACTAGCAGTGGATAAAAACCCATTATTTCCCAAGCTCGCCTCTACTGTGCCCTCCCCACACATCTCATTTCCACCGGCCTTTCTGAAAGATTTGCACTCTTCTTTAGCCAATATCAGAGAAAGTATGTTAGGAACCTTAAAATACCTGGAATCTGGATGTAACCTCTAGAAGTAAATTGACTCAACTTCTCTTATGTGTTCAACTGCCCTGTGTTCTATTGCCCTTCCTTTTTGGAGGTGATCGTGTCTCTCACTCCTAATCCCACACAAATAATCCCAGTCCCAGGGGAGAGTGGGGGCTAAACAGTATTTGTCACCAAATAAACATTAATGATAGGAACAACTGCATAGTGTGTGTGACGTTAATCAGGTAAAAAAGATCTGTTCCCATAATGTGTGATTCTTGGGTGCACAAATCTAGACCCCTGTTCCTTCCTCACACTGTTCTGACATTGTATTTCCATTCCAAAACAAAAGGATAAATGAAAGTGCTTTGCACGAACACATACACAATTCACATTATTACAGAAATAGTAAGAATATGCAGATATATAGCTAAATTCAGGAGACTAGCATGGTAGGTTTTCAAACTATTTGGTGATGGGCTCAGGCTTGCTTAAGCAGTTTATTTTGCTGATTGTTTTATTATTAAGCCTGATAGCATAATGCGGATAACAGGCACAAAATCACTTTAGATAAATGACTTGCCAAATGCAGTTAAACTGGGTGCATCTGGAAAGAGGTCAGTGTAATCTGCATTAATTGAAAAAGTAATGACATGTTCAGAGACTCCACACTTGGTTGCTTTTTGGTTCATCTCATAAGGCTAAGACAAACCTGTTGAAGATAGGACAAGGAAAGAGGATAAAGCATTTAATCAGGATTAAAATAAGTACCGTATTGCCTGATATCCACACAGATCTGGTCCGCTGAAGCTGTCATATTTGCTGGGAGTGATCTGATGACTTCGCAAGTTGACCATATGTTATAGAACATGAAGACCGGCACAGCCGAGAAGCCAAAGACGCCAAGCCAGGCCACCCCCAGTACGTAGGTCAGGAAAACAAACTGAGGAGACAGGCACACATTTCACACAGAAAACCCCTTTCTCATTAATTTAGGAAATCAAGGGTTAATCTCATTTACAGTACACACACTCCTGAACTTTAAAATCCAAGAGCATGTCACAGTCTCCATGTCTGATGTGAAGTCTCGGATTTTCACTCCATAGAGACCTTCCCTATAGCCCGTGTTGCGATGTTAAAAGCTTGACGTTTTGTTTTAAGTAAGCAAAAGAAAAAACAGCCTGTCTTTCCGAGCAGTAGTCATTTTGGGATGCTTTCTTTGTCATTGGAGTGGCACTTCATTACTGGGAACTGTGACTTCCTTACAGTATCTGTGGGTACCTCCCCATTCCTGCTGTACGCAATTAGGATAAGAGGGCATAGCTTCTAACAACAGGGAGTGCCAGCCTGTTGTCTCGGGTGAGCCAACTGAAAAGAATGTCATGCTTCAGCCAACTAAATTGGACCAAGAGATGGGGGCAACTTAATTACATTTTGGCGGGGCAGGGGGGGGTCTATAAAGTTAAAAATGAAGTGCGCTCAGTTAAGGGGGGGGAGAAATCCCCACCCCCCAAAAAAGCACAACCTGGCTGCAAAAAGCCCAACACTGGACAAAAACACACAATATATAATGTGGACATTTTTATGAATGGTGTTAATGAAAACTTTGACAGAACTGTGGCCCACTTAAAAGTTGTAATTTCTTGGAAGCATAAACTTGGTAAAAAAGAGGATTATGTCCAAATTATTTTTGCCTCATACCTCTCTCCAATAAAGTACTATTTGAGAGAGAAAAAGCAGGCAATTTCACTTGGGATAAGAAAACAAGCTATAATTAATATCTAATTCTCTTGTGACCATTAAAGGGAGATGTATAGCCTCTGCTGTTTATGTGGATGACTAAGGTTCAACTGCTAGCATCTCTAGCTAGGGCTTTCTGAAAGCCTAGAAAGACACTGCTTTCTCTCTTATCAAAGGCGAGCATAAAGAGCTGGTGCAAACAACACTGTAGATAATGCTATGGACCACTGGAGTAGTGGCAATCCATATTCCTGCAATGGACTCACCATTCCACTGATGCAGCGGCCACAGATGGTTGTCTTGAATTCACCATGCAGCTCCTTCACAGCACTTGTTGTATAAAAGCCCTCCGCCAACAGGATAATTCCATACAAGAAAAAAAACGATGCAATGCCATAGATCACATACTGCATTAGTTTTATTCTGAGAAGGAAACAAACAGGGCAATCAGACTCTTGTCACTCTGAAATAAAGTCTCATTTCATAATCATCCGAGAGCACAAGGACAGAATGAACATCTTAGTAGTAAGTTCACAGGTGAGACCATTTACTAGTTGTGTAAAGAACCAATGTAGCTGGTCATAATTTCCACCAGGTTGCAAGATTTGGCCTTGGACCATGCTGGTGGTTGAGGCTGAAAGGAATTGGTGTCTTCACCATATGGAGAGCAGCAGGTTGAGCAAGACTGGTCTAGATTCTGATCCAGTTGCTCTTCTTTTAATGTTGACTTGTCAACTGGAACTGGTTAAGCTGTTGTAGATTTCTACCTCATCATATTGAAGAATAAAGGGAACCAGAGCAGATGGAGAAGCTGAATTTCACATACGAACTGAACTAGTCAGTCAAATCCTCGGATGAAAACATCTAGTATTTAACGTCCTTCTATACAGCTATTACACCATGGGTAGGCCTGGGGGCCAGATCTGGCCCAATCGCCGCCTAAATCAGGCCTGCAGAAGGTCCAGGAATCAGCGTGTTTTTACATGAGTAGACTGTGTGCTTTTATTTAAAAAGCATTTCTGGGTTATTTGTGGGGCACAGGAATTTGTTCATTTCCCCCACCCAAAATATAGTCTGGCCCCCCACAAGGTCTGAGGTACAGTGGACCGGCCCCCTGCTGAAAAAGTTTGCTGACCGCTGTATTACACAGCCAAAGTTGACCACCAGTAACTTCAAAAATGCTGCAGCATCTAATGCTTACACATAATTAAATAGCCTCAAGCCCTACCCTCACCAGTCACTATAGAATATTTCTTACTGCAAGCATCTTCCCTTACTGTATCCCAGAAGGAACCACAGCAGGCTTCTGCTGGGAAGGGAGCTTTGTTCTTGCTTTGTTTCAGCAGCAAGAAAAACATTTAAAGGGGTTCTGCTCCTACTCAAATAGACAAAATGAGCACTGCTGCAAGGATGGAGACCCAGACCGACACACCTCTATGCCATCTAGCAACAAGAAGGGGCTTTCCCCTTTTGTCTCTTGTCAGTGTGTGCACTGCATCCACACAATATAAATTCCTCATAGTAGCAGTAGGGTACATTGCGCCCACCACTCAACAGAATGCAGCTTCTAGCTCTACGCATTCATTTGTGTAATTAACGTGCAGTTATTTCTCTTTTGTAACAGATCCAGCCATCTTTTCCATTAAAAGTAATATGTAGCCACAATTTGTGAGTAATTTGCATTGTCCCCCTTTGCTGCAAAATTTCGTTTCTGGTCATCACCGCACCCCATGGTATCCTCACAACCACCCTGTAATGCAGGTTTTGTTTCCTGTTCCACATACAAAATGTCAGAATACCCTGCATCTAAGGCACTATGCAAAAGTGCATTCGTTTGCACTTCTAGAGGTATGTAAACCATATTTGTTTGTTTCAGTTTTATGCAGCACAATTAAAAGAATTTTAGTTGATCCACTAGACATCCAAAAGATAAATCATAATGCCAAAGGAATTACGCAGTGCTGTCCTATAGAAGTGAAGTAAATGACGGCCACTAACAATTTTTTCCAAGATCTAGAACGTGAAAAGGAAGACAAACTCTGTTCACCAAGGACAGAAGAGGCAACATGTTTTAAGCTTAAGTAATGTAGATGAGAGGTTAATAATTGAGGGGGGGGAATTTAACCATAAGAACAGTTCAGCAATGGAAGATCCTGTTGAGGAAAACTAGCATGCTTCAGACACAAACCAATATAGCCTATTTCACTGGGAGGCAGAAGATTAGATTCATAGTCCATTACGCATCTACTATGGAGTTATGTGGCATGTGAGAGAAATGTCATGACTGCCTCAATTGGAGTGGTTAGTGATAACATTTATTATTTTATCCTTAGATTTAGCAGTATTGCTTTCCTGTGTACCTCTCCAGTATATTTTTAGTGGTCTGTCATCTCCTGGCAACAGCTATTTTTTCTTGCCTTCAGTTGCTATGGAGCTGAATAACTATGCTCTTTGGGAGATTTATCGCTACCCTTGTTTTCCTTCTCTCTGTTGAACTAGAATATACATTGGGGGGGGGATATATGCTGAATCCATAACAGCAGCAGACTTCTGGTGGAAGTGTTGCAAATTCCCCAACCCACCCAACAAATTTCATAACTATATGCTGTATATAAAAACAGTCCCAATCCAAAAGATGTTTTGCTTGAAGTGGACTCTCCAAATTCACTTCAAATTTTGAGTTTTGCCAGGCACTCTTACCTCCTTGCAGGCTGAATTGGCATGCGCTCCTAGCTCTAATGTTATTAAAGTTATCACTGCAATTGCTTCACAGAGTAAGAGAAGTGGTTTTGTACTTACACTTCAGATAACAAAGCATGGTCAGTAACATTTGTGGAAAAACGCTGTTCGAGGATCGATACGGTCCCAGCGAGAGCCACATGACCGCAGCCGCAGAACAATGCTACCCCAGAGAAGCAGAGAATAGTTGCCACAAGGGAAGCATATGGAACTCCTCCCAGGCACTTAATGCAACATTCAAAGCAACCTAAGCAGAAAAGAAAAAGGGGGGGGGGGGGACACAAAGACAACATTATTTAAGTACAAGAGCAAGTTATGAGAACAACATCATTTGGACTTCATGTGGTAAAACTGGTAAGAACAATTAGCAAAGTTACTTGTTCAAAGCTAATGGGTTGCACTTCCTACTTTCATCAGATGACCTTCCTCTTTACATCTGTCGCCTCAAAGTACAAGAGTGACAGCACCCCAGATTTTATGAAAATCAAAGGCTGCAGATGAAGCAAGCTTGTGCAGGATGCTTTAGAAAAGAGTGTGTGTTCTCCACCGACACATCAAATTAACACTTCTATTTTAAGCACAGACAACAAAAATAAAACTTTGAAACTGAGTGCACTACACTGTCCTTTCAGACATCTTTGCAGGGCGATGGGAGCCAGAAGCCCTCTAGTTAAAAGTCTCATCTGAGCCACTAATTCCTTTGACAGCCTTAAGTAATCCACCCACACTCGGTAGCTTTATAAAACCTCAGGCCCCATTTGACAGCACACTGGTTCACCCAACATGGATGTTAAAAAGTTTACTGGTGTGTGATGTACTCAAAAGGTTCTATATAAACACAGCTGAAAAGTTTGTGCTTTCTCTGAAGAACATACAGATATGTTCAAATACAGAACATCCCAAGCTTGTTAATTGACATTAGGGATGGAGAATCTGTGGACGACAGTTCCCATCATCTCAGGCCAGAATTGTATCTGGAGGGCAGCAAATTCTCCCTAGGGTAGATAAAATGCTACACGCCCACCGTGCTTAGAAGCACTACTGGTGCCCTTCCACTTTAGTAAATGCCTAAAAGACTGATTATGGAAAATGGGTGGCCCTTCAGGATGATCTTGTTACTACAATTTCCACCATTCCTGACCAGTCTTCTGGCTGAGGCTGATGGGAGCTGGTGTCCAAAAATAACCCGGGGTGTGTGTCACAGGTTAGCCACTTGATTCAAAACCCAGCATGGGAACTAATTTTGCAGTGCAACACTACTCCAATGAAGGAATATGCCTTCAAGACTTCAGATGCAACTAAATTAGAATAATTAGCTCAAAGAGGAGTTTCAGATACTGGTGAGGTAAAAAGAAAAGAGTTAGGAGAAGCAGTTCATATTGGTCTTAGATGGTTAAAAATGGCAAATTCTACAGCATCACTGATATACAGCAAGCATGCAAGTGTATCATGAGAGTAGAAAAGCAATCCCAAAAGCCCATTTAGTTCCTTAAATTACATATGGGACACTGTTTCACTGGAGATTCTGTGCTGCAAACCCTCTGGATTTATTTGCATATTTTGTTTGTCCTCAGTATCTGGAAATATTTCTATGTCCTCTAGGGGATAGTTTTATATTCATTAGTAACATCAGAACTGCTAAGTCTAGTCTGCAGTGTAGTGAATGTTCAGTTTCAGATTCCACTTTGAGCTGCTAGCTTTGTACATGCACAAGGAGATTTGGGCATGGTGGAAGTTTAAAATGATCTGACCTCCCAGGTGCTTTCTGAGAAGACACAGACTGTGCCTCAACCACCCTGCTGTTCTTATGAACTGGAGTTTCTAGAACTGTTGTTAACAAGTGGTGGCTGAAAAAGTACACAGCCTAAGATAAAAGAAATTGGCTTAGAACTTGGAAAACTTGGAAGTCTGCTTCTTCAAATGCTCACAGTCACTCATTTGTTCAAGAGAAGAGGAAGCCATTTTGCTGATCGCCATACTAATAAACTATCTAGTTGCCCAAGACACCACTTAACCAAGTTATTGTCCTAGAACTGCTATGCTATTCTCACTAGAGATGACGCCAGAATACATAATCCCAAGCATTGCATTTTGAAATAGGGTGGCTTGCAACAGTTGTTTCAAATGCAAGGTAAGCACCACCTGTTCCACTTACGCGTTTGCCTCCAAGCTCCCATCAGGAATTCAGGGCAACCAGGGTGCTAGGTGCTGACAAGAGAGAAACATTCCTTTCTGTGCCAGACCAGCAGCCCCAATGTGAATGGGTATTGGTGGGAGGGGGCAGTCATGTGTACAAAGGTAGTGTTATGTGGCGGGGGTTGGAGAATCAGAGTATTGGGAGAAAACTGCTTCATGTACCAAAGTCTCAGATTAAATGCAGATTGGCTTGGAATAAGGCAAGCACCATCCTGAGTCTATTTTATTTTAAAAAAATTTAAAAGTTGGCTTATCCAAGCCAATTTAAGGAGAACTGGGGAGGCAAGAGATGAACTCATAAGTACAACTCTGATGTATATATTATTTGCTACCCACCAAAAGCAAACATTACATGATGTCTTTGTACAGGTACACAGAAATTATTATAGTTGGGCACATCCATAGAGCAATAAAGTCCATGCAGCAGTTAAAGAAGAAGTCTTGTAGCCCCTTAAAAAGCTAACAAATGTATTGTGGCATAGGTTTTCATGGTCTGCTTCATCAGATGCTTGAAGTGTCATCTTAAATTGGCAAGCATATATGCACATTGGGAGAAAGATGTCAGAGGAGGAAGGAACAGTCAGGTTCCATTCCTTTCCCCTTTTTGCATGGGTCTCCTGTCCTCAGTCCACTCTGTTTCAAGCATGGTATACAAATGTATAAAAGAAAAATGTTTATTGTGTAGCTTTTTTGTATAAAAATGTTTTTAAAAGTAAAATATTGTTTGGGCTTTAAAATAGATAAATAAAATAAGAGTGTCTGTCACAAAATAGCTGTTATGGAGTGGCATAACACAAAACTAGAGAGACAGTCACCCCTGACAACCTAATGCTTACAGTGGGAAGTCAGCTTTGTCCTGGTACCCATTGTGCAGATGTCTCTCACAAACACACACACACAGAGAGAGAGAGAGAGAGAGAGACAGAGTCAGTCTAATCGCAACAGTACCATAAAAAGTATAGAAGGCAACCTCACTACACTATCATTTCACAGAAATAACTTGCTTTCCAGAAGGGCTCAAGACTTTTTTCTTTCTTTTTTAATGAAAGCTCAGAGTTTGGGGCACCTGTCCCAGGACACCAGTTAAAGCCTTCCCAGGCACCATGTGCACCAGACTGAAGACACCTGTCCTAGCAACTCCAAGCAGCTATTACCAGTTGGAAAAAAGAAAAAATGTACAAGGCAGCTGACTCAAACTACCTCACAGAACTTCATTGGGGTGGGTGGGTTCAAAGAAGTAGCTTAACCTGTCTGTACATTAACCTATGAAGGTGAAAGACCAGGTGAGTTTGCTCAAGATACAGACCTCCAAGATTCCTCCAGTGCCCCTCGTGTCAGAGGAAAATGATGTGTATAAAGAACTGTGAAGGCTAGCTTGAAAACAAAATAGTCAACACTATTTTGCACTATATCACAGCAATGGTGATAACAAACATCCTGGCATTGACAAGCTAATTGACACATGAATTGCAATAAAACAGTTCAAGCCATATTTCAAGCCATAACTGAATTGCCTCATAAATTGTAATTCAGCACACTAGAGTTTCCCACTGAAGCTGCTTCGTTTAATTAGGGCCAGTTACAGAGTATCCTGAGAGGCAGAAAAATTCTCCGACAGGCTTTTTGCAATTGCCATTTATGATATATTTGTGTCCATTTGTTGCTTTGCGGAGGCAGGCCTGCTGGTTCCATGTAGAATGCAGAAGAGCACACTGGCAGATGTTGGCAGATGTTACATTGGACAATGAGGGGGTTAATAAACTCCTGCAGTTCCGGCTGACAGTATGAGATCCTGTACTAGTGGTGTATTGGTAGCTCAAGTTTCCCCCCAGGGTCTGCTTCTAACAGGTCTTAGATGGGGGCGTCCACCCAAGGCTTGTGAGAAGGAAGTATCATTGTCCAGATTAAGCTGTAGATTACTGAGGACACATCGGTAGACTCATCCAAAGCTTGCTGTGACATGTTTGTGAGGAATTCGGAAGTTAAAATTGCTTGCATAGACCAGGATTTGGATTCCATCCTTGGAGCAGGTTATTCTGGTGAGGTTTCTGGTGATGTTGGGGGAGCTTCAGTTGGTGTAACCGGAGATCATGGGTAAAATAGTTGAAGGTTAGTTTCCATCAACTACCTGTGTCTTGAATCCTTGCCCTTCCTGATTCCTAAAATTGGGCAGGGAGGGGATTGTTGGTTGGGCTTCAAGAAGAAGTTGGTCCCAGGTCTTCTGAAGGTGGTGGAAGTAATACTACTCCTGAAGAAATTGTGGATAACTATGAAGTGACAGAGATTAGTGGCTAGATGCACTATAGCAATATTAGAGGTGATACTCTCAATGATATATTTGTGGGTATAACGGCCTCAGCAGCCATAGTACCTGGAATGGTGTTCTCTGGGAGATTTTCAACGGGTTGCTATTTCCTCAGGATATTGATGTTATCCTGTAAGAAACTTGGGAGTACTGGTCGCACACAGTTTTGAGTACATGCATGTGTTCACTTTTCATGGGTGATGTGCATACTTTTCACAGCTAAAAGACAGAAGCCATGGTGCAGCATATACCTCTGTGCACAATATCAAGACTTGCCTGAATTTTATTTTCTGTAGAGTATATCTGTGGCGCGCTTAAACTAGTAACACATCTAATCTAGATAAATAGATGTTTGTTATGTTTTTAACTCTGCATTTCATGACATAAAATATTTTCTTTTGCTGAAAAATGGTTTATCTGCTGGTCTCATTCTGAAACAAACATAACCACACAATATTAATCATGTTGGCGTGGAAGAAACTAAATAGCAACAGGAGGACAAACAGGAAACATTTAAGAATGGCCATATTAGCAGAGTCAAAGAGATGAACTACTCTTGTCTTTATATAAATTCCGCTTTTTGAAAAGAGGAAAACCTTAACATCCCTTACAAAATATGGTGGAAGATGTTAAAAACAGAATTTAAAAGTATGCCAGGCATGTCCAATACTACCCTAACACACCAGAGTAAAGTAGTTTAAATATAAATTGTACAGATACACACATCAATGCAACTCACTTTCAATGGCCATTTTGTCTAAAGCATCACTAGAACCTTTTGTGCAGTTCAGAATAAAAACAATTTTTTGTCCTCAGGCTTGTGAGCAGCAGTTGCCATGGAAGCAGGTTAATAACAGCTCAGTGATTTGCCCAGAGCTAACGGTGAACCTGGCTGCAGATTTAACACACTCACAAAAGGAGGCCAACTAAAAAAAAAAAGAGAGGACTGAAAGTATTCTCTGGAGAAGGGTATAAAATGAAAGTGGATGTGTGCACACACACATGCACACACATTTTTTTTAATAAGGAATACAAATAGAAGAAAAAGAACAGGAACCAACTATGGTGCATAAAGCACTGGGAAAAACTCATGCTTTTCGAGCATGGGCAACCCCTGCACAAAGGGGTGATGTCAATAGTATAAAACCCATACTTGGAGGTGTAAGACTTGTCAGTGTGGCAGCCCCTATTCTGTGGGACAGTATCCCTGTTGGAATAAAACAGGCAACCGTTATTTGTACTTTACAGAAACCACTGAAGACATTTTTTGTTTCAATAAGCTTTACCAGCTGGGTGTATTGTTTAAGAACCTATCTTTTATGTTGTTTGCTGTTTTGACTGTTTTCCAAGCTATTTTTAGTTATGCATGTCACCTGCAGATTCATGTGGATTCAAACAATAAATAAACGTGATCCTGCACTATTGCCACCTACATGCTGTCTTAAGATGACTAGTGCTGTGAGTCTGGTCTCAAACACTATCTATACTGGCACTTAGTAGAGCAGGGTATAAATAAATTGTCATTATTTATCATTGTATCAACAGAATAAAATGCAGAATGGATTCCCACATTCACCTACATACACACAGCCAAGTATTTATGGATCATCCTTTACAAAGTGGGCAAAGCAACTTGCCCATACTCACCTTATTACCCAAAGCAACAAACATTGTTCAGGAGAGGGTGGGTAGCCTGTTCGTCTCCAGATACAGCTGCTGGATTGTTTGCAATTTTGGTTGTCTGCTTGTGTGTGTGTGTTTTCTGTTTGTTTTTGTAATTGTTTGTTTTCTTATTATTTTTGTCTGGATTTAGATATTATAATATTATGCACCCCTCTGGGAACCTTTGGGTCCAAGGGCGGAATGCAAATTCCACAAATATATAAATGCAACTCTCATAATCCCTGATGGGATGTTGGCTTTTCTGGCTGAAGCCAATGGGAGTTGGAAGTCCAACAGCATTAGGGGGACCAAAAGTTACAGCCATTGGCTGTAAAGAGATTTGCCTTCCCAATTCTCCCAACACAGTTACACGGAGAACTATTCGGATGCTCTAAGCCACTATGGGTTGATTAGCATGTCAAGAAGAGTTCTAAATACCTCAGTCAAGATTGCTGCCCACCTCCACTGGGAAAACCTTGAGTTATGCTCTTGACATTTTCCAAATGTATAAGAGCATCCAACAGATAACTACCACACATCAAAACAATAAATGTACTGCCACACCAGAACAATCACACAACCTATGGTTTTAATTTTTTAAAAAAAACTTTGCAACATTCCTGCAGGTTAAGAAGGTCTTAAAAATTCAAGAGTAAACAAAGCTTACTCTAACCAACAAATGGTTGGCCCTGAATTAATAGAAATACTGAGTTTTGAAGTTCTAACTGGAGAATTCTTGTTTCACAAGCTCCAATATAAATCTACAGTTTATCATATTATGTGAAATGGTGTGTAGATTCTGTGGAACAGTGTATTAAACTACTGGCAGACCTTCAAACAGCTGGGAAAGGAGCTTTTCTGTAAGTTTAAATGAGAAGCTAGCCTTGCCCTTGCCCCTTATGGAACACTATCTCTAGCCATGTATAAAATGTAATGCTTTAACTAGAAGTCTCTGTATTAAATAAAATAAATACTGTGAGCATGTGAATAAATGCTCTGCAGGGGTTTCAGGCTGGAGAAACTTCCAACTTTACAACATGTTGAGGCCTGGCAGGAGGTGGCCTCAGGATGACTGAACCTCTCTTATTCTTCCCATCCCCTGAATCCCTTGCCTTCAATACACTTGCCAACTCAGCTCTTCAATTTTGTACCCAAGGATTAAGCCCTGTTCCTTCATCATTCCCAAATAATTGGTGCAGAACGGTTTGTGGTAGTATATGCAGAAAGACACTCAGAGGCAAAGGTAAAACAAGCAGTTTGTAAGAGCCATCGAGAACCAGCTGGGCATTCATTATCAGTTTGCTTTAAGCTATTTTTAAAATTGTATTTTTAAATGGCTGCAACCTGCCCTGGGACCTTATGGTGAAGGGCAGATAAGAAACTGAATGCATAACAAATAATAAGCAATATTTTTCTGGTTTTGAGCTATGCTGTCAAACAACTTTGCCAGAAAGGGAGAACATGGGAAGGACATCCTATATTATGGGCTCACATTGAGTAAGTTTCGAACACTGATCTGGGGTAGCAAGTTCATCCAAGGTGACAAATGAAGGATAATGGTTGGAGAAAAATAAACACAGTACTATACAGTTACAGTCCTCATGACAAAACTAGCATGATTAATTGTAGGCTGGGGAAGTTGGAAATCAGAAGTGATTGCTCACCATATACCTAAAGAAAATTTGTCCAGAAACATAGGTGCTGCTTACAACAGTGGCCACAGAAGATGACTGCTTCATATTGGTGGACACATACCAATTCATTTAGATTTTCAAGCTTGTTGCAGGCCAAAGTTGTTGCATTTATCAGCTGTACACCTTCAAAACCAGTCATAGCCATCTTTCCATTTTGATAGCAGCAATAATGCTTCTCTGCTGTCTCAAATCATGATAACGGGATCCTTCTTACAAACAGTGAAGCAACAAACACTGAGCTACATGCTTCTCCTATTTAACCTTTTCAGATAAATTTAGTGCGCCATGAAGCTGGCAGCTGATGACAAAGAGGGTTCTGTTATAATAAGCTGAGAGAGAGAAGGACCTAGACTGGCCTGTAAAATGGAAGAAGCTGATCTAATGTTTGACATCAATACTGATTCAAGTCTAGCTGGTTTAGATCATCAAAAGTGCTCAAAATACAGCACTTGAGACAACATAAGCAAGAAGAGACCTCTTGATCCATTCGCTTGAGATGAAAGTAGGACAATGTTACCCCTTCTGGGGTGGCAAGGCAAAGCTGAATAAGCCCTTCTGTGTTGCGTTTGAAAAGGTTAAATTATTTTGCAACACAAGGTACCGTGAAACATCAGGAGGAAATTTGCTGCTCAATTATCTTCCAACAAATTTATGTTTTCTGACATACTCCTTTCAAAAGGAACTTCAAAGCTGCAGGTTTACTGTATTTTATAGAGCTCCCAAACATTTATCTAAAGAACAGTAAATTCAACAGCATATCCCGTTGCTATGGTTAGTTTGATCATCAGGAAATTAAGGATTTTGGGCCCCAATGTTGGGTTGAAATAAAATTTCCCAGCACCCCAAAGCACTGAAAGGTATGGGCCCCTAACTCGCCACCCGTAACATACGGAAACTATTTGCGAAGCCTCTCAAGCAGTTCTGTCCACACAGCTTGCCTCTCTGTCCTAATCACAATACAGTCTCTGGATCCAAACCAAGATCTCACCTCTGTATGGCTTGCTCATTCTATGCCACTCTAATGCCATTTCCTGCTCCTGAACCTCCCTCCTTCTGCATAGTATCTTCTTGCATAGTGTTTCCTCACTAAACATGTTCCCCTATTTTGATGCCTTCCTTTCCATTCCTTACAGCCTTTAAAAAAACCAAAAGGGTGGGGATGCCATACCTGGCCAGTCCCACCCAAATTCCCATAACTTTCTCTCTTCCTCTACCATACATATTTCACAAATTCTGTTATTTCTCCCCTCTCATGCTCCCCTTCCTCTCCCTGCCCCAATATACACCCATGCCAGCTTCTAGCCCAATTATCCTCTCCACCATATCCTACAATTCCTGGTGTGCCTCCTATATTGTCCCCTCAGCCACTGTTAACAACTGACCTGTGCCAAACATCCTACCTAGCGTGGGCTATGGCTGTTGCAGCCCTATCTGTACCTTAGGGCAGAAGGGAGATGCATAAATTGGTAGTGAAGCCATTTCATACACTGCCACTTCCAGCACATACATTCAACATGGGTGCTGCTTCCATGGGGCAAAGTAATTGATAGAATAGTTCCATCAGGCATTCAGGTATACTGTGCAAAAAATAATAATGCACATTTCTCTCTTTTAAACTGGAGCTGGGTGGGAGAGAAATAGGAATAATGTGTTGCTATACATTTATTCAGCCAATAGGTTCCATTTATTATTGCTAATATTGCTCTGCCATGCTGTTTGCTAATGCTCTCAGAACAAAGCCACACAGGAATAAGATACAGAAAACTCAGTAGCAATCCAGAAATATCACTACTTTGTGGAAATAGCTTGAGAAATATGAGAGTTCACTAGTTTCCCCACATTTCCTAACTGCTTCTAGGATCAACTGCTAGAGAAGGAAGAAATAATAATAATAATAATAATAATAATAATAATAATAATAATTGTTTTTAAGAAAGGAAAGTCAACCCAGAGCATTAGGAAGATGTAGGCTAAGTAATCTGAAAAGCCTTGAGCTGAAAATATTAGTTTCCTGGGCTATACCACATTCTTTTGTTCCTCCACATGAAATATTTCTGCAAGGAGAAAATGGAACAAGTTGCCTTGGGTAAGTTTGTGGGTGGTGAGCCCCCCCCCCCCCCGAAATAGCAGTACTAAGACTTAAGATAGATATAAATGAGGTGCTGGGCTAATATAAATTCCTTCCTTGTGTGCAATTCTACCATTAAAAGGATTCTGCTACCTAATACTTGCTCCAACATATGCAGCGTCCACACACCAGTGACGCATCTATGTCTGTATGGCCTGGAAGGGAGCTGGTTGAGCAACTGATATGCATGCAGAACATCCCAGGTTTAATCCCTGACTAAGGCTGGGAAATATTCCTGTTTTGAACCCTGGAGAGCTTCTGCCTCTGAGTATAGACAAGATGAGCTCATGGTCTGACTCAGTTTAAGGCAGCTTCTTCCTATATTCCACTGGCAAGTAAATGCTGCATGCCTGAGTACTGGTAGGCACATGGGTTAAGAAGCCCTTTAAAAGATGTGACAGCAGGCAGCCTGGAACCCTGGGTGGGCAACTGCTGGAAGTGAACAGAACATCTTGTTTAAGCAGGCCACATAACCCCAAACAATGATAATACAGTAGAACATCAAACTGGCTTTCTACCCACAGCTCTCAACTTCTTCAAAACACCTAATATTCACAGAACACATGTCCTTTCAGAACCTGCTCCCACCAAAGAGAAATGCTTAAAATTGTGGGTTATCAAACAACAACAACATGGCTTCAAATAGCACCAACACTTGAAGGGTTCAAACAACCAGGAACCACACACTAAGAAACTGCATGGCACTAGTAACCACATCTAGTCCATCATTAGCACCTCTCAGTCTTGGTTTCCCAGTGTTGCCCTGTCCTCTGTTTTTCCCCCAGTCATCTATTGAAGTTGTCAGCATGTGACAGCAGCCACACCCTCAGAATGGCTTCGACTGGCCAGCCAAACCAGGTGAGTGTAGCCAATAGGTCTCAAACCCTCAGTGAGTTAGAGATATCCCCTGCATGCAAAGGTAAGTTATGGTGGATTGAGAGGATGAGACCAATAGCAAGTCCAGTGGTCAAGAAGGCAGTTGTAGAGGGAAGTGAGGAGCAAATGAGAGTTAGGGATTAGAGTGGGGCAGCGGGTGTGGCTTGGGGATAGTCTCAGGCCAGATAAGAGAATTCTGTTTTAAAGTATATCACTAGAAAAGGGAAGCAAAGGGATTGTGGGATTCCTTCTCTCACACATGCCTAGGCATTGTATTTTTTTATTATTTGCTGTTGGTTGTGTTTGATGGATTAGTCTGTCCTACCCAACTCCAGCCTTCCTAGCAAAAGACACAGAGACCATTCTAAGATCACAACAGTGTGCATTCCGTGACAAAACATCAACGCATCATCACAGAAGCCTCTCCCCCAACTGAAAGAGTAAGGTGAGTTAGCTCAGGGCTAGCTTCCAATTATATTCATTACAGAAATTACTAGTATATGTAAGCAACCACTTTTCTGTCTGGGATACCCAACAGATTTCAAGTGCTTACATATCTGCTTTTATTTTAAAAAGCCTATCACCTCAGTTCACAATACATGCAATGCCAAACCTGTATCAAGCAATAGCATTAATAAAATAATACAAAACATACATCCATAATATAAAAATGGGCAAAGACTCCCCCCCCACTTTCTTTTCTTTTTAAAGGATTTCCAATATATTTGAACAGGAGAATTCACTCAGGGACACTTCATTACATCACTTTTAGAACATGTGAGCGCACTGGGTCTTTTAGGAAAGTCAGACTGTAACATGGGAAGAAATACACCTATCTCTGTCAGTAAGCAAAAACATTCAGAGCAATAAGGTAGAGGATTATCCAGAGGTCAACGCAGATAAATGTGTGTGTATTCCCTTTCACAAGCTACACCTTCAAACTCATTAAGGCACAGATGCAATTTAAATTACCTTCAAAATAAATCTGTATTTAAAACTGAGGGGTATTTTGCCAACTTTCCTTACTTTGTAAGGATAGCTGACTATTATGTCAGTGTGGAAAAAATGAAAAATACATTGACATGCGAGCCCTGCGCTCTGTTTCTAATCCATTCAAAAGTTTGTTTTTGAAAGAAGATCAAGGAGAAGATGACTCTGTGATGGAGACAATTTATTTAAGCCTAGCAAGAAACCCATCACATAAAAGAGATTGCTCACATTTGCAACTGAATGTTGAGTCTGAAAGAAAAAAGGAAGGAAATCTTTACAAGCTGAAGAATTTAAGAGACCCTGAATCAACAACTGTGTCAAACATTTTGCAGTCAAGAGCATGCATCTAAAACCACTTCAGAGCTATCTGCATCTGGAATTGGACAGAGCTTGTTCACTGCCTTTGCCTACCATAACATAACATAAAGCAGCTCCTTGCATAGCTGCCAACGTTTCCCTTTTTTAAAAAGGGAAATAGGATTCCTTGCAAGAAAAGGGAAAAGTTGACAGCTATGGCTCCTTGGGAGTCCATGGACAATAGACATCAATGAAATAAACCGGTTAACAGTGAAAGACCTGGCCTGTATGAGGGGATAATTCACGAAGGGCAGATTCTATACAACCTATGAGTAAAATGTCTACCCTGTTTGCCCAACCTGGTGTAAGAAGAGGTAGAGGATGCTAGATAGAGTGGGAGCCCTATCCTATGGGGGAAGAGAAAGGAGCTACTAGTAGGGAGCCCCCAGATGCCTTGCAAAGATCTGCCTACAGTTTTTCCCACCTGGATCATGGATTGCTCCAGGTATGAAAAGAGGGAGGGCAAATAGGAAATTTGTGCAACTACCCAACCTTACTAATGGTAGGGTTGCCATATTTTTGGGCCAAAGTTGTTGAATTTTTATTGCAACATCTAAAAAAGAGTGAGAAGTTGTTGAGCTAATTTTAAGGAAATTTGCCAGAAATCTAGGTTTCCAGCATGGGTTTCCATACGTCCAGATTTTCCCGGTCATTTAAGTGATTTCCGCCCGGACACTGACTGCCATATTCCAGCTATGTCAGGGAAATTCCAGATGTATGGCAGCCCTAACTAATGGGCCTCAACACGATTTCAAAGGCAGATCTAGGGAATCGCCACTGGTTCAGTTGCACTGGGCATGGAGCTTCTAGGATGCTGCAGCAGGAACCCCAACCATGAAATCCAATGGAAGGCAAGCGGCTGGTGGGTGGGGGCAGATTTTGGCGTCGGGCAGGCACCACTGAAATTTGAGACACCATGGTCCACCACTGATTCTTTGTTATAAGGAAAGCAAAGGGGAGCCAAATTCCAGTATTAGTTACCATCTATCCCTCCTGCAGTGGCTTTATAAGGTGCAACCCTGCTCCAGAGTATAACACCTACCCAGGTGAGTGAATATCTAAATCAGGAACGGGGTGGGGTGGTGGTGGAATAAAGTTCTACATCTTCTGCCCCTGTGGGGCAGTGATTTTTCCCAGCTGTTCCTCTCTGGTTCCTTCCCGAATAGATTTTTTGCCAATTGGCAAAATCCTCTGGCATAGGAGATGAGTACCTAGGTTGGGAGAATGCAAAAGACAGGCTGGGGCCCTACTTGCTGTCAAGGGTTTCTTACCTCCAATTGTTTTAACAACTGTAACAATGGAAAGGCTTGTTGTTTTAATTGGGCTGCTGAAACAAAAAAAGCTTAGTGGAAAACCAGGTGTGCTTTTTTGTGTGAAAAGGCTGAGAATGAGAGCCCCCTTCTAGTTTATGCTATGTAAACACTTGGCTGCTGTTGGTAGATGAAAAGAAAAACAAGTATATCTCACAAAACTGAAGTCTGTCCTCCACAATCTAGGATTTCTTTCTTATATCTCTCCAGCTGAGGCAGTGATCTCACATATCTCAAAATGTACCCCAAAGCCATAATCAATAATAAAGCAAGCATTGACTGTGATGGAGCTATTCTTCTAGGCTTAAAAATCTAGACCATCTGCTTTATATTATTGAGGGAAGAGATAGTTCGCAGATCCGTGTTATTTATCTGCGTCTGATTACTGACATCTCAGTAAAAAATATCTACTGAACTGTACATCCTGTTGACCAACAGGCTACTGTAGCTTTTAAGCTGCCCAGAAAACAAGACTAAGCACAACAAAACTTCATTAGACGGTCAGTGACACATTGATATCATTTGTCTTTTCGTCTTGCTTTCTCAGATCCAGTTTAAAATTTATCCTTGCTATCCTTACTGTATTATCCTTACTGTACATTCTTACTGGTTGCTTAAACCAAGACATTTTCATCCTCCAAGTTAAGGCACTGCTTAGAAATGCTAATAAGTGAGTGAAATAGAAATGCCTTAAATAAAATGAAATAAATAACACGTTTCATGCCAGCTGCAAAAAAAGTGATTGTAAAATATGAGTGCCATAGCAAATCAGCAGGCTGAGAACTTTATGCATTACTGCTAGAAAGCTTATATTCTGATCTTCAGGCCTGCTTGTCCACTAAGGATGATAAAAGAATTTGGAAGGGGGGAAATTATGAAAGAGTATATGGTGCAAATTAAATATGCAAGTTTGCTTTTAGCAAAGAGGAAGGCCATGGTCAAAAATGCATTCAAATGAGACATTCAAAACCACTATATATTTTAAATATGGAACCTTTCCCAACCTGGTGCACTGCAGCTGTTGTTGAAATATGGCTCCTATCACCCATAATTGTTAGCTATGATGATTGGGACTTATGGGCATCTGAGCCCAACAACAACAATAGGGAGCAGAGTTAGCGCTGGCTGCTATGAAGGATACCTAACTCACAACCTCTTCACAGAAACTACCAGTCACTGAACCAATGGGAAAACAGCCCAAAGAAACAAGTATGAGTGTAAATTAAGTCTAAGGTGTAAATAAAGTCTAAAGTAGGCTTTATTACTCCCTTGGGAACCACAGAAGTAAAATGACTGGACTGCAAAGGATATGTGGAAGACCATTTGACTTTTTGTATATGGGCAGTTTTAAAGATTATTCTGAGTAGCCAGGTAAGTGATGCAAAAGATGTCTTACTCTGAAAAACAGTTCTGAACAAATGCTTTGAAACAGACAACAAAAAAACCTGCCAAGTGAGAATCAGACACATCAACATATATATTTAGGAACATTTTTGCTACAGCTAGGAAAATGACTATTATGGTGCTATCATATTTAAATTCTCCAGTTAAGATATTAGACCCCCAGGCTTTTATTTACCTTGAATCCCCAAAGGACTAACATTGCCTCTCAATGCTGGCACATGATGGTACTGGTGTAGCCTTGAATTCCTGTACATCCATTGGTACCTGCCAATTTCCATTTCTGGTCTGGTGATCACTGCCAATTTTAGGTGGTAAAAAGTCAGTGTCTCCAGCAAAGTTCAGTTTTACTTTAAGTACTTTTATTCAATTCAGATTTACTATAAAGAAAGCAGGAAAGGGAGCAAGAATGCAGAAATTTATGCTGAGATTTCGTAACAGAAGCCAGCCACACCCACACACCAATCAGAAGAAGGGGGAGAAATAACTAGCATTAGATTCTAGGGGCTGCAATTATTAGTAGGATTTAGGAAGCCTGCTAGATTCCTCAGAGCACATATAAATTCATATGTTGACATATCAGTAGCATCCAGTACTCTAGAGCAGCCTCCCCCAACCTGGTTCACTTCACATTTTTTGGATAACATCTCCCATCTGCTGGCTGGCTGGGGCTTATGGGAGTTGGAGGGCACAAGGTTGGGGAAAGCTGTTCTCAAGTCATTTTTATGGCATTTCCATCCTTTATCACATGCATTCCTCTGTTCCCTTCTTTACTGGCAGTGAGCCATTCTATAGCTGATAGATTACAGCAACCTTTTCTATCCTAATTGTGGGAAACCACATTTACTATTTTTAACTTTTCACTAAACCCAGCAGAGCAAGATTATCATTCCCAGATGGAGAGAGGGGGAAAAAAATATCAAAGCACAATTTCAACTGTTGCAGTATTAAACAGTTAGCATCTTGAGAAAACAAGTAGATAAGGCAAAGCTGTAGCATATTGTGCAAAATTGTTCGAGGTTACACTGGCAAGTTCCTTTGATAATTTGATAGCATACTATTTATTTGAGTAATAGAAATTAGGGATGAAGAAATCTCTCTTTTTCATTCTTCCTGTCTTAAATTCAGTTCTTTACCTTTCTGAATCAGTTTAGAAATTCACCAGAACTTTAGTGCAAATTTCTCCTAATAAACACGTTTTTGTATGCAGTTTTAATATGTACGTTTATGCCAACAATTTCTGCATATATAATGCATATTTATGCTACATTATTTGCAGAAATGTATGCATTTTATGTACACTTTCCCTAACATGCATTTTTGTACACACTGCAAAATTCAGAAAAGAGGAGTTATGTTTCAGTTCACATATTTGTCTGAGAGCATGAATTAGGTAGTTTCCCATTTAATGCTAACGAAATCAAATTTATTCTCTATCCCTAATAGCAATGAAATCAACAAAAAAATCATGAAATATAAATATTACAAAAAATCTAAATGCTGATTTAGAAGTTAAAAAATAATTTATGATTTACAAATTAAGCCAAAGTTTTACGGATTATCTTCAGCAAGTCCCCCTCTTCATACTCCTGGGAGTTGTCAAACAATAACCAATAACATGCAGTACTTTATATTCTACTAGGAAGTAACATCTAAGTCTAAGTGCCCTGAATGTTGGGAAGATGCTTTTGATAAACCCCACCAAGGCATTTCATTATCAGGTGTTTTTAATTGTGGAGAGATCAACACAAGATGGATCCTTTCCTCAAATGCACTGTTGTTCTTTAGTATTTGGTTCCATATTCTTAAGACATTAAAATTTTATTAAGGAGCATGCAACAGGTTTCATGGAGAAATGGGACCCAAACTCTCCAAATGGTATTACTTCTGCACAATCTCTGTTCATTACTATGGGGTTTAAGTGGAAATCCCACTCAAATGAACAAAGTTGTGAAACCACCAGTGCACTGTTTATGCTTTAAATATTCTATTCAGGCTTTTCCAAGTCTTCTTGCAAATCAATCTTGAGTTCGGTTTGGTTTTGAGGCAACTAAACTGCTTCAGATTTCCCTGGAGAATAAAAAACAAATCAAGCCGGTTGCAGCTATATAACCACAAAATTAAAAGAAATGTTTGTGGGTTTCAAGTGGAAGTGAAATCTTTTGCATCTGCACCCATCTCATCATAAAGCCAACGCTGATTCTATAAAGAACCTGAGTCCTTGCAGCAAAAATCTAAGGAGTTTAACCACCATGGACTAAGTTATTTTTGATCCATACACTTTTTATATCTGTCTAAGAAAAAGATCCTCTCTTAGATAGCTAATTATCAACATTTCCTTGAGCATATGTCCATGTTATTCAGCTGTGGCTGTTTCCGCTTAATGCACAATCAGTCTTCTGTCTTTAGGCCCACAATGGATGCCACAGCAGCTGACCATGATCTCAAACAAGAAAATGGAGGGCTGGCTGATCATTCGCAGCATTTTTTATTTTATTTTTTGCATATATGGGTTATGCAGTTGTCTCTCTGTGTGAGCTTTGTAATTATGCTTCTTCAAACTGCTTCCACATTAGATTCCTTTAGTATTACTGGGGCACTGCTTCTTCACAAATTGCTGGAGGAAGAATCAAAATGGAGGTTCCTCACAGGATTAAAACATAGCACTATGTTAACTAGCATTTCTATCACGCCTGCTCACAAGTAAGTTCCATTCAGCCCTGCCAGCTTTATATATAGTTTATTGCTTACAAGTTCAGCCTCTGTTATTGCTTCCTATTGATCCCAGCTGGGGGTTAGTGAGCAATTACTCCTTGAATAGCCTCTCTGAATTGCCCTCATGTCAGTTTATGTTCCCACCAAAGGGGACACTTTAATTACTTATTTCCTTTCTCTTTTCATTTTTAATAGTGAAATGGCACTTATTCGTTTCTCGACGTGAACAGAAACTAACATTCAGAGCATCTATTCAATGGGCAATTACTCATTAAATCCTTCAGACTGGGATCAACAGGAAGCAATTACACAGGAAGAACCTGAAAAAAGGAAGTGTTTAATTTAAAGGCGCAAAAGCCCTGGAAAAATCTTAATAGTGCTTTGTGTATCCACACTTGACAGGCTGGGGCTGCCATTGCATTGTATTGCAGGAAAATCAGTCATAATTTATCAGATTGTGGGGCAGGAGACATAGGAGGAAAACATGGAGAACACTGCAGTGATCTAACAACAACCTGTGTACTCTCTCTCTCTCTCTCTCTCTCTCTCACACACACACACACACACGGAACGGTCAAGCTTTGTTCATTCTCTCTCTTTTTTTTTTTTTACAGAACATCCAGATTACGTTCAAAAGTGAGTGAACAGCAGATGATAATCCCAGAGAAAAAGGGCTAACATGGAAGCAACCTGCAGTTCCTTCCCTTTCTTAAAGACACTTTTATGGCCCGGAGAATTGTAGTTTTTCCTTGAGGAAACTAGTGACCAGTACAGCACAATTAAGAGGCATTACTCTTCTCTAGATGGGATGGGGCAATCTAAAGTGGAAACACGGTGTACTATTACTTAACCACCCTTGTACAGCTTTATTTTAAACAAACGATTTTTAATATGTTCTTGGCCTGTGGCAGGACATATGGGCAGACTCAGTGCTAACACAAGGCTACACCTGCACCCTTCCATCACTTGCTGGGAAAAGACTCCTGCACCAGAGCAAGAAGATCATACTAGGTACTTCTACAAACAGGGGTCATGGAAAAGGAAGAGATGAAGGTGCCATTAACACAAACCTGTGCCCCACAGTCCTAGCCCTGCTGGTAGACCAAATTTTGCACCTCTTGGGACCTGTTGCAAGGGCCTCTCTCTCTGTACATAAAGAGTAAATAAATGTCAAGTTTTAACAGCATGCCGCAGAGGGTTATGCTGCAACAGCTAAAGCCTTCCATAAGAATATTACTTAGATTATGTAAGCGTATTGACTTCATTAACATTTTCCTCTGCAAATTATTTGAGCCCCTCTGATCTAAGCAATCTCTTCTTGTACGACTGCTTTTCCGGATGCAATCCATGCATGCAGAAAAGCAGCGATGCTTTGGGGAAGCTCAACTCTTATCACCAGGTGATGCCCCAGCATGGCTGAACAGATGGCTGACAGCACCAATCACATGTGATGGAAGGGGTATGAATCCTTCTCCTGTCCTCCCAAACAGGTGCTTTGCACTGTCAAAGCAGACAAACACCAGCCATCTGTTTGGCAGAAGTGACCTTCGAGCATAGAAGCATGTGCAGACCACGACTGCACTCTCTAACGTTTGGCCCGTTTCTTTGTTCAGTCACCTCTAGAAGCGTGATCTGTGCATGAACACCCATTTCTACCTATCACCCTTGTTAGACCATGATGGTGTCATTTTTACTGTCACCATTTTTGTCATTCCATGGCTCTGTGCCTACCTACATCATTGCAACTAGGTGCAACCTATCAATCATAGGCCCCTCTGACAGTTGCAGAGAAACAATACATGATAAGTTGAAGTTATAAAGGTAAAGGTAAAGGGACCCCTGACCATTAGGTCCAGTCGTGGCCGACTCTGGGGTTGTGGCGCTCATCTAGCTTTACTTGCCAAGGGAGCCGGCGTACAGCTTCCGGGTCATGTGGCTAGCATGACTAAGACGCTTCTGGCAAACCAGAGCAGCGCACGGAAATGCCGTTTACCTTCCTGCCAGAGCAGTACCTATTTATCTACTTGCACTTTGACGTGCTTTCAAACTGCTAGGTTGGCAGGAGCAGGGACCGAGCAATGGGAGCTCACCCCATCGCAGGGATTCGAACCACCGACCTTCTGATCGGCAAGTCCTAGGCTCTGTGGTTTAACCCACAGTGCCACCGATGTCCCTTAAAGGTAAAGGGACCCCTGACCATAAGTTGAAGTTATAGCATCCCTCAAATCAAGAATTCTGTGTGAACCTGAATATGACTGGGGAGATGTTCATTTTATTGGAGAGGGCAGATCCAGGTATCCATCAATTTGCACACACGGAGCTGTTCGTAAAACTAAAATGAAGTGGCATAGCCTTTGCAGGGCATGGGAGCTGTGTTCATCAACGCTCACATGCCTGTGAATAATTGCTAAACCTGGAAGAATTGGTTTTGATTTATTTATTTTGCCATACTTGTACAAATTATGTAACTAATCCCATTCTCCAAAGATAAGCATTCACCAAGTTTATTAAACACTGTAAGGATCAGGTAGATTTGCAATTTCTACCCCCGATCTAAATCATCGTTTCTGACATATCTGGCTTCCGTGCTGTCACACAATATGCCACAAATCCTAAGTATTGAAAGCTTAATGAACCTTAAAATACAAGTAACTTTATATGGTGCCAGTGACCTACAGTAAAATGTAAAACACATAGGAAGCCAACAGTATGATTGGGCATGAACAGTATCCTACCTGTGACTGCTAGTGAGCAGAAGTAGCTGGAGTTAATTCAAAGATTCTGCAACATTGAAATTGATCTCAAATATACACACTTAAAAGTGCCTGTACTATGTAAGCCTACAATTTAGATTCCAGAAAACTCTGATTTTATTTCTTTTTTTCACCACCATTTCAGATTTTCCGTATTTTTAATGGCAACACACCTTCCACTTGAAATCTCTCAGCAATTTCTCACAGGAAGGTCAATAGTCAAATGTACAAGTCCTTCTAATATGCATGTCTTCTCAGAAGTAAGTACCACTGAGTTCAATGGTGTGTACTCCCAAGGAAGTTATTATAGCACTGCAGCCGAAACAGTGCATTTTGTGTGTTCAGGTTTTTCTTGCTTGCTGTAAAAAACAAGCATCATTTCATACATTACTCAAATATAGCAATTCTTTTGGGATTTGCTTTTTAAATCTACCATAACCTTATAGCCAGTTTGCTCTGGACATCTGCAATAAATCTTGTATGACATGTTTCTCCCGTGCTTTACTTATTGGGATAGTATCCCCGCCCCAAATTAATACAAACATCTTGTCTGTGTTAATATGTATCTGGGTGTATTTCCTCCTTCTCTGCTGATTTAAAATGGCATTCATTTTACCCATTTATTCCATCTCAGTAAATCCGCCTATCCCCGTCCTCACTTTTTGATTTAATTTAATGCCTGCAAGATAAACCCTGTCATTTACAATAATTTATAAACCTTCAGCTTTAAATGCACTCAATCTGTCTTGCAGCCTGTAAAATATCTGCTCAACATTTCCACGGACAATGTTCATAGCCTATTCCTTTGATATTTGATCATCGGAATAAAGCAGCATATTAACAAGAGTGTCACACAGTTTCACCAATTAAAAGAACAGCAAATGCCACAATGGCTCCTCTCCAGAGAAGCCTTAAGGATACTGCAAATCACACTGTGTATTTTTTTGGCTAATCTTTTTTCATACAGTTCTAGAGATTTATAGTATAAGACATACTTAGTTCGAAACGTATTTTAATTACACATTCACCAAAAACTAAACGTCAGGGACTCAAGTATTTTAAAACATTTTACAGTACATTAGAATGAAAAATTAGATGCACTATTGTGCCACTTCAGATGTAAACCACCATGGGCATATAACCATCATGTTAATGGCATGCAAGTCCCATTGATTTCAATGACACCTAAGTTAGTCATAACTATAATTTTATGTTGATTTCAATGGGACCAAAGTGTAAGTAACTTGCTCTGGTATCCAACTTATTCACTCTGTGTGCTAATCTTTACAGCTATGGATTCCTTTCTATGACAGTAGGTTATTGCTGTTCAACAATTCAAGAAAAGCATTCTTATTTTTTGGAGAAACACTTCTGTGCGTTTCTAGAATGCTACAAAAATGAGGATGATAGGTCCACTGCACTTGTTTTTGAAAATCAATTGCAGAATTCTTATGGGTGTGGACAGAAGAAGATTTCACTCAAAATGTACCAACAATTATTTCAATCACCTCAACACTTGAATCTTTATTTGCATACAAGGGGATGTTTTAAATAATCAAAACTATTTATTTTAACAGTGACAAGTGTGCAGATATCCGTGTTCAATATATGACATTTCGATAACACACCAACAATTGCTTCATAGAGATGACCAATGAAAAAATATGCTACAATTTAAGACAGGTTTTCTTTTAAATCGACGCAATTACATTTTTTAAAGTCATGTTATTTAGAAAACATTTGCATTACTTAAAAAAAAAAAAAGTCTAGGGATTTTGATACAGGTTTTAACAGTGTGAAAGGGTTTGTGTATTGAATTTTTTCTCCATATTAAGTTCCCATGGTGTGTCATACACCTGAAAGCAGTACAAAATTCTTATGTGTCTTGTAAATAATACTACAAAGGGGGTTGGAAAAACAACCCACAGTAATATCCATAAAGGTCATTGGGTGTTAAATACTACAAACAAAATCTAAAACACCATCCAAAGAAATTATGCATATCTAAATTCTATTCTAAAAAATGAAAGAGAAAAAAAACCTGACAGGATTTCAAAGCCTAGTAAAATGCTTACATCCTCTTAATTTCAGTTAGGAATGTCTCCGAAATAGCCATTTAGAAATGCAAATAATTTTTTTAAAAATAGTAATAATACCCAAAGCATAAATAGTCAGAGTCTGGTCTGAGTTTTAGGTGAGGGGAGCTATTCATATTTTATTTATCTTTGTAAACCTAACCCATTCTACAAGGGGGAACATCATAACGTGGGTGATTACTTTCTTTTAAAGACTTTATAAGCCGCACCCTTTACAGACGATCAAGGGAAAATGGTATACTTCCAAATAAGTCCATGCAATCTAGCAAACCAGCTAAAGTCAGGATACAATAGCAAAATCAGAAGTGTCATCTTAAAGGTAGAAAGACTCCGCAAGCTTAGGTGATGTTTAAAGGCACATACATGACACTAGTCCTGAAATGCTTTAGACATGGGCCATGATCAAAAAGACTATGAGCTTCAGCGGACTTCGCACTTGTGTTTCTTAAACAGCGACACAACACCCATCCCAAGTTGCAGAGCAAACTGCTTCTGGAATACAGAAAACTTTCAATAGGGGTTTGCGATATGGCACTGAGATATATAGATATAGTATAGATATGATAGATGATAGACAGATAGATGATAGATAGATAGATAGATTATATCCATCCCATCAAACTGGTGTAAAGGCTAAGCAGTTCTTTAGATGCCACCAATTAACTTTCTTTGCAAGGGTGGTGTGGTGAAGGAAATGATGTTTCACTGAGCAACACAATTAAAATTTGCGGAATATGTATCGCATCACTGTACATTTAACTAACAGATTCTTTTCCGGACACTCGAAACCATTAATTTAGAAGTATTAATTAGCAATTTAGGAAGAAATACAAAGAAACCACTAGTAACAATATATATAACAGGTCCTTTAAGTTTTAAAATTTCTCAAACAAGATAAAATACTGGAACCAATCCTTTAGTGTGTGCTCATTCCCTTTCAAGTCAGTGGTTTTATACAAGTGTCAATGGCTGCAAAGTTTCTAAATAACTACACTAGCCTGCTACAGAGAAGTGCAATCGAATGAAATAATGCAGGCTGTTAACTTTGTTTCATTGATCTTTAAGAATAACAACAACCAGCAACATTCAGATTTGATTCTCTTGCCACAATGCCATTTTCTGGTCTGTAAGTCTTTCAGTTGGAACATTTGCCCCCAAACACTACTGTGCACTTTAATTATTTGCATAATATTACTGCCTCATTCTCTTCCCCCAAATATTATAGAAATGCAACACATAAGTGCTGTACAAGAAAGAAAAAGAAAACAAGCCATTATGTCTACACTGGCAGAAAGCTTCCTGTTACAGTAATACTGGATCACCCAAACCCCTACCATCAGACTCAAAATGTGTGAATAAGGCATGTATGTATGTATGTACGTACACACACACACACAATTTCCCTCTAAACTGCAAAAAATGCAGTCCGGGTTTTTTCATGGGATTCGAGATGGCTGAAAACACCAACTTAGAGATGTTGGGAGAGATGGCTGTTCCATTAATCTGCTGTCAAGCCATACAGCATAAAAACCACTGGAAGCTAGAAGATGCCATAATGATAATTTAAGCACTGCTCTAAAGAGAGTGACAAACATAGCCTAAATCTTTTCACTTAAGGTTCTTAAAAAGATTTAAACAGTCTATTGTTCGGTCCTCTGGGTACCTTTTTTCTCTTGGCTTTGTTCTGTATTTTCCTCCGCTGCAGTTTCCATGGCTGGCTTTATACCATCCACCAAAAATGCTCTCGCTCCCCGCCCCCAGCAAAGAGTCTCTCTTCCTTCTTTCTTTCTTCCCTTCTGTCTCCTATTTACCACCGCAGTGATTGAGTGGCTCTGTTCCTCACTACAGTAGATTACGCTCCTTTCCAAAATGCACAAAGTCGTGTCAGCTTTAGTTTCGATCTGCCTACTGGTCCATAAAGATCTCTGCCAGGAAAGACTCAGCCATACGTCAGAGACCCCGGTTATAAAATAGCAGGTCTGTGCTCGATTGTCTCCCCACTCTCTGTGTGTTTGCAATGGGAGCGTGAAAGGGGGGATAAACCCAGCTAGCCTCCCTTTTTTCACATGGTCTCTACTTTCCTGTTCTCCCTATGAATGTTAATCAATTCTGTGGTGCAGAATAGATTAGTGACATCAGAAGAGGGGCTGCATCTGAGGGAGTGAGCAGAGCCCCCTCCTGTTGCATGACTCAGCGATGACACTCACCCCTCACCATACGCCATCTCTAAGGAGAGCCCATGGCATCACATGACAACAAGACTCCCTTTCCCATGATGATCGCCTATTTATTATGCTTGGAATTTTTATTAATTCCACATGCCCTCAGTTCTTACAAAGCACATGCCTGTTTCCTTTGTAGTTTTAGGTTTTGACTTGAAGGATGCATGGTTTGAACGCAGTTTAGAAAATAAATGCATATTTATGCCCATCAAATAACTATGTACCATGTGCTTATATGGTAGTGAGGAGGTTCTCACATCTCTGGGGCAGTTAAGCTATTATGACCAGTGAAGAAAGGAGGTGCACAGGTGAGACGAATACTAGATGTACATAAGATCTCAACTTTCCAAGTTCCAAAGTTAGATTCCTTCTATTTACGAAGGAGCATCCTTATTGAAATAGAAGCTTAAAAAAGATGACAGGATGTCCTCATCCAGTCATAGGCAAATTTTTATCAGGAGATGATGGAGCATAGCACATCATTCGCCGAGCCCATGCAATAGACCTTGGCTTGAAGATTTTTGCAAGTCAAACATTTTCTTTGCCAGTTATTTTGTTTGTTTAGTACTGTGCACAGGGGATCTGAAGATTAAGATCTGAGGCAGATGTTACATTTGCACATGAACCGTATTCTCAAGTTTAATACAGATGATGAAAAACTAGATGAAATGTTTTATTTCATGGAGTGTGTTAGAAGGTATTCTTTGGAGTCATAAACTCCTAGCATCGAAGGAGAGTTGGGGAGCTTCTATCATGCTAGATTTCCATGTGCAGGGGTTGCCTGCAGTGACCAAAAGCATTCAGACATTTTTTCTTCCCACTCACCCCCTGCAATCTGAGCTGACAGTCTCATGAACTTTTTCTTCAACACTCAGATCTGTTCTCAGAGAGCAGTAAACTAGACTACAAAGCTATCAAAAACAAAGTCAAAAATCCCAGGTAAATAACAACCTGCTAAATTCAGCGCAAGAGACAGAATAAAGGAGCAGCTAATTCAGCAAGGAGAACAATTGGATACCCTTTCCTACTTTATCACAACTACAATGGCTCCTGGGACTTCTCACCTGTCGTGTCCACTTATCTCCCCCTGTCTTCCAGGGTGTGGACGGGGTGTGTGTGTGAAGCATTCAACATGCTTGAGGTTACCTAATCCCATGGGTTCTTTTTCCCTTTCAATACACATGACTGGGGCCTTACTTTTGTGAACCCTGAGTAACATCGCTTTTCCATTTCCAGAGTTCACCAAATGTGTGTGTCCAGGAGCCTTGGAAATTGTATACATGGCAAAGCATTGCATTATCTGAACAGTGTGCTATGGCTTCACCCTATGGTCTTCCCTATGAGAAACCCCTGAGATATAGCTAGATATTTACTGCTAAAACCCAACTCCATTTTTAAAAAGACATTTTCTAGCATCATATGGAGACTACCAAGACATGAACATCTAGTGTGAGATGCAACAGCTCTCTTTCCGTCATACAACACCAAGAAGCAGCAGCAGCAGCAGCAGCAGCAGCAGCAGCGTTTGGATTTGATATCCCGCTTTATCACTACCCTAAGGAGTCTCAAAGCGGCTAACCTTCTCCTTTCCCTTCCTCCCCCACAACAAACACTCTGTGAGGTGAGTGGGGCTGAGAGTTCAGAGAAGTGTGACTAGCCCAAGGTCACCCAGCAGCTGCATGTGGAGGAGCAGAGACACAAACCCAGTTCACCAGATTACGAGTCTACCACTCTTAACCACTACACCACACTGGCTCTCAACCTTGTGTGATGCACCACTATATCTGCAGCTATACTTCTCCCCACACCACACTGTTAAAGAAGATTCCTACATTCTCCCTCCTTCAAACACTAACCCAGCATTGGGGAACCTTTGGCCCTTCGGATGTTGCTGAACTACAACTCCCATCAGTCCTAGCAATCATAGCCAACACCCAAGGATGATAGGAGTTGTAGTTCAGCAACATCTAGACGGCCAAAGGTTCCCCACATCTGCACTAGCCCATGGTAGATGGGATGGGCACTCGCAGGAACCAGTGCAAATATATGTATCCTTAAAGATAAGATAACTCTTCACCCCCATAAAATGCAATAAACAATACCATCAGTGAATCATATCCAAACCACAGAAACCAGGAACACCAAATTGGAAGCAAGTGTGACACAATTCAGGAGAAATTTGGAAACAATAATATGACAAGGCTTGGGAGAGAATCAGTGACAAAAGAGAAGAAGCACAATTTTACATCCTTCAAAATTCAAAGTATTTTCAAAATGATCAATGTGCATTACAGGAGGCTATTAAAGAATAGCATAGATACAACCCAGCTAAGTTTGTGAATTTTGTCATCAATAGAAAAAAAAATTCTTCTCTGGCCACCACCCTACTTGGACTAGCAAGTCAAGACATTAGAACAGATGTCTTTCAAATTTGCAGAAGCATATCTACATTAATGAGCACAACTTAAATGTATATTAGATTATCAGCACTCATGCTCTCGGCCTAAATATTTTACATTGTCAGTACCAGCATCTGAAATTTTATATGACACAACCGACTGTGAGGATTGCTCCCTACACCTTGCTGCTTCAACATTAAAAACAAAAAATGGGGGGGGGGGAGAGATAGTCTAAATCAACGTGTGTGATTAGAAGGGAAATTATGACTGGCCCAGAATACTGACTCATTCACATAGGAAATGTAACTTTTGGCTAAAAGATAAAGGGAACAGGACATGCAGAAAATGGTACGGATTATCTGTCACCTGACAGTAACCAATTATTCTCTCTCTCTCTCTCTCTCTCTCTCTCACACACACACACACACACACACACACACACTTACTTCAAAGGGCTCCCCCCCCCATGCACCAGAATTTATTCTCCATTGTAGCCAGATGAGTCCAGCCCCAAAGAGTCTGTGCACAATTACGTCTGAACTCCTCCCTTTCCCATAACTTCAACAAGCCCTGATCCAACATTAGGGAGGGAGAAGGAAGCTGTTGTATTGTGAGACAGAAGAAGTAGCAAGTGCATTCTTTTCCAGCTACAGCCATTTCATGGCAGTCCCATTGTGGGGTTTGTTTGTTTTTTAGCCATCCCTTCATCCAAGGAGTTCAGGATGCCATTCATGATTCTCCCACCCCAATCTTATAATAGGAAGAGTCTGCTGCATGAATACAGTGACCCATCTAGTCCAGCATCCTCACAGTGGCCAGCCAGATGCCTATGGGAAGCCCCTAAGCAGGAAGTAAGAATAACAGAACTCTATCCACTTATGATTCCCAGCAACTGACAGTCGGAGTACAACACTGACATCATGGCTGGTAGCTCTTGATAGCCTATTCTACTGGAATGTTGCCTTATCCTCTTAAAGCCATCCAAGTAGGTGGTCCCACTTTTTGTGGTAGCAAATTCCATAGATGAACTCTATTACTTCAAACTATAGTTTTATCACCACAACCACTTTGAGGGTTAGACAAGAGAGCACTATAGACTGGCCCAAAATCTCCCAGTGAGGGTCACAGCTGAGCAGAAACTTGAACTGGAGCTTTCACAGTCCTAGCCCAACTCATTAAGCACAACACCACATTGTCCCTCAATGCATGGGGTGAAGCTGCAAACAACTTCAAAGCCTTGTTGATTTCACACTTTTGTATTGTTTCTAAGGATGCATTTAGTAATATTGTGTGTGTGTGCACACACGCACCTGCAGATAAATAACCATTCTTTCCACAGGATTATATAATTTTAAATAATGCTTTTAAAGCCTCCCACTTCTCCCTCCAAGCACTCTGGCAAACAAAAAGGACTTTGAGGAGTGTGGGGATACTGCTCAGTGGCAGAGAGCTCTGAGCAAGAAGAGAAGCAACTATTTCTCTCCACTGTTGTTTCCTTATTCACACTTCTCTGCAAGTGAGAGAGACAGGACTCTGCCTCTCTTCCAAGCAGTCAGTTACATCATGGCTAATTTAGACCACGATTTATTGAAACATGCCTGTTTCATAAACCATTGTTAACCCACAGCATTTCTGGGTTCAGGCATAAAGTTAAACTGCATATAACCCAAAAGTAATTAAAAAAAAATCTTCCATTCTTCTTGTGGCTTCACTGCAGGTGTAAGGTACACTCTGGTTCATTAATATAAACCATATTTTAGCATAACATCCAAACAAGGCCTTCATATTTGAATCCAGGTATATTACATATCCAGGACCTTAAAAGAAACAGATGGATGAAATCCAGCTATGCCGTCCTGCCCATTGAACAACTACTGATTCAGAGGCTTCTATGCTGACCTGTGCAGATCCTCTGCCATCCATGAATATTTTCAGGGGGTGTAAAGGGTTGCACTAGGATGTGAAAACTGGTGTAAGCATTACCAGATGCCACCGCTGGATCAAAAGTGGGTCACCAGCATTGAATTTAATCCAGACGTCTGTTAGACTGCTATCTGTACACAAGTACAGTTCACATTTTAATACTGTAAA